CCTTTAACTGCTTAATAGCTAAACCAATTTCCTCCACAGTAATTAATCTATTCATCCCATTTTGTTGTTCCTCTGAGAGTTTAGGAAAATGCACAGATTGTAAGTATTTGTCTATATCCACACCCTTTATGTTATCACTTGAATATAATTTTGTATAAAAATCTAAAAAACTCTTTTGGATCAAATTTTGCTGAAAAACCTCAGTACCTTTATATTTTACTTTCTCTATAATTCTAGCTTTCTGTTTCTTTTGTAACTGATAAGCCAACCATCTCCCAGGCTTATTCGCGTTACAGAAAGTATTATGTCTCATATACGACAAATTAGTAGCCACCTGATCTGCCATCAACATATTAAATTGTTCCTTAAGCATCTTTATAGATACCTTTAAATTATTGTCAGTTGGATTAAGAACAAACTCTTGTTCTTTTAATTTAATCTCTTCTTCTATTTCTCTACGTCTTTTTAATCCTTTTTCCCTAAAAACCTTATTCAATTGAATCAAAATTCCCCTCATATATGCCTTACTGGAATCCCAAACCATGGACATCGATGTTCCCTTATTCATGTTTATAGCAAAAAAGTCCTTTAAATGCTCTTTACATTTTTGTACAAACTCTTCCCGAGTAAACAAATTCTCATTCAATCTCCAGGGAGTGGAAAACCTTTCTTTGTTTCTGTGGCACATTTAAGCCATTAACATTCCAGGTCAGGAGCCTGGCCATCTCCACTGGCCTGGAGCCTCTGGAGCATGGCCTGCAGATCCACTGTCGAAGATCTTTTGGGTCTTGCCCCTCCCACAGGCTCTGTAATAACCATGCCTTCAACTTTATCTCCACTCTTCTGCTGCTGCTCTTTTTCTTTACGTTTATGGGCAGCTCGTGTCATCCTTTGTTCTTTTATCTCAAAATTCTGTACAGCTTGTTCCATAACCATCATTGATGAGGCTCCTGCCATAACAGGCTCTTCCATTATCCTTGTTTGTGGGGGTGAAGACGATCTTGCCTTTAAAATAAAATGATAAAAATCTCTTGCCTTCAGAACTGTAGTTAATCTATGACGTATCCCCTCATAATTCACTATTATTCTTCTTGGAATCTCCCATCTAAACTGGATTTGACGATGCTTTAACTCATCAGACAGAAGAGCAAAGTCTTTTCTGCCTCTTAAAATTTTGGGAGGTATTTCTTTTAAAATTATCACATCTTGGTCTGCAATTTGAAACTTTTGTTTGTAAAAAGCCTGTATAATTTCATTACGAGTAAATCTTCTAGAAAAGTAGATGACCACATCTCTTGGTAAGTTTCTCTGTCTAGCAACCCGTGAGTTGACTCTAAAAAATTTTTCTATCTCATTCCCGATTATTTCAGGCCTCCAGCCCAGATTAAGAGCGATATCTTTCACAATAAGAATCTTTAAGTCCTCCTGAGGATTCTCTCTCAGCCCCCTGATACGCAATGCATACTCCATCTCTCTATATTGTGACATGATTTGTTCATCCTGTGTGATTTCTATCTTATTCTCCACCTCCTCCATCCTGGATTCCATTCTTATTGCATTTTCATTAATCTCCTCGATCCTGTCGTCAATCCTTTCTATGTGCAGAGCAAGGCCCTGAAAGGCAAAAAGTATGTCCTCCCTTATTTGCTTATTTTTAGCCTCCAATAGTTCTTCTGTAACTGCCCTCTCTGCAATTATAAGATCTTTTACTTCCTCCTTAATATCCAAAGCATGCTTTTTTAAAGCTTCTTGTAAATCTTTAAGAGAAATTGCAGGAGGAGGAGAGGGTGGAGGTGATTTTGGTTTCTGGGAGACAGGCTGGGTCATTGGGGAAGAGATAGTAGCTTTAGGAGGAGGAGGCAAACGTTTTGAAGCCATTTTCATTAAGTTCTAAGAAGAAAGATTCTTGTTTAAAAAAATAAAAAAAAGGAAAAGAAAAAATCACAGTTCTTTTAAATATTCCTTAAAAAAGAAAAAAGATTACAGAGAAAAAAGAAAAAACAAGAAATAAAAAGACAAATTCTTACTTCTATATTTGAAGCATTAGTCTATATCCGGATTTTAACTTTGAAATGCAGATCAAACAAGAAAGACACAATCGCCATTTTGCCTTTCACTTTCCCTTTCTTCAAAAGGGAAAGTAAACAAAAAAAGAGGGGGAAGATGCTAGTCACAATAAATCTTAAATCCACTTTCTCCTGGTCTGCTCCGTCTGCATTTGAATACTCACAAGCCTCCAAAAAAAGCAGATGTGGGAGCAACGCCTTGCTTCATCCCAGAACTTCGGGACAAAGACGTCCTGGAATGCGGAGTTGGCTCAGGCTCCGAGGGAGCTCTACCCTCCGATCCCTGAAATTATGGGGATCCAGGGGAGCTCTTACCTCTACCTGAGCAGCTCTTCTCTTCCCTTTCTCCCAGGGAAGAGATTCAAGCCACAGGACAGCTGATTGTAAAACTCCTGCTGCTTTTACACAACCCAGGAACGGGCTGCTTTGTGAAAAGCAGCCATCGTAGCTGCTTGATCCACAGGAAGCCTCTAACAAAATGAAATTCAATGGTGAAAAAAATAAGGTTCTACATTTAGGCAAGAAAAACCAAATTCACAGGTATAGTAGAGGTGTTACTTATATTGTAAAAGGGATTTTGGAATCCTAGTGGACAATCATTTAACTATGAGCCAGCAGTGTGCTGCAACTGCCAAAAAAAGTTAACACAGTGCTAGGCTGCATTAACAGAGGGATAGAATCAAGATCACATGAAGTGTTAATACCTCTTTACAATGCCTTGGTAAGGTCACACTTGGAGTACTGCATCCAGTTTTGGTCACCATAATGTAAAAAACATGTTGAGACTCTAGAAATAGAGTGCAGAGAAAAGCAACAAAGATGATTAGGGGACTGGAGGCTAAAACATATAAGGAACGGTTGCTGGAATTGTGTATGTCTAGGGTGACATGATAGCAGTGTTCCAATAGCTTGGGCTGCCACAAAGACGAGGGAATCATGCTATTCTCCAAAGCACCTGAAGGCAGGACAAGAAGCAACGGATGGAATCTAATCAAAGATAGAAGCAACCTAGAACTAAGGAGAAACTTCCTGACAGTTAAAACAATTAACCAGTGGAACAACCTGCCTCCAGAACACTGGAAGTTTTAAAGAAGAGTTTGGATAGTTATTTTTCTGAAATGGTATAGAATTTCCTGTCTGATCAGGAGGTTGGACTAGTTGACCTCCAAGGTCCCTTCCAACTTTTTATTGTTGTAATAGCAGTTAGACTTATATACAACTTCACAGTGCTTTACAGCCTTCTCTAAGTGGTTTACAGAATCAGCATATTATCCCCCAACAATCTGAGTCCCCATTTTACCGACCTCGGAAGGATAGAAGGCTGAATCAACCTTGAGCTGCTCAGAATCGAACTCCTGAAGTGAGCAGTGAGTTAGCCTGCACTATTGCATTCTAATCACTGTAACATCACGGCTCTTGCAATGCACTCAATAAAGAATTCCATTGTAGGAATTAAATAGGACTAAATGATGTAAAAATGTATTTGATTAAAATACTCTTTATGTGAGAAACATCCAGAAAATAAGAATTGGAAGAGAATGTTTATTAGATAGTTGTGCCTCAGAGGTAATTTTTTAAGTATATGACCCTATACGCATGTCTGTGCTTTTTAAAATATATGTATATCTATATACTACAGAACTCCACTCCACTATGCCGCTGCCAATTGTAATTACAAGTGTCTGTTTGCCCTTGTGGGTTCTGGAGCTAGTGTAAATGACCTTGATGAAAGAGGTTGTACACCAATACATTATGCAGCTGCATCAGACACTGATGGAAAGTAAGTATGACATTCTTTTTGAAATCACAACTTTATTATTATAGCTTCTCACTTGGACATAAACCTGATTCACATCTGAACTTTCTTTTGGCTAAAAAGAAATATGTTTTGCTATAAATATTTAACATCATGTTTAATATTTGCATAAGGCAGTACAGTAATACTTCTCTTCCAAACAGGTTTTTTGACAGATTACTTTATATTTAAAAGAAAAATACTTTTAAAGAGAGCAGCCTATTGTAATAGTAATGTTACTCTCCTGCATATTTAAACTGTGTGATTATGAAGCATTTATATGTTATCAAAGAAAAACCAATTCCTATTATTAAAGTATATGACACATTAAGAAAAAAAATTCCATGTTGATTATTTTTTTTGTTAAGATTTGTATTGTAAAATATAATATACAAAATTGTAATTGAAACACAGATCTTACTCAACCTTCTCTCCTCTCAAATTGTGCTAACCAATAGCTTCTATGATTCTCAGCATAGTTTGGCAATCAAATATTAATTATATAGTTACATAATCAGATAATAATGATATAGTATAGCTTTTTTACCAATGCAATTATCCTGCTCAAACTTTCCAGTAAAGAAAACAAGGTAGAAGCAAAGTCTCATTTGTTTGTTCTTAATTCTACTGTTTCCAATATTTTTTTTTTTAATGTAGATTAACTAAGTCATCAAAAGCTTTTGTGGGCTACTTGTTTTTAGATTTCCATATTGTGACTGCTGAATATGCAAAGAACATTGGTTCCTGTTGATGACAAATACATGCATATTATTTAAATTAAAAGAATATTACATTTACAGGAACAAATTATTTGCAATATTGTTGATAATTGTGATTGATTAGATAAGTATTTTTCAAACTTGAAACGTAGATTAGATCCTTTAGAATGCAGGGACATAGTATTATACGTAAGAAAATAAGCTTCAGTATATAATCACTTCACAGACCTAGAAAACTTGTAAGAAAATACTACTCTAGGTCGGATTAGATCTGCATCCCCAGCAATATAAGTCTTTGCCATATTTCATAATACCATCATCTGGGCATGGGAGAAGATTCAAAAATGACTATTTCATGTTAGGCTGTTCCTTCCCATTGAATAATTATATTAAAATTCTATTTATTTTGTTTAGGTGCCTGAAATACTTACTTCGAAATGATGCAAACCCAGGGATTCGAGATAAGCAAGGTTACAATGCCGTTCATTATGCTGCTGCTTATGGGCATCGTTTATGCCTTGAATTGGTAGGAGAAATAAATGTAAATTATATTTAGAAATAAATAATCATTGAAGGACATTACTCCGTTTTAGAAGTAAATTTTGATAAATTATTTTTAAAATTCAGAAGAAAAAAAATGGATAATTAAATTAATAAAGAAAATAAAAGTTTAGTATTGAGTTTTGGAAAGTTGCCAAATTTGGAAATCTTTATTATATATCTGTTCAAATGGATTCCAGATTATTATACCGTATCAAGCCTGTGGTCATTCTGTGCTATTTCCATGGTATCATGTAATACTTTAATTTGAATGTTATATAGCATGAGGCTCAATTTTAATCATGTTTGAATGTTTTTTTTAAAGATAGTCATAATATTAAAGATTTGATGAAATTACTGTAGTAGACAATATCATACTAAATACTACTGGAGGTGACTACTAGATTAATAGCAAACCCCACCTCCCCCCTACATTCCCTGATTCCACCTGCCCACCTTTTAATCTCATTATTCAATTTTCATTGTTTATTATATTATTTCATTATTTTGCTACTGTTATGTTTACACTTCTTTTTTTCTGTTTTTACTGTTGGAAGCCACTTAGACTAGCTCCACAATGAGATAAGCAGCAAATAAATTTAATAAATAAATATTGTATATATAGCTATTTTCATATACATTTTAAATTAGAATCTGCTTGCTTTTAAAAAAGAAAAATACAGTTATAGTTGTATCCAAGCAGTACAGATCCACTTGCTTTCTAGCAAATGGTTTGAGAATTTCTCTTAACTTCAAGGACAGTTCATAATTACCATTTATTCAGTGTCATTGTAACTTTGGATGGTTGCTCAGTGAATGATTGATTAAGCAAGAACTATCTTGCTTAATTTTAAATTGTTAGAATAACTTATCTTTTAACATTTAGACTTAACTGGTATTAAAATTGATTTCATTACAGATTGCCAATGAAACACCTTTAGATGTTGTAAGTACAAGAATCTTAGCTCTGGAAATCTTTATTATAAATATTCTGAAGTGTTGAAATCAAATTGAGAAATCAAAAATACTTCATTAAACAATATAAAGTATAATTCTATTAAAAGTTTTTCAGACTGCACATTCATTCATATGTATTGTCTCCAGCCTTTCGAAACAGCTTTCAATTTTTCTGGTTGCTGGGAAAGGTACTTCTCCAATACTGGGAAAATACATTGTTGCTATAAAGAGATGTAGAAAGGTGCTATGTTTTGTATTCTGACATCCAACTAGCAGCTTCTTACAATAGAATCCAAAGCATCTAAGATTATTATTCCCCAGATAGCTAAAAACACCATGCAACAAGTCTTCCATCCACCCACTTGCCTATCTAGTCATCTACATTTGTCATGTAATGTTTGGATTTTTTTTTTTAGCAAAGACAGTTGTATTTTACAGAGTAAGCCTTGATATTACTTATCTATTAATTAAGATGGAATATTAGGTATTTATGTTAAATTGATTGCATTATTAACTGTATTTTTATTTAGTTAATGGAAACATCAGGGTCTGACATGCTGAATGATTCAGAGAACAGAGCACCAATTAGTCCATTGCATTTAGCTGTAAGTACTCAATTTATCCAATATTCAATGTAGGATTATGTAAAGCTACCTGGTATCTGTCTGATTTAATATTTACAATTCAATAATTATTTTCCTTCGCTAACATCTAAGATATGTCTTTATTTATTTATTTTTTTGTTTAGGCCTATCATGGACATCATCAAGCTTTGGAAGTATTAGTGCAGTCTTTGTTGGATCTTGATGTCCGGAACAATAATGGAAGAACACCTTTGGATCTTGCAGCTTTTAAGGGACATGTTGAATGTGTGGATGTACTCATTAATCAGGGAGCCTCTATCTTGGTAAAAGACTATGTTATAAAGAGAACACCAATACATGCTGCTGGTAAATACATAGTTTTTATATCATAGTGGAAGATTATTTTGCAGATAGAAGCATGTTTATGGCCCCTCCTTTCTCTAAACTGTTTTCATTCCAGCAGGTCCATTATAGAAATGTTTTAAGCATTTGTGTCTTAGTATAATTTTCATCCTTTTCTTCTTCTTCTTTTTATTTATGTAGATGTGTGTGTGTGTGTGTGTGTGTGTGTGTATTTGTAAGCCTATATGCAGAAAATCTTACTGTATTGTTTACATTTACAACACTATACAAGAATTTCAGTTTAAAATGCTTTAAACATTTTAAAATATTTAAAATAATGATAATATTTTTCTTGTCTTTGTCTTGAGTGCAAAATAAAATACATTTGTTAATATACTTTTCTCTCAAAAATGCATAAGAGTAAACTGTTCTTGTATACAGGAAATCCTGCTAATTTATGCTACAGTCACATAATTCTATATTTAAAAGAAATCGGTTTATTTAATTTTATTTCACTGATTTGAATCTGGGCAGCTTACAATATAGCAAAAGCAAGATAAAAGCACAATATAAAATAGATTAAAAAGATGATAATCTGTCTGCTTGGCAAAAAAAATGTACAAAATATACATCCAGCAAAAGTTTTCACAAATACCTCATCCAAGCCCTGGGTCTGGGAGAACAATCAGATCTTTAAGGTCTTCAGGAACTCCATCAAGGTAGGAGTCATGTGGATCTTAGGGGGCTTCATTCTAGAACACCAGTATCATTGTAGAAGGCATAATCCCTGGCTCCCAGTAGATGGCACTTTTTAACCAAGTGGACCTGGCACATACCAGCTTGATCAATTTCTATTGGCAGAAATCATAGGAAATAAGCAGATGCTCAAATAACTTATTTCTATACCATTTTAGCTTTGTAGATGGTAACTAATATTTTGAATCACACATAGAAGCACACTGGCAACCAGAGCATATTAAATAAGGAAGTTCTATATTAAGGAATACATTTCAAAGAATTACATACTTAAAAAATATTTACATATAGTAGATTAGATACAGATATATTCAGATTTGAGGCGATCCATTAATTTCAGCATGAAAATTCGGGATTTTCATAAAACAACTGATATATCAGTGTGATAGCTATCACATCTTAAATATTTTTTAGATAAATCAAGGTTTTTTATGGCTATATATTTTAGATATTCAACTTATTATAAAATTGATAAATTACACAAGTAGAAGTAACTCTTCAAAACAGACTTGTTCTTAATCACTGGTTATGATTACTATTTGTTGATGGTATTTTGCAGCTACAAATGGTCATTCAGAATGCTTGCGGTTGTTAATTGGAAATGCAGAACCACAGAATGCTGTGGACATTCAAGATGGAAATGGACAGTAAGTTTCAAATAATTGTATCTAAAGTGAGGCAAATTGCATAGTGGAATTATCCATTGCAGATAACTATGTAATATAACTATAAAGTGTATCATAACCTTTTTAATGTATATATTAGTATGAATTGTTATATCAAATACATAAAACAATTGTTATATATTATATATTATTACATAATGTAATATAAATTACAGAATATCATTATTATTCTGATTATATACTGCCTTTTTGTGGGGGAGTTTGAGGTGGCTTCAGTAAGAGTCTCCCTAAATTATAACAATTATGAGAAGGCATGTTTGGCTTAAAGTCATCAGAATGTTCCATGGTCGATACAGAAATGACTCATGCACTAATAGCTGTGATAAGGGACTCCAGTCCAAGAAAAGCCACAATTAGTGGAAGAGATGATTCTGTATAAAGGCCTTTCTGGTCATAGCTATCCTTATTCAAAGTAAGGAAGAATTCCTTGATGGAATTACACCAGCTCCATTGCCAAGACAGTAAGGAGTAGCATATATTTTAAGTCCACAACAGCCAAATAAAGTTTGGAAGTAGGTCACCCAAGACACTTATCTAATTCGCTAAACCAGATATGTCAAACACAAGGCCCGGGGGCTGGATGCGGCCCAGTAGGCCGCACCCACCCTCACCATATACCCACCCGGCCCCCCAATGGCAACCGCAATGCTGATGCCCTCAGTGAAATTGAGTTTGACACTCCTGCACTAAACTGTAAGTTCCAACTACTATACAATATAATCAAATTTGCAAAATTCTGTAATCATAGCGACTCTCGATAAAAGCAGTTTTAGCTTTCCTGTGAATTGATGTATTAGTTTAGTTTACCTCATTTGGTTGATATCACCTGCTAATTGAGTAGGTGCTACAAGTTAAGGAAAAGCCCAAAATTACACACCAGTTCTGTCAAAGTGTATGCAACCCCATTTAGAACTAAAGATGACAAATCCATGATACTAAAGGAATTGGGAACATACTGCCACTGAGTTTTGTCACAGATGACTTTAAATCTGTTCCTTCCCATTCAGATTCTAAACGTTTTCAGGCACCGGGATAGATACGATCTCAACAGCATAACTTAGTAGACCCAGGGTCAAGATATACAGCTGAATATTATCAGCATAATGATAAGACCCTTTGTTGATGGTTGATCTCATCTAGACCTTAAACAAGAGGCTGCAAAATAATCAACACCTATGATATTCCACAAATCAGAGATCCAAAGCTCAGCCTCTATTTCCCTGCAAACACCAATTGGAACTGACTGTACAAAGCATAAAAACTATTGCAGCATTGTGCCCCCCATTCTTAAACCTTTCAGTCAGTTCCAGATGTATACACAATTGACTGTATTAAAAGAGCCAAGAAAAACTGGATAGTTGCAGCACTTCTATCCTGCTTCCTGCAGGAAGTCAAAAGTGTAATCATTAGTTTCTCTGTATGCTATCCAAGCCTTAATCACAATTGAAAAGGGTCCAGATGCTCTCTTCCAGATCGTCTGAGGTTACAGTTTATTTACCTTTTCAACAGCCTATCCTAAAAAGGAAAGATTGGAAATTAGACATAAATGTTGAAAACTATTGGGGCCAATGGTTGTGTCATGAAAAGAGAGTACATATATTAGTAAAACAATAAAATGAACAGAATGTATAGTGACTTGGTACACTAGTTCTTTTCATACTACTTTTTGGGGTAGGGAGGGAAAAAAAAGCTTGATTCCTAGTGATTTCATGGATATGTTTATGTAGTTTTCTGGTAACACTATATAAAAATGAAAAAAAATATTATATATTCTGGGATAGTTTTGAGTTTTCCTGGTCAACAACCATGATAATCTGCAGTGATCTCCCACCCAAGTAGTAAAAGGCATAAGGTTCTTTTGAGAAGGAAATGATTTGTATCATTTAAATGTACAGGACTTCGCTGTTGCAGGTTTAACAACTCTTGGATCAGGTTTCCTTGTATACTTCTCACTGCCTATTTAGGCAGGTTATGAGCATGATAATAGAACGTTGTTACTGTACATTGTATCATCTTTGTCTTTGTCTTTCAGGACTCCTTTGATGTTGTCTGTTCTTAACGGGCATACAGATTGTGTCTATTCCCTCCTCAACAAAGGAGCAAATGTAGATGCCAAAGATAAATGGGGAAGAACAGCATTACACAGAGGGGTAAGAGAGACAACAGGTGTGTCCTCCTACCCCCACCCTGCTCTTTGCTTCAATAGGTAGCATTGCTGCAGTTCCAACTAAGGTAACAGAAATATTATGTTGGATCCAGACTAAGCAGGTGTCTTTGAAATCATAACTTCTAAATGCAATTAATTGTGCTAAAATGTATTGCAACTAACTTAGTCTAAATCCAGTTCTGTATTAATCTATATTATTCATAGTGAATGTATAAATCTTATATTTTTCATTCCTATACTTTAAAAAGTATAATTTACATTACCATGGAAGTGTCTCTTCAAAACAATTTTCTACTGTATCTTCAATGTATTATTTTATTCTTTAGAAATATTCCATCTGTATCCAACTTCATATTTTCATCACAATTAGTCTGGCAGAATATATTTTCTCTTATTTCAGATTCTCTTTGCCATCAGCCATAAGGGATTAAAGTGCTGTAATGGGCAACTTAGTTTCTAGGGAGCTACTGATAAGAAGGGAAAATAGACTACCAAGAGCTGGAATTCAATAGTAGGCATTGACAAACATACAGAAAATTGTTCTTAACACTGCTTGCATCTGTGAGATAGAATAAATTGCTAAATATGTTTTATTTTTTATTTCAGAATCTCACCATTTATGGAACTGATAATTTATAACATAAGGATATTGCCCAAAACTTCTTTATTTTCTTATATTAAATTCTGTGTGGTATCCTAGGCTGGGGAAAAGAACTAAAGCAATACAAGAAAATATATTTATCAGAAAACAGAATGGACATTTATTAAAATGATACTCTTAGCAAACAATAATTAGACAAGAATCTTAATATTTAAGAGTACATTACTAGGGCAATTGATAGGAAGCAATTCTATGCCTTGAATGTCAGGACTGAAGATCTTAAACCTTTGTCCATAGCAGGACAGGAAATTTGTCCAAAGCAAAAGTACTTCTAAAGTTGGAGAATCAAGTCAAAGCTATACTTTTGATTTGATTATATATCATCTACAATTTAGTGTAGATGTTTTAGTATAATCCAGGACATCAGCCTGAATATAATTGTTTAGGTTTTAGCTCAGATGTGTATGAATGTATTTGATTAAAGGCATGGTCAGCCAGATAAACTATGGAACAAAATAGATTAATCACAAGATCACATCTGACTTTTTATATCCACAGCTGTCTACCTTTGCTCCGTTGTACTCTCTGAGCGTGTGTGTGTGTGTGTGTGTGTGTGTGTGTGTGTGTGTGTGTGTGTTAGCCAACTAGGTAATATTTTCAATGCACTAGAAGATCTTTAATGCAGTAACATCACCCTACTTAGATAATTAAAGGTCTGCATGAAAATAGCCAAGCTCAGAAAGCACCAAGAACTCCATAGTTCTACCCTGAGCTATAAATATTCTCTTCTATTGGTAGCTTTGCTCCTTTATTGATATAAAAACTAATAAACAACTATATTGCATATTAGTTTTTATATTAATAAAGTAGCTGTAGTAAAATAGCTGAAAGCTGGTTGGATAGAACAGCATTTTTATTTTTTTTATATCTACAAGTGCCTATATGCATAATGCACATTTTTAAAATTTTTTCTCAGGCTGTTACTGGGCATGAGGAATGCGTAGAAGCACTGCTTCATCATGGTGCAAAAGCCACCCTACGAGACTGCAGAGGACGTACACCTATACATTTATCTGCTGCTTGTGGACATATTGGGGTATTAGGAGCACTCTTACAATCATTGTCATCTGGGGATATGATACCTGCTCTGACAGACAATCAGGGATATACATCATTGCATTGGGCATGTTACAATGGTAAGAAAAGAACTATTGTTTCGGAGGGAAAGTGGAAGAAAATAAATTAAATTCCTAAAATGCTACAGGAATGAAAAGATTCTTGCCAAAAGCAGTTGTATGTTTCCAGGCGCTTGTTATGTTGATATGTATATATGAAATCTCTTCAAAATATTGTAAAGTGATTAGTCATAGAATATATAATCAGCAAATTTATAAAAAAGCAACCAATTATGAAGCTTAGGCAGATTTTAAATATCTAGAAGTAAAAAGGAATATAAAAACCTACACATGTACAACCTCACTTTTGATTTTATCCTATAATTATTGCTGCTGAATATCTGAAATACATATGCACACACATATCCAAATAATGGATGAGCAGTGTGGTGGCCTAGTGATGAAGCTGCTTGCCTCCCACACGGAAGGTTGCAAATTTAATCCAAGGTAGCAGCAGATGCTTCTCTCTTAGGGAACAAGAAATAAACATCTGTTGTGAACTCTGTATGGCGTTAGGAAGGGCATCCGGCCATAAGTGCTCAGCTCCATTCAGTTGCCCAGACTCTACCCCAAATTAAGGGATTACAGTGTTATAAAAAAGGAGTTTTTTATACCAGGATAGTTATATATTGCAGCGAGTTATATGTATATATATTCCTTAATAATAAAAAATGAATTGTATTGTGTGCTTACCCTCTGGTATTTAAAACTTTTAGGTCACGACTATTGTGTGGAATTTCTTTTGGATCAGGAAGTTTTTCAGAAAATGGAAGGAAATTCTTTCAGTCCATTACATTGTGCAGTGTAAGCAAATTCTGTACGACCCCAAAATACTTCATTATATCTTTTATCAAACTTTGGTTGTGGAATTAATTTCTTTTAAAATTCTTTGATAGGATAAATGATAACGAGGGTGCTGCTGAAATGCTAATTGATATACTGGGATCAGGAATTGTAAATTCTACAGATGCAAAGGCAAGGTAAAGTTGGAAATACTATACAAGAAAAATACTAAGTATGTTAATTACCCTAGTCCAGGGGTAGGCAACCTTGGCTCTTTTATTCCTGTGCTGGCTCAGGAATTCTGGGAGTTGAAGTTGAAGTCCACGAGTCATAAAAGAGCCAAGGTTTCCTACCCCTGCCCTAGCCTAAGTAAGGGAGACTGTCAAGATACTTATCTAGTGACTAGAGGCTAGATGGGGAGAAACAGACTATGGCTCAATCTTGACATAACAGTGACTCCACCTCCCTCCTCTGACAGAGATATCTCCATTGTTGGTCTTGGATGATGTTGTACTTCTCCATTGAAGACTGATGCACATTTAGGGGTCCTCCTGAAACTATAGCTACTGTTCAAAGAGCAGGTATCAATTGTGGCTAGGAGGCCTTTGTACAGATACATCTTATGCACCGATTGCATTCTTTTTTTGGCCTGCAGATAGTCGCTCACATTTTGGTCATCTCACAACTGCGCTACTGCAGCATGCTCTATTTGGAATCTATAATTGGCTCACAATGCAGCAATACAAGCAGTAATGGGCACTTGTGTCATTACTATTATATGAACTAAATTAGCTGCTAATTGGCTGCTGGGTGCAATTCAATGTGCTGGTTGTTATCTTTAAAATCCTTCATAACATAGGATCTGGTTACCTGAGGGAACATCTTTCTCCCATTGTTTATTCCCCCCCCCCATATTCAGGCAGAGTGGATGTATTCTAGGTCCCTTTTATTAATTGCTCCCATCTTGTGGAATCTAGGCAGCATAGCCTTTTCCGTCACAGTCCCAAAGAGATATGAATGGCATCCTCTCTGCTGATATTAAAAAAAAAATAAAATCTTAAAATCTTGGTTTGTTCCTAGGCTTTATATATAATTTAGTATTATATTTTGTAAACTACCCAGAGTTGGTGAGTGCTATAATATAAATATTTATTCTGGATGTGAGCAGCATCATGAGTTGCAACATTTTATATTTTTTTTGTGTTCTTCCCTTATGTTCTTCCAAATTCAAATTAAACTTTTTAGATATTTTTAAAGATTTATTAATATAGGTTCTCCTTCTATATAAAATCATGGCTGTATTAGAGTTACATTGATTCTTGGTTCTAAGATCATGTTTCTTTTCCTTCTTAGAACACCTCTCCATGCAGCAGCCTTTACAGATCACGTAGAGTGTTTACAGCTTTTGCTTAGCCATAATGCACAAGTAAACTCTGTAGATTCTTCTGGGAAGACACCTTTAATGATGGCTGCAGAAAATGGGCAAACAAATACAGTTGGTAAGACAAAAGCTAATTTTTATTATTACTGTTAGCCAATAATATATTACTGTAAAAAAACAGCATTAGAATCAAACATTTTAAATAAAAAGTACCTAGGTCAGCCCAGAAATTCAAGCAAACAATATTCTCTATTTTTTAATAATCGAATTGGATTTATAGCTAAAAATGTAAAGCTTTGTATAAGCATATTGTTCCTTGAAGTAGAATTAACAAATCCGTGTAGCGAAAGTCTGACAACCTGTGGATGACAGCAAAGAGACACAGGCAGTTCTGATTCTTTGCTACCATCTAATGGTCATTGTTGCTGGCCAGATCTAGTAGTCTTACATAGAGTTGTGAAATTAAAAGAAACTGGTTAGACTTTGCTCAGAAGGTAGCTGCCCAGCCTCCACTTGAAACTGTTATAGATCTTTCCATCAGCAAATCTTTTCTTACAATTGTACTTAAAGGTTTGTAAATCCTTTTGAATATTCAGTATCTCTGCATAAATTTGACCCAAAGTTATATAGCACACAAATATGTAGGTTGGAAAATAATCCAAAGTTACATATTTTCTGTGGCAAAATTATGGAATAATCTATGATTATCATTTGAATGGGAAATTAAAACTCTTTTAAATAATGAAATGATAAGTTTGAGTGTGAGAGATCCTGCCTTATTTAAAGAACAGAATTCTGGGTATATTCACTATCAAAATCTGATCTTCATAACTCAGGAATATGGAGGTGTGCCAGGGCTGAAACAAAACAGATTTCAGTGGATCTCTAAAAAACAGTTGCTGGAAAGCGTGACCAAATTGTTTACAAAGATTTTGGATTTGACCAGTTCATCATCATCCAGATCATGTACAAATGAAGGCAATTCAACAACATTGAATTCTCTAAGAATTCAACTAAGATCACATCAAGAGCAAAATGTGTAGTATTTTGGGAGATGTTTATCTTTATCTGTGACTTGTACCAAGAACATAGCACATTTTAGGCCATTGTGCAGAAATATTGAAACAAACTTTTAAGCACCACTGTATAGTGAAGTAAACCTAAATATACTGTAGGTAGTCCTCAGTTTTCAGTGGTAATTGGGACCAAGAACTCTGTGGGTAAAATACAACATCACAAGATAGTGGCAACTTATGATAGCAGTTCCAGTTGTAAATCATTAAGTGAATCCCACCCAGTTATGAATATGATGACATGTGATTGCCATTTGCGCCCTCTTGACAGCTTCCCCATTGACTTTGCTTGTTGAAAGCCAGCACTGAAGGTTGCAAATAGCAATCATATGACAATATGATGCTGTGACCATCATAATCATGAGCAGTTACCAAGCATCTAAATTGTAATCATATGGGAACATTGCAACAAATACAATTTTGAGGACCAGTCATAAGTCTCCTCTTCTGACCCAAGACATGCAAATGGCAATAGGTGCGAGCAGAGTATGTTTATTAAACAACTACCTTGCTAAAGTAATTTCCCCAAAAAACCTCAAGTTACAAAACCCCAAACTAGTAGATGGTCTCCAAATGCAAGAAGTTCAATAAGTTAATCCCAAAACAACAGATGTAAAACTCAGACGAGCAATGGAACAAAGCCAATAGGTTGTTCTACAAATTTCAAAAGATACATACACCTTATAACAAGTTCCACTAGACAGTCCAGCAGTGAGCAGTCTTAAGTTGAAGTCCCAAGAACTGCAGAACTGACAAGACAAATCCAAACTCCATGAGAGCTGGGTACTGGAATCGCAGAGCTGAAGATGTTATATGCTGATAAAGTGAATGGCTGTCTCCAATGCCATCCCACACACCTGGTTAAATAATTCCAAATACAGTGTTTCTCATTAGGAGGGACGAGATTGCTTCCTCGCAAGTAGCTGCCTCTGTGCTTCCCTTTATTTCTCTCTTCATGTCCGTGGATTGGGTAGGTGTAGCAGCTGTTCTTCATTGGAGGCAGCCTTTTGCCACTCTAGAGCACTAACTGGCAGCAGCTGTGTCTCTGTTTCTTTTGCTTCTGTGAGTGGCTATTCATCTGGTGGGTCGCTTCCCCTGATGCTTGACGATCTGAGATTCTTAGCCACTGGGTTCTCTGAGTGCTCCTGGGAATCCATGGTAACCCCTATCTCAGTGATGGCGAACCTTTTAGAGACCGAGTGCTCGAACTGCAACCCAAAACCCACTTATGCATCGTCGGGTGCCGGGTGGATGTGGCCCATTGGGTGGGTGTGGCCCATTGGGTGGGTGTGGCTGCAGTGGTAACAGCAGACTGGGTGGGACTAAAAAGTTCAATCAATCAATTCCAACTTTGCAAGATTTTTTTTTTCCACGAGAAGTTGAAATTGACTGACTGATTGAACTTTTTTTTTTTTTGTACATGGCAGTGGAGGCCTAAAGGGAAAAGGTTTTATAAAACCCAGCTGAAGGCCTAGGACTGGGGCAACGGCACGCGTGCCCACAGAGAGGGCTCTGAGTGCCATCTCTGGCACCCGTGCTATAGGTTCGCCACCACTGTCCTATCTGATGACCCTGGTTCCAGTTCATCCTCATCATCAGAGCTAACAACCGATGGGGCCATCCCATCTCCTCTTTTAAAGTCTCATAATTTTGAATGGTAGCTGACCAAACAACAGAATGAACCGAGAACTACCTATAGTTGCAATTTTTAGACCTTATTTCTGTTCCTACTTTCTGGTCGCAGTGCACAATATTTCCTGACTATCATCCCTATAGCACTTTTAATATATCTTAATATTAATTTATCCTATCTTTTCAGTTTTATAATTTCAGTTGTAGGATTAAATTAATTTTGCCTTTCAAGAGGCATTTGAAACTTATACAGTAAGTATAGGAAGTCTACATATTCTGGTTAAAATGCCAGGTTTTTGAGATGTAAAAAAAATCAGACCAAGATAGATCACTTCAGAATTCTTTCCACCTTTAATACAACATATAAACTGTATAGCTCAATTGAAAAACAAGTTGAAATATTTAAGGGAAAAAAATAGACATACAATAATGTGGTTGCATAAAGATACACATCCTTAAACTAATACTTTGTTGAAATGATTTTATGACAGCATTCAGTCTTTTGGGGCAGAAACCTATTAGCATGGCTTATCTTGCCTAGGGAATCTTTGCCCACTGTTCCTCGCAAAAGCGCTCCAAATCCAAAGATTGCAAGGGCATCTCCTGTCCACAGACCTCTTTAGGTCACCCTACAGATATTTTGTTGGATTCAGATCCTGGCTCTGGGCGGACCATTTCAAAACTTTGATCTTCTTCTGATGAAGCAATTTTTTTTTGTTGTTGTTGATCTGGAAGTATGCTTTGGGTCATTGTCATGTTAAAGGTGAAATTCATCTTTAATATTTTAGCAGAGGATTGAATGTTTTGTGCCAAAATCCTCTCCATTTTGACTAATGCCCAAGTTCAACCTGAAGAAAAGCAGTCCCGAAGTATAATATTGTCACCAGCATGCTTCACTATAGGTATGGTGTACTTTTGGTGATGCAGTGTTGTTTTTGCATCAAATCTACTTTTTGGAATTATGGCCAAAAAAATTCTACATTGGTCTTATCGGACCATAATATGTTTTCCCACATGGCTTTTGTCAGACTTGATATATGTTTTTGCAAAATTTAGCCAGACTTGGATATTGTTCTTTATAAGAAAAGGCTTCTGTCTTGCCACCTTACCCCACAGCTCAGAATAGTATGGGAGATTGTTGTCACATGTAGTAAGCAACCAGTGCTTACCAGTAATTCCTACAGTTCCTTTAATGTTGCTATAGGCCCCTTGGCAGCCTCTCAGAGTACTTTTCTTCTTGTTTTTTCATCATTTTTGGAAGGACATCGAATTCTTGATAAGGTCACTATTGTGCCATATATTCTCCATATGTGGATGACAGTCTTCACTGTATTCCATGATACAGTATATCCAGTGCACTAAAAAAAAATTGTACATTTTTCTTGATTAATACCTTCTAACAATAAGATCCTTCTGATGTTTTGTAAGCTTTTTGCAGACCATGGCTGTCAGAAAAATCCCAGTAGAGCAGCTGAATTTAATATATGGGCTTGATCGAATCTTAAGGGAATGGAGGTGTGTATTGACTACAATTTAATATCAGTTTGAGTGTAATTAGTTAATCCCTACTTATAAAGGATATGAACACCTATGAGCCACATTATTATTTTTATTTTTTCCTCATTAAGCAATTTTAGTTTGTTTTTCAATTGAATTGTATAGCTTATATGGTATATTAAAGGTGAAAAGAATTCTAAAATTATTTATCTTGATCTGAATTTTTTACATTTCAAAAACCTAGCATTTTAACAGGGCTGAATAGACTTTCTAATCCACTGCATGAATAATGAGCAATCAGCATTACAGAATAAAAAATTAATTCAGAAGTCTTTCAAATTATTTTCATATCAGAGCCATGAATAATCTCTGTTGATAAGAAATGAATTTTAGAGTATAAATGTATACCATGCAAGTGTTGACAAATTTAGCTTTTTAGTTAATAGAGTATTCTATTTTTTCCCCAGAGGTATTGGTTAGCAGTGCTAAAGCTGATCTGACTTTGCAAGATAAGTGTAAAAACACTGCACTACATCTGGCCTGCAGTAAGGTATATACGATTTTCTGATTTGAAGCTTCTGTGATGTATTGCTGCTGCTGTTCTTGTAATTTTTTCTTGATAAATTAAGCTGCTCCAGACCAGCAGTGGCAGTACACCATTTCAACTGCAGTAGGAAGTAAATATTTCTTCTCTACAATTATATGTGGTGAGAATAGAAGGGATTCTTTCTGATTATTATTTCTTGGTCATAACAAGATAATGAGCGAAAAACACATTTTTAACAAGAATCTAAGGGTTTAATTTATTTTATTCCTGAACTATTTTATTTATATAACATTCCATTTCCATAAAACATATCTAGGCACTGGATTTGGCAAAAAGAAAAGCAGGGTGATACCTCAATGAAAAGAAGCAAGAGATTTTTTTTTTAGAAACAGGAAATATAGCCACTAGTGTAAAGGCAAGTGAAGTATTATATAGAATATTCAAAAACCTTGAGCCAGCCATGAACTCTATTTAATAAACTATCTAGTAGACCATATTATTTCTTATTTGTCAATAAAATTCCAGCTATGTGTTCCTTATGTGTCTAAATACATTTGTTATGGATTATTTCAAGAGTAGAAGCTGATGTTTTCTAAGCCTTGAAGAAATAGATATTGCTTTTTTTAAAAAGAGAAATAACATACCAATCTTTCTTTCTCTCTTTTTTTAGGGTCATGAAACTAGTGCCTTGTTAATATTAGAGAAGATTACAGATAGAAATCTGATCAATGCCACCAATACAGCATTGCAAACGTAAGCAAATACTATTTGGTACACTATTATGCCATATTTTTGTAGTGAAAGATTAACCTTGGTTTATGTGCTCTTGGTCTCATGGCTGAGAGAAAACTCTTTCCCTTTTGAGTTAATCATAATTTTTGTCATCTAAACAATAAAGAAGTTAACATTAACTATTGTTTATAAACAGACTACAATAATCTATGGATTTAAAAGCTTTTTTCAATGTCATTAATCCTAAGCAGTCTGTGTAGTGCAAATAATATAACAGATAGTGTTAATCATAAACATTTAGATACAAGTAGATTGAAATCCATATAGCTGCCTAATTTCATGAAATATAGATTCACTAGTTACATATTCTCACTATTAACTCTATAGACATATAACAAGCAATTTATAGATCTGCTTAATAATTATGCTTATTTATTGGTTACAAATATTTTTATGCTTAAATCATGCAGTCATTTTTGGATAATTTATTCAAATGAATTGAGAATTGTTCTTTTTCTTGTTCTAGAAATGCTTTTTGTTACAATTTACATCCAAATTTCTAGTGCTAAAGATACAAAAAAGAAATGCTAGCTATAAAACATTGCTGTATATTGATTCTTGTGTACATTGTTTATTTTTTGTTGCAGTGTTTTCATTCTTTGTGGGTTTTCTCCACAGGCCTTTACATGTTGCTGCACGAAATGGATTAACAGTTGTAGTTCAAGAACTTCTGGGGAAAGGAGCAAGTGTACTTGCAGTAGATGAAAATGGTAAGTGGATGAAAACAGGATGAACTCCAGTCTAATCATGTCAAGCCAAATGCTGCTTAGAAGTCTACTTTGAGGCTCACTGTTTTTAAACAGGATGGCTTGAATTCGTCATTACAACAATTGGGATTTATCCATGAATTTAATGGTTCCTTTGATGGTTTCTATAATGTGAATATAGTAAATTTATTGCAAATATTTTCTTCCATTTTTTAAATACAGTTATACACATGACATTTCTTTAAAAAGATACTGAACAAGTCCATGCCAAATTATAGACTTTTTCTCTATTGCTTTAGCTATAATCTATGAATGGATTTATAAATAAATCTTGCCAAATATGTGTTTCTTAAGGATGGGGGAATTGGCATTCAGAAGGTTACTTATCAGCATCCCATCACAAGTGCACCTTTTGTTATTCACAGATATTTTTCCTCTCTCTATATTTGCTTTAGAGAAAAACAGTGTGATATTCTGTAAAGAAATAATAGACAAACATTTGATGTCGAAGGAGGCTGTTTTATGGCTTACAATATAATATTTTTAGCATTTCCCAAAATGTCATGAAATTGCATTACCAATTTTCAGTAGAAATGGGTTTAGTGGCATCGAGAAGGTATTCATGATATTAAATAATCTTTTGGCTATTACATGTTACCTGTTATTTAGGGTATTTTAATAACCAACTTGTCCAATAACGTTGCTTCTAATATCTTGGTTTAGTTGTAATAGATTGTGTATCTTTCACATTAGAAGTTCTGATTCATTTCTATTTTTAATTATTTTTAATGATTTCAGGAATATGTGCTAATGTTTTTCAAAGGTCTGGCCCCATAATTATTTAATTTAAAAAGCAAAATTATAATGCAGTCAGAATAATCATATATTTGTTTTTTAAGCATAATGCATTTTGCTTTTACATCCACTGACAGAACTGAAAGAAAGTAAAAGAAAAGAAAATTACTACATTTCTCTTGTCTCTAGGTTATACACCAGCATTGGCCTGTGCTCCCAATAAAGATGTGGCTGACTGCTTGGCTCTCATTCTGGCTACAATGATGCCTGTTTCATCAAGCAGCCAAATATCTTCTCTTACATTTAATTCCATTAATCATTATACCACCAGTTCAAAAACAGTCACCTTTGATTCTTCACCAATTACCCGAAGTGAACATAGTTCTTATTGTAGTTTCAACAACATTGGGAGGGAAGATGGCTATCCATATACAGAAGAAGATGAACTTAATGACTCAGATTCTGAAACATATTAAAAAGCTCCATTAGAGGTCTGAGAAGTGAACTTACTTGCTGAATTTCCAGTTTGTTATTGGAGAAAGCAGTCTTGCTGAATACAAAAAAAGGATAGCCCAAGGAAAATATTCCTTTAACGAAAGTATGGGGACACAACAAAAAATATGATTCAAGAGTTTTTTTAAAAGAAGGTTATGCAAAAGAAATGGTTGGAATCTGTGGTGAAAACAATTATCTAGAATGTTATTTAATTGCAATGTATTGGTTTCAGTGAATAATCCCAATAAAGTTGTGCATCTTTCTATAAACAAATATGCAATTATAGAACAAAATGGACAATACATTCAAATCTTAACTGCAAAAACTAAGATCATTTTGAAGGCAATAATTGAGTTTGGGACAGGAGGCATTGTTTATGCTGCAAATTGCCAAAGGACCAAATAACTTAAAACTTTTTTTAAATTTAAAAAACCCTTTTTGAGAACACTTGAACAGCTTAAATAAGTAATAGTCTTAACCATCCCTTAAATTATAACTAGCAATTAATCTCACATTGGTTTTAACTGTTGATTTGTTGTTTTAATCATCTGATATCCTTCCGACACTATTAAATATACCACAAAAATACAGCTTATAATTTGTTAGGCTTTTAAGGTATTAAAGCTGTTACTAGCTGAACCAGGAATTGTCAAAGTAAAATGAGTACAAAAACAGCAACGTAGTAAATCACTAGCTTTCTTTTATTACACAAATAGAAAAAAGAGAGAGAGACGCAAAGATACACAAACAAACACACCAACGGGAATTCTTTGAGTAAGTCAAACTGCATCAAAAATAAAACTGCAATATCCTGATACTTTGTTAGACGCCTTATAGAATACTATTTCTTACAATTCACCCAATGTTTTACTAAATTTAGTGAATGATATTGGTGCCTCTATTTGTGTACATATAATTAAAATGTTTTTAAGGCTAAGAATATGACTGAAGATAATATGATAAAATATTGTTACTCTATTACCAAAAAGGTACAATGTCGGATTTTAGAAACATACAGAAGAGCTTCATTTATAATTTTTTAAATGATGCAGATCCTTCTGTTACCTGTGTTTGTCTAATTTATAATAGGCTCCTGCAAATAACTAAAAATGGAAGAATGGCATTTTCCTCTCAAGTTTGTTTGTTAAAATAGAAGTATTTATTTGGTTGCTTTGGTTATGTACATGTGAGACTATCTTGCTTGATAAGGTTATAGCAAATGGATCCCTATCTTTTATCTTTTTTTGTATTGTGAAACTGGAAACCTTAATACCATTGCAAACTATCAGCTTGTTTTCTGAACATAGTGTGAAAACACAAAACAGTATTTTGATCTATTTGATAATTTTGTGGGTTTTTTGAAGAATTAATGAGCATGTACATAGAAATAGCATTTGCTTGAATACTGTACTTACCTGCACTCCTTTCAGTACATCAAGATTCCTGTGTATATTTTACAGAGTATAATAAAATTCAAATGTGAGAGTTGTATTTAATGAACAATTTATGTATCATTATGGAGTATTGAGAATTAATTCAAATTTATTGTATTGAAACCTCAGATTTATAAACCTTATTGTGCAATGCTTTTTAATTTTCTTGATTCTAAAGCAATAATTAGCTTAACTAGTATTTGAATTAGCAGTAATTCAGATATTTAAATATATATTTTGGAGACCTCATCTTTTTATTTTAACTGGATTTAATTTCTGAAAAAATCATAGATATTGTTATTGGGCAGTTGAAAATCTTGAAAGTCTGAGGTTTTCTTTTCTGTATCACTTTATATACATAATGTCTAAAATGGAAAAGATATAAAAGCCTAGTAATTAGCTGAGTATGAACATGTTCTTCATAAGACTTCCTTTTTACTTCACAATTAACTCTGAAAGCATTGTTTATTTTATAAATGAAGCTACCAACTTTTGGAACATTTGAATAATGATGAACTATGAGGCATTTAGTTACTTGTTTTACTCAATAATCAAATCATTGTTTTGTATTTTTCTCAAAATCTTTAGGCAGGCAAAAGAAAACATAATAAAGCAGTAAAGTCATATTTACCTTCCTTAAATAATATCCTCCAATAGCTTTCATTGATCGATATATCAACAATTAGCAACAAAATAAAATATATGTTAACCAGTTTTAAAAAGATGCAATTCTATTCAGATCCTTATAATTCAACCCAGAGCAGCTAAAATCAGCTAAAACTGATAAATAATGTATTCCTTATTTTTTCATTTAGATCTGATTTTTCTGGTCCAATATGGTTAGGACATAGTGTCTTTTGGAATATAAGCAGGAAATACAAGAAGGTAGACAAAAGATAACTGCTTGATAATTTCGAAGATTATAACTGACACACAATTCAGATAAAAGTCTGGAACCAGTAAAACTAAGACAACAGTAATAAGTACAATATTTGCAAAGAATAAAAAGAATACTGTAATAATATTCCAAAATTTAATACTAATTTTGCTGTAAAAGACAGCATATGAAACAACATAAAACTCATATTTGATATACTTCATATTTCAGAAGTCTTAGATCTGAGGTCCTAGGCAAATCTCCCCTCAACTCAGCCCTCTCATGTGAAATACAAATACACTGTTCCTCCTTGACCACTACATCAACATCTTATAGTCCAGTTTATATCCCAAGATGCCAATAATGCATTGATTTTAGTTTGTTCTAGGGAGATCTACTCAAGTCAGTTTCCTACCTACAGTCAGAATGTAATGTTAAAACAAAAGCAGTTGAATAAAAGGTGACACAGCTTTTGAAGTGAATATGCTTCTATAGTAAAGAATCCTTAAGTGCTTTTCTATAATTAATTGGATATAAAATAAAAGCAGAGGTTACACTCAACACTTGATACAGTGCAATAGAAGTCTCCTGAAAAGGTTCAGTCAGTCCTGTTAAAAAAAAGTGAAAAGTTTCCTTTAGTCCTAAGAAAGTTCAGTTGTGTTTAATATGTATACCTTGAAAATGGTGATTTTTTGTTTACATTTTATATCCTTCCCTCCACAAACCTCACAATATGAGTTCTCAAAAAAATAAATAAATAAAAGGTTATCACTAAATATTGCAATAGTTTTGAGTACAGTTTTATTTGTATTTTCTAAAAAAGTGAATGAATCAATTCAACAAAATTCAATAAAAGAATAATAATGTATTTTTTAACCCTAAAATCCCTTTATTTGGAGTGGAAGCAGGGCAACTGAGCCAGATGCCCCTCCTGATGCCTAGGTGGAGTTGCTATTTTCTCTTTGTGCCCTAATAGAGAAACTTTTGTTGCTGCCTAGGATTGAACTCTCAACCTTCTGAAAGGGAGGTAAGCATCTCCACCTGTAGACCACCTTGCTACTCAGAAGAAGAATAATGTATAAGTCCCTGATATTCTTGGTAGAACCTTAAATGTCTTGATCTCAAAATGGAAATCTGAAGGGATTTTTTTTTCAAAACAAAAAGGATTTTTTTAAGATATCAGCAAATCACTGATTTTCTTCATTTTGCTCTAAACTTTGTCTTATTTTTGTCTAATAGTTGTATTTGCTATGTTTTATTTAATCCTGATGTCTGAATATTAAAGATGGATATCATTTTATTCAAGAGGATTTCCAAAATTGAGTGCAGTGTTTTAAACTGTATAACCACAAAAAATCATTTTTTAAAATGTGAAGATAATTTTCTTTGGTCCAGTTAATCTATTTGCTTAATTACAGGTCAAATGCTACTTTAGTTTCTCCCCAAAGTTCTATTGTGCTGTTTTATTATGTTGGAAAGGTATTCCAGTGAGGGATGAGTGAAGGATCCTGAGAGTTGGCATGAAGATTATCCAGCTGCCCAGACAAAGCTAGCAATACATATGTTGGGCAATAGCAATACAGAAAGATGCTGGAGATAAATAATCACTTTAGTGGCAATGGTAAGAGCATCATTTCATATAGTACAGGAGATTGCAGTGATAAGCATTCTTATATTTTATCAAGAAAACAATGACAGACATTCTGAAATAATTGATGGTATAGTGCTAGATGACAGGCTCCTTGGGTCGGATGGTATTCAATATGCTATCAAGGAAAAGCTGAGGTACTTTTGGATTCTAGAGTTGGTGTTTATGACATGCCTAGAATAAAGCCTTTGGGATATCTAATTGCTAATGTTGCCAATCAGAAAAAGAAAATTCAAAAAGACAAACCAGGAGTATGGTAAGAAACATGAGAAAAGCAGAACTCAACACAGAGATGAAATCAATTGCTAAATGTTGCATTTTAGGTATTAGCAAATTGAAATGACCCTTCAAGTCAGAAAAAATATTGTTTACTAATTAGGATCCAAGAATCAAGGAATGATATTAGTAATGGTAAAAGAACCATACTTAAGAATTACACTGCAGACTGATACTTATTACAGTAGCAATAAAGGTCTTACAAATGTATTCAGATTCTGTGATGTGTCTACAACTACAAAAATAGTTGTCAGGTAGACCAGTTCAAGAAAGCAATTCCTGAACAAGAACAAGGGATAAACATCAAAGGAAAGTGTTCGGAAGAGAAGCATTGACTATGAGGAAGAAACACTGGAAAAAAATAGCTGATTATTCCAAAAGCACAATATTCTTAATTGCAATATAATGGTTGCAAGTTTAGGAATGGTCCCATTTCTAAACTTGAAGGCTTCAGAAAAGGGCAGTTTGGAGTTATGTCTGGATTTGTACCAAAGATATATTTGCTTCCAAATGTAAGATCTCAGAGATGGCACATTCTATACACCTGTGAAATGCACTAAAGGGCAAGGCATTTTGAAATAATTCAACTTTAATCATAGTATGTTCCATGTACTGTATATCTGTAATAAAGGTCCAAAAGCTTTGAATAATCTCATCACAGAATATTTATTTGGTTCTTGCAGTAATAATTTTAAGACATTATTGGTATCAAATATTATTTTTTGTCCCTCTCATACCAACGTCCATAAAGGCCAGCTGTTATTAAACCAGAAGATCCTCCCATTTTGTACATGACATAGGAATTTTTTTCCCAGCCCAAATAGTCAGGAAAATCTAGAGTGACCCCAGATCTTAGCAAGAGAGGAAAGATAAAAGTAGTACTGAAATTTCCTCGGAGCTGAAAATCTATCAATCCAGAAGCCTCTGTGATTTCTTGCCCACAGGTAGAATAGTTAAGTCCACCACATTTCACTAATACACAGGCTTGAACATAGTATGTTCCATGTACTGTATGCAAATCATCAAAAACTCCTAAAACATAAAGTTCATTTGTTTTTTCTAATCGCCTATAGATTAAATTACAACAAAGTATATTGGAACAAACTTCTATATTTCCTTCTACATTTAGTATGGGTATTAAGGTAAAATTATCATACATTATTATTTCATAAAATACTGGTAAAAATTCTTGGGATAGCTTTTCTTCTATTTCACAGTCCGTTTCTTGATCCTTATGGCAAATCTGTTTCTCTGCATAAAAATTCAAAGAACTCTTTTGACCGTTGTGGGACATTGCATTGTTTTCCATATTAGTTTCATGATCTGATGTAGTAACTGGGATTTGTACAACTATAAGTTTCCCATTAATGCTTTCCATATCATAATAAGTGAAAGATTTTGATGGTGTATATATACCACTACCTGTCATACCAAAGTCAGGATGATGGATATTTGCTGCCAAAAGATTTATTTCAAAAGCAGTTGCAAAAGCTTGTTGAAATTCAATAGCAGACAAAAGTGGAAGTTGATTCATCCATGCAGTGGGATATGCAACCTGAGTTATGTTGTATTGCTTTATAAGGGTTACAGCTGGCTCATAAAATAGAATATCAAAGCAAGTAAAGATTCCAAATCTGCCTGCAAAAGGTGTATCAAAAATTGTATAATCAATCTCTGGTGGAGTATTAAAGGCATACTCAAAATATAGGTTTTGTTTTCTATATCTGGCTATGAGTGTGCCATTGTCATTAAATACTACATTAGTATTAAACTGATATCTTCCATCTGGTGGACAGTGGGGATCACTTTGCATGCAGGGCTCTTTAGTTCCCAAATTTACAACTAAAAACATTCGATTTTTCAGCGCCATACAGCTGAGTCGATGCAGAACCTATAAAAGTAAAATATTTTTTAAATTAGAATCCTATCTTATACAGTGCTTTTTTTGTAAAAAAAAAAAAAAAAAAAGGTGCCGGAACTCACACACATCATACAACCCACCTTGCCTACCCTACAAGATTCCATCCAAAAAAGGTGTTGGAACTCCAGAGCGTTCTATGACAATATATATATATATATGTAGGTCTTTGGTTGTTCGGGTTTTCTCCCGCGTAAAATTGGAAGTGTCTTGGCAACGTTTCGACGAAGTCTCATTCGTCATCTTCAGGCTGGTGTTTTCAGCTTCGTGCTTTGAGCAGCAATGTGTGGTCTTAGCTGTTTCTTCCTTTTAACTGCCAGTGGGGGTATGAACTGATTGGGTGGGAGCTTGGCTGTGTTCTGATTGGGTGGAGGTGTGTTCTGAATGGTTAGGGGTTTGGCTGTGCTCTGATTGGCTGGGGGAGTGTTCTGTTTGGTTGTGCTCAGGTTAGTCTGAGTTGCAGAGGGGTTTAAGATTTTGGGCTGCCTTGCTATTTTTTGGCTTCTCGTTCGTGCTTGTGTCTCCTCTTCATGGAGGGTGTCAGTTTGCTTCATGTATGGATTGGAGGGGTTTAAAGTGGCTAATGATGCAGCTGTGGTCTGGCTTCTGGTTTGTGGTCGTGCCTCGTCATCGGTGTGGCTTTGGGTTTGTTTTTTGCGTGGATGTGTGGTGGTGACATCCTGTGTGGTTTTTGTGAGTGTGGGTCTGGTATCATTTTTTGTGTTAGGGAGTCGTTTGTCAATAAGGGCGGGTTTCCAAATGGCTGGTAGGCGGGAGGTATCATCTCGCTTGTTCATGCTGTGTGGGCGTTTTTCTATCTCGATGGCTTCTCTGATTATTCTGTTATTAAAATGTTCACTTTTGGCAATGGTTCTGGTATTTTTAAAGTCAATTTCATGTCCTGTGGCTTTAAGGTGTTGGACCAGGGAAGATGTTGGTTCCTCTTTTTTGACGCATTGAAGAACATAAGAACTGACACCCTCCATGAAGAGGAGACACAAGCACGAACGAGAAGCCAAAAAATAGCAAGGCAGCCCAAAATCTTAAACCCCTCTGCAACTCAGACTAACCTGAGCACAACCAAACAGAACACTCCCCCAGCCAATCAGAGCACAGCCAAGCCCCTAACCATTCAGAACACACCTCCACCTAATCAGAACACAGCCAAGCTCCCACCCAATCAGTTCATACCCCCACTGGCAGTTAAAAGGAAGAAACAGCTAAGACCACACATTGCTGCTCAAAGCACGAAGCTGAAAACACCAGCCTGAAGATGACGAATGAGACTTCGTCGAAATGTTGCCAAGACACTTTACCCGCGAAAACCTTAGAAAACATATATATATATATATATATATATATATATATATATATATATATATATATATATATATATATTCATATTTTTAACCTTTTTAATCGCATATATATATATATATATATATATATATATATATATATATATATATATATATATATATATATATATATATAGCTATTGAATTAGGTACAATTTTAGCCTTTAAATGATTTTTATTTGTAAGATTACATTAAGAAAATAGAGGAAAGAAATTAAATTAATTAAAGAAATTACCTCAGTGTCATTGAATAAGTAAAATTCTTTGCATGGATTCCATATTAGAGAATCCAGGTTTGGAATGAAATCCAAATAAGGATAAATGGATGTCCTTGTGAAGTTGAAACCCTGAATTCCATCTTCAGGAAAGATAATTATTTGGGCCCCCTAATAGTAATGAAAAATATTTATCAGCCAAAGGCTAACGGTGAAACAAAATGATATTAAATAGCTATGGTTTAATGCATATAATTGCTTCCATTAAAAATAATTTCATAATTAAAGGAATATGGACAAATTAATAGATTGTGTTTCAATGGAAATTAAATGGAAATTATGACTGAAACACTAATTTTGGAAATGAACGAATCTATCTTTTGCACATATAGAATGCAACAATTCCTTCCTCAAGCATTTTATAGAATACGTATAACAAACTCTTACAGAAAAGTATAATGCATCTTAACTATCACATTTTTAATTAATTAAGGTGATCGAAGATTCTGGGAACTCATAATAAAAACCAAGATGATAGTCTCTTACAATCCAAATATCCGAAGTCTACATTTTCTTAATCACTATAATACTACTATACTACTACATAATACTATTGTATTATGATTATACAACTGAACCTAAACCATTCACTATTATTTAGGTCTATGTCAATTTAGAAAATTGCGATAAGCTATTTCCAACTGACTTCCAATGGTAGTCAAATTTTATATTAAAAATAGCAAAGACTAATATTCTACCTGTTTTGCTGCATTAATTACTTGCTCTTCATAAATGTCTAGATTCCTCTTCATTAATTGTAATGCAGTGTATCGATCAATGATGGCCGCTGGATTGGGATTCAAGATGGCATGATGTTCATACACAGCAGCAACATAATGTTTTCCTCTTTTAATATCTATGGAAAGAACTTGATGACCAAGAACAAAAAAGATGAGCCTAAAATGAAAGCAGATGAATATGACCGTGACCAATGACATCTTAGATCAGTAATGTTGAACCTTTTGAGCTTGCGATGTCAAAAATTCAGAAATTACCTAACTTGACTGCTGGCATCTAAATCTCTCTCCTCCCAGGTCAGAAGAAAAACAATTCATAACGAAGAGTCGCTTTGGATAATGAGATGGGTGGTATGTAAATAAAATGTAAAAAAAAATTTGTCTCAGGAAAAAAAAAATGCCTATCCAAGGCAGCTCCAGATCACATGATGCCTGGAAACTTCAAAGAATGCAATTGTGTAGCGTTGCAGCCTCCAATAACAACAGGACAGCATGCCCCTTTATGTGCTTTTGGGATGCTCCAGAGTCCAGAGGGTCTGGGGGCCATGTTTTACCTTATTTTTGTGTGACCTTTGGAGGCTCCAAAAATTCACATAAGAGCATCCTGCACTTTTTGGAAGCTTCAGAGTCGGCACAAGAATGTGATATGCTCTTGCATGGCCTCCACATCCTCTTTACCCTTGTCACATGAGAGGGCCTGCTCTTGCAGTCTCTGGAGCCTCTGAAAATTGTACAAGAAATTCCTGAAGTTTTTGGATGTTGCAGAATCTGTTTGAGAGCGGGGTCCACTTGTGTGGCTTCCAGAGGGTCTGAAGGCTGTGTAAAAGTACACCACATTCTCATCGGTCTTTAGGTATGTCACAAAAAATGGCGTGGTATGTCATTTCTGACATAAGTGTCATAGATTTGCCATCAGTGCTAGTCTTTCTCAACTTCATAAATCTGGGGATTTCATGTCGATTACATTAAGTTCACTAGATTGGAAAAGAGTAGCTAGTTATTAACCTTTAATTTTTTTAAAATTGAGTTTGAGAAATCATTAATCATTAGAATCCCAACCACAAAGATAATCTAAAGTTGTCACCGACAACATACAAAAATGATATCAAATGAAATTTAAAAGAAGTACAGCATGGAAAGTTATTTGCCCATTTCATAATGGACAGATCAATATTTAAAATAGTTGTCTTAATACATAAGTTATACAATAATATAACAAGGGAACAATAGAGCAGAATAGTTATTTTGGGCAAATATATATGTCACTTAATATTCAAATCACATTTTCAACCTAATGTTCTCCAGAAGGGTTGGGATTACAGCACCTAGAATTTCAAGACAATGTGAGCTGAGAAATTTGACAGTTGTATACCCAACACATTAGGAAGGCATTAGATTGGGAAATGCTACTGTAACAAATGTGATTGTTAGCATAAGCTATTTTAAGGCAAATTCTGGCTACACTGCTCTGGAAACATGTGCTCCTCTAAGAATGTTCTCTTCTGGTAATTGATTTACTTGCTCTATGAGAACAATTCAGCTGCTGTTTTAGGAAACACACAGCAGAGTTTGTACAGCTTAAATACAAGAAGAAATGTTCCTTTGTGCAGAGCCTATTAAAATGCAGATGCAATTGATGTATGCAATGTAATATATGACTATACAGAAGAGCGATATATTATTCTGCCTAGGGAAAGAACATATTTTTATTTACTTGTTGCAACGCTGTGGAAGGCATGTAAGAAATATATACTATTTTTATGTATAATTTTTATTAAAACTTAAATAAAATAAAAATAATGTTTTTATTAACACTTATATGAAAAAACTATAATAATAGAAAATAAGGAAGAAAAAACAAAAAGAAATCAAAGAAAAAATGTAATAAAGGGGAGAAAAGTTAAAAAATAGAAAAGAAAGAAAAATATATAAAGAAGTAGGAGTATATGGTATTTCATGAAACTTGTTAGCTCTGTGTCAGTGAAACTGTTACTTAGGAAATCATCTTTTAGCAGCATATAGTGACTGAATAAAAAGTACAGCACTGCATTATTACCAAGAACTATACATAAGACCTCCAGCATCGAAGACTTCTGGAAGAAAATAAAGGTGACATTCTATAAAAAAAATTACCAGGATTCTAGCCAAAAGTCTGCTGACGTTGTCTTTATCTGTTAGGCCACACAATGGAAGAAAAATGGTGTTTACACTGTAGGAAAATGTAGTTGAAAAAAATTATTAATTTCTTAATACAGATGTTGTGATTTTTAATGACATTTATGAAAGAAATTGTTTTAATTATTGTGGATTTAGCAACACTTAGTTCTAAGTTTCAAAAGAAGAAAATTGTTTTTAAAATTCTTGTTTGATACAAATGGAAATCTAACTCCAGTGACTGTGTAAGTTAGTAGTTCTTCTACATTGCTAGTATCTATTGCATTCTTCCATTGATTGGATTTTGTGTCAGAGTGCAACATAAGGATTGATCTCAAGAAATTGTTGGATGGAGATCTTACATACATTAGGATGACATTTGCTATTATGTAAATATGTCCCAGCATCCCAACCCTTTAATAAATGCACTGAAAGCATATGAACAGAACGCATGGGTTTTAACTGGAATTGTATGCAAATTCATATTCCAATTTTAACACTAACATGTTAAAAGTTTGTTTCATGTACTAATTGCATTCAAAAGTTTTGCTTCCTTATAGTAAATATGGAGAATCTGTAATCTTTCGAATATCATCAAGGTTATATCAAAACAAGTCCAGCGAACATAACTCACAGGCAAGAACAATATCTACAGGATTTCAGACTTTGTACCGTGGCATACTTTTTGATATGTAATAAATAAAAAGAAATAACCCAACAATCACAACTAACAGAAAATATGATAATTGTTAATTTTATTACTGTTATTAATGTTATTGGTAGCTAATGTGAAATTGTATGAGAAGTGGAAAACCAGATGCTGTTATCTTTGGAAGCTACCAGTCAGTTGAGGCAAAAACCTGAATGCACTTGCCATGATCTGTCAAACTGAATGTCAATCTTTCATGTCGTTGGAGGTAAAACCTGATAATGATAATGAGTGAAAAAGACAGAGGCTAAACAGTAGCTAAAATGGTATTTCCTCCCTGTAAGATGAAACAAAATTATAGAAAAATCAAGATGCCAAACCTAACTGAAAAGTAATACATACCATATATAGCAAGCAGGCCTAGAAGGCTATATGCAAGAAAGTAAAAGTAGCAATGTAATGTAAACAAGTAAAATTGAAATAAACATTTAAGGAGAAATATGGAAAATGTATGTCACCAAGATGTTTTTAACATATTTTTTGTCCTGCAGTTTTCTTTAAAAAAAATTGCTGAACGACAATATATGCAGATGGATCTGTTTCTAATCAAAGAAAAATGGAAATTCTGGAAAACTTCAATAAAAATTAAGTATATTGACTTAAATCAGATTTAAACCTGATTTAAACCTGCAGCATTGTATTGGTAACAGCTTTCAGTTTTGTGAAAAACCTTCCTGTGGATTGATAATCTAGCTTTCTCATCTTCAGATTAATAAAGTACAAAATGTTATGGAAATCAATTATATTTATTGTTCAAATTAACTAAGTATTGGTAACTTAAGACCCAGAACTTCTCTGTGGCATTCATTTTCCTTCCATTTGTTTTATACTTGTGTGTTGGCTTTGCTAGCTGCCTCACAAGCATTCTGATTGGGGATTATAACTCTCTGAAGTAGAAGGGAGAGATACCTAATTTCCAGTAAACTATCAAATTCAACCCATGGATTTAACCCCCCAGTCCATACTTGCTCCCACCCTTTTGACTGCAAACTTCTAAAAGCCTGCTTGTTCTTCAGGCCTTGGATTAGGAAATTTGTCTTTTTTTCTTGATATATTTTGCCTTTAAAAAAATCTGTAAAGTATACAAAGTTGCCATGGAGAAGGATGTCCTTAAAAATGAAATAATAAATCAAATATCTGTTTCTCTTAAAAACATATGTGTTGGGAGAATATGTTATTCTGAATTTCTTAGGTATCTACTATACAATATACAGTATTCAATATCTGTTATTCAGATTTTAACCCCTAATTTTAGATTCACCAGTTTCTTAAAATATTCTCCAAGTTCAGTATTTCAGGATAGATTATTTACAAATTTACAGAATTTACAAATATAGGCTGTTCTCATACACCACACTGACTGGGACCACGTTTTAGCAGTCAGTGGGTTATCAATTTATCACCTAGGATTGTGCAAAGTCAGAAAAATGTCAATAGATTTGGTTCAATATTGGAGTGCTTTAACCTCAGAAAACACGTTTTCATTGGGATGTATACCTTCTTTACTATAACATATTGCATTACACAATTGCTGCTTTTGACTTCTTTCACAGATCCCTAAAGAACCTTGGATCTGCCCCCTTTCCCAACAGATTGGCAAATAATGAAGAAAAGCATGTTGGCACAAGCCGGCCAATCAGAAAGTTCTATCTGATGTCACGTCCTCTTGTCACGTGGCCATCCATCAACCTGAGAGCGAGCTGCTTGACATTCCTTGAGCTGCGCCGTTTCACAAGAATCCGTAAAGCCACGCCCACAAGTTCTTCAATGGCTGGCTTTTTTTTTTAAGCCCTAGACTAGGTTTTCCCCATTGGTCGAGAGAAACGTACCTCAGCATAAATGGCGGGGCTGTCGCCCTTTTCTCCATTGCCAGGAAGATTACCTCGCAAAATCTGGTAAGGATGGAGAAAGATGAACTTGTCAGCGGCGCTCAGCTCATCGCGGAGTCTCTAAAGACACAAGTAAGAGCGCTGCGTGACTCCCGAGTCTGGCTTCAGCCTGAACAGGGGAATGGGAAAGACCATTTCGAAGTACCGCGGGGGTGTCGAGTTGTGGAATATAGAAGATCGCGGGGCTCCTGTTAGACTCCTCCCCTGCACGGGCAAAACTTCTGGCTTGTGGAATTTAAAAAGAGATTCCCTTTGACGCTTTTTGTTTAACCACGGTTTATTGAAAAAACCCATAATCGAGCACATTCACACAATATACAGGATCAAGGCAAAAAAAAGCATATTATGTTTATTGTGTGAATCAAGACATAGTGGTGTTAATCTTAATTAAATGACACAAAACAAACGTACAAGATTCGCTTTAGAACATCTACACAAACTTTTGTGATATATTTGCCAAGGCAGGAGTCGTACATTTCGTGATTATAGGAATTTGCAAGAAAACTACATGGTATTCACCTGCACTGTTCTAGAAAGCTCTTAATCTTTATTATTTTCAGTCTGAATATTTATGGGATATTCATTTGGTGACTGTAATAAATGTTACAGTGGGAACCATATTGTGATTTGCAGTCTAAGTGCTGCTGCTTTTTGTTTCTACTTAATTCTGCAGAAGTGATTTGTAAACAAAATAATTTCTGTTTATTTTAAACCAGTGGTTCTCAACCTGTGGGTGGGTGGGGGGTCGCCAAACCATGCTGTCCGCCATTTTTTTCCCTTTTCCCTAGCTATCCTACTCCCTCTTATTGGTGGCCACACCCACTTGGGGGTCACCACAACATGGGGAACTGTATTATGGGGTCACGGCATTAGAAAGGTTGAGAATAACTGTTTTAAACTAAACTAAGCTCTGTTGTTTCACTATTGCCCTTTACCTTATCTTATTTTGATTTATTTTATTTCTATCTTATCTCTAAAATGTTGACCCTAACATACTGAACAGAATCCATAAGTTTAGATTTTTTGGTCAATTGAAAATATACAGTACTTAGAAAAATAGATGAAAGAAAAGAACATTGTGGGGAAAATGGATTCTTTTGAATTAGACTCATTTTGTGATTAATAGGATATATCTCATATAATATAATTATAACTAACCTTATAAAAATTCAATAATTTTAATATGTTAATAAGAAGAAAAGTCTGGATAGTGTATGTGGCAATACTTGGAGACAGTAGAATAGAAGAAAAAGAACTGGAGAAGATAATAAAATATAGGGACCTGTGAGAATAGAATGCTGTGGCAAAAAATATATATGCAAACATAGTTCCAATAATAATAGACTCTTTGGGTGCAATACCAAAACAACTGGAGCATCATTTGAACACCATGGGCATTGACAAAATCACAACCAGTCAATTGCAAAAGGCAGTTTCACTTAGAACAACTTACACAAATTCTAATGTTGCCTTGTGCACAAACCAACTTCAATTTGCCCTTGATACTCTCAGATTATATGAAATCCCAAATGGGGAGAGGGGATGAGACATTAAAGATAATTGTTTAAATTAAACATATGCATTAAAGTAAAATATTTATTTATTTCAGAAAATTGAGTATATGTTTGGTATTGTTGGTATTCCTGTAATGGAAATAGCAATTGCTGCACAAGCAAGTGGAATCAAATATATAGGAATGCGCAATGAACAAGCTGTAAGTATTTCCTAGGTTAATTAATGTCTCTGCTTGCTCAATAACTATTCTAATCTAAAAGCTTATTGTACTGTTACATAATCAGATAATGACAGCACAGATGTAAATACTTATTTATTGCTGAATTTCAACAGAAAAGTGGTAATTTCTACATGTCTCTGTCTTTAACAAAAGTGATATTTGCCAGCTTTCATCAAAGTATTCCTTGGAATTAGGGGAATGGTAGACAATCTAGTGCATCTCACAGGGTTGTTGTCATAAGGAAAACGGAAGCATCATGGAAGTACGTTATTCATTGTGAATCAAACAAAAATAAAGTAGAATGAAAATCAGTTAAATCTGGACAGGATAATGCAAAACTTACATTAGGGATCAGATTCAAAGTATCCATACTGTTGGTTACAAGATGCAAGAGGGAAAAAACTGTTCAATTAAAAGTATAAAATATACTTTATATCAGGTCTTCAAACTTGGCCCTTTTATGATTTGTGGGCTTCAACTCCCAGAATTCCTCAGCCAGGCATGCTGACTGAAGAATTCTGGGAGTTGAAGTCCGTAAGTCATAAAAGGCCAAATTTGAAGACCCCTGCCCTATACCATTCTGGACAACTGACTGTCCAATCTCTTCTTAACAATCTCCAGTGATGAAGGGCCCACAACTTCTCAAGATAAGCCCTTCCTTAATTGTTCTAACCGCCAGGAAATTTCTCCTTAGTTTTAGGTTGCTTCTCTCCTTGATAAGAGAGACTCCAACCCCCAAGCCCCCTTTTATATGGAGTGATGGGAGAGTTTTGGCTCTACTCTCTTGAGAGCAGAAAGACTCAAATCTGCACTAGTTCAGATTTCTGCTTCTCTTCTAATCCGTCTAGTATGGAAATATCCAGATATATTCCACCAGCGGAACACTTCCACACCAGGACAGTTTTTCCAGTTTGGGCCCTTCTTTATTAAAGGAGAAGCTCAAATCCAAGCTAAGTGCTTGAGTATATCTTTAAGTCGAATCAACATGTAATGCTTATGCCTGAAGCAGGGATGCAGAAAGGATTACCACATCTCATTTGTCTTTCCTTTCTTCTGTTATTTTCAGGCTGGCTCTACCATTAGACAGAGAGGATGAATTTGTAGTCACTGCTCATGGGGTGGGGAGGGAAAAAACGGACAGAAAGGTACAATGCCCTTCCCCAGGAATTCTCCCTAAATTCTTGGACTGTCCCCATTCTCTTGAATAAAGGCTGTGTCAAAAAATAAAGATTGTGGCCATGATAATGCTCCGCCCCGGTGTTTGCTTCTTCCTAGTCTTGGTTGCATCATCTGGTTCTTTTCTTCCAAAATACCACAAACTCTAGAGCAGCATGCCTGGCTGAGGAATTCTGGGAGTTGAAGTCCACATATCATAAAAGGGCCAAGTTTGAAGATCCCTGCTTTATATAGATAGGTTGATGGCAATGGAAATGTCAAACAAACTATCAGAGCTTTTGAATAGCTTTATGAAGTATAATTGAACAATATCTCAGAAACAGGAAAAACATATTTAATTACACAGTACCTTGGTATACAGAATTATGAATTAATGTGAATAATTTGCAGTGTCACAAGTTATATTTTCCTTTTTTTCCTAAGATCCCAGGAAAGATCAGGTATCTATGTGGGAGGAGAGGGGGGTCAAGGGAAATGATGGCATTTGCATGATATTACTATACAAATGCTGCAACCTATGTACTTGTATCAGACTTCAGGATGCAAGTATATAATGCCAGGATTTGTTTATAAGGAAAAAATAATAATGAAGAGCCAGTGTTTTAGGTACCAAGGACTTAAAATTATTGGTTGGAGAAAAACGGGCATAAGAGAAGTTTGGGCAGGCATTGGCTGATATCTATTCATCTATTATCTGTATAATGACATGTATTAATATACTGAAATTTATCAGTAACAAAAATATACATGCAGAAATGGCACATTTTTTATTTATAATCAGCAAAAAGGATTTACATAATTATAAGAATAACCATTCCTGGTCCTACAAAGTTTTATGTAGCATTTTAACTTGCCACTTGGTTTGACAATGTGTTGTCATGGCATCATGGCATGTTAAGTACAAACAGTTTTGCCAAAGAAACACCCACTCTGGATATCTTTAACTATTTCTCACTATATGCTATTTTATTTTTCAGAAATAGAACGGAAATGCATAAATTACCTTCTGGTGTTTGAATTTTGATTTGTCAAAGATGTTATATAAAAAATAGTACTTGCACCCCTCAAGCCATTCACAACCATTATGTTAAATGTGATTAGCAATTTCATAACTTAACTCTAAGTTCCATATTGTCTTCTGCATGATGCTTTCTGAAATTATCAGTCCTAAGAATGTTAATATTCTGTCTCTTGCCATTTCAAATATAATTTTTTTCACCAGCTTCTTGTATATTATGGCTAGACATATCTTCGGGTGGTGAAATCATTTCTTCTTAAAAGATACGCTTTTGGTTTATAGATTATGCAAAACACCTGAAGGGTTTCTTTTAAAGGGTATTATCATGCACCTTGTTTCAAATTTTGAGTCAACTGCAGCCTCTGAAAGGATTGGTATGGGTACTTTAAGAATTAACCCAGGTCATTTCTTCACCATACCCACTTCACTTCATTAGTAGACACTGGAGAATTATTATATTTGTACAACACAGACAACTTGGAAAGACCCTTGAAACAGTTGCATCAAATCTATTAAAGGGAGGGTGCTTCATTTTTGTCAGGCTTTCAAATGCTTTGCCTACCCTTACAAAATAGTATACAAAGCTACTGTTTTGGTGTACTACAGTCCTTCCATTCAGATTTTAATTAATGTTTCATTTTCAATAGGCTTCTTATGCAGCTTCTGCTGTGGGGTATTTGACAGCCCGGTAAGGTGACTATAAAAATTATCCTGATTGGATTCTTTGATATAATAGCTTTTCAGAATTATGAGTATATCTAAGCTTCTTGTAATTTATGTAGCAGTTTTTCTATTAGTCTCACTACCACAACCTCAGTTTTCCATCATTGAGGATAAATGCATAACATGAAAAACAAAAATGAAAAAATGGTTGCTGAAAAAAAATGCTTTAACATTTGTACTCCTCTGAACTTGCAATCTGCAATTGATTTCATTTACATTTCAATCTAATTTAGATTTTATGGTTGTAAACAGCATTGTAGATGAACATGTGAGTGATAACCTGCCCTTCTATCCAGTTTTCTTATTTCTTTTCTGTTTGGTTTATATATTAAAATGTTTTGACTTTCTCTTTTGTATTGAGGATAGAAAGTAGGTTTAAAATCCTTCAGTTAAATAAAAATGAAAATTTGTCTCCTTTTCAAATTAAACCTTGAGAAATGTTTGTGAATGATGCTTTTTTGCTTCAATTCAAAACCTCAGCAGCTTTTCGATTTATTTCTAGGCCTGGAGTATGCCTTGTAGTTTCTGGTCCTGGTCTTGTAAATGCTCTGGCTGGAATGGCAAATGCAAACATGAATTGCTGGTAATAAATCTGTATTTTCTCTTTTATTTCCAAGTACTGACCTCCATGTTCAAATGCCATTTATCAGGAAAGCAGATAACCATATCATATCTTCACCCTCTCACCCCATTTCCTCTCCCATTTTATTCAGTTTTAAGCAGATCACATCTGTGCAGAGGAGAACACAAATATATTTTATCCCAAGAATTAAGAATTGTCTTAATGTACTTTAATTCATTTCCTTGCGCACTTCAGTGAGTGATCTCTACGGTTTAGTTTGGATGGGACTTATAAAGAACATGTTTATCTGACAAGGAAGATTACCAAACAGATTTTGCATAAAGATTTCTGTGCTTTTGTAACAAATTTTTATTAACTGTATATTGCATATAACCTTCACTTGATTTTGAGAAGTTTATAGCATTGCTTGGTGCCTCTTAAAAAAAATAAGTCATTTTTTGGTAACTGTCAAATTATCTGATAGAAACATAAGAATGTTTGCTTTAAGATAAAGGTAGTGGTTCTCTTATCATACAATTGCATTCATTTCAAATGCTAACAAGGTCATGCTCAAAACCTACAAGCTAGGCATCAGCAATATGTGAACCAAGAACTATCAGAAGTATATGCTGGGTTTCAAAGAAGCAGAGAAACTAGAGATCAAATTGCCAACATTCACTGGATTATGGCGAAAGCAAACAAGTTTCAGAAAACATCTACTTCTGCTTCAAAAACATCACAATAAAATAGATCACAATAAATTGTGGCAAGTTCTTAAAAAAATGGGAGTACCAGATCTTATCTGTCTCTTGAGAAATCTGTATGCAAAGAAGAACAGTTAGAACAAGACATGGAATAACTGATTAGTTCAAAACAGGGAAAGGAGTAAGACAAGGCTGTATATTGTCACCTTACTTATTTAACTTATATGCAGTCTATCATGCAAAATGCTGTACTAGATGAATCACAAACAGTAATTATATGACAATTCGGAAATAAACCTCTGTTTGGTTATCAATGACAGACACTTGCAGATACAGAACTGTTATTATACACATTATTGCCCCGACTCTTGTTCTGGATGTCTCGTCTTGAGTTTTCATAAAGTTTCATAATAAACTTTGAAACCGATGGTCAAGCCATGCTCTATGAACTTCGCTAGCAGTACTCCTTTGGCATCCTCACATTTGGCGGGATTTTCTATGGCACCACTTCGGGTGTGGTATTGGTTCACGATAATGCTCACCGGCGCACCGCTAGACTCAGCCAAGAACTTTTGAAGCAATTCTGTTGGGATGTTTTTGATCATTCCCCCCATACCCCACATTTGGCGCCAAGTGACTACTACTAAGGAATTTCAAACCTTGTAAGACGTTATGAAAAGTGCCTCAATTTGAATGATGGTTTTGTCGAAAAGCAATGTAATGTTGTAGTTTTCTAATGTGTAAAATAAAAGTTCCGTATTTGCGAGTGTCTGTGATTGATAACCAAACAGGTTTATTTCCAAATTTCTCTCATATTTCTTGGGAGAAATATCAGATATGCAGACAATACCACTCTAATGGCAGAAAGTGAAGAGGAACTAACAAACCTCTTGATAAGAATGAAAGAGGACAGTGCAAACGTTGACTTGAAAACACAACATTAAAAAAGTAACATGGTATCCTGTATCATCGTTTCCTGGCAAATAGAGGGGAAGAAATGGAAGCGATGTTGTATTTTATTTTCTTGGTCTCCAACATCAACAGACAGCATAGAACAAACTAGTGAGACATATTTAAATCCTAATTGTTTTTCCTTACTATTTCTTCCTTCTTTTTGAATGGATGAAAAGTTCCCAAAAGACTTGATGAAACTGGTATGGGTTCTGGTTCTTACAACATCCTGCCCAGGCAATAAGATATCAGCTTTAATCAAAAGTCAAAGCAAGTAATATTTAGGATTATATAACCTTTTAGTTCACAAGTTGCTTATTCAAAAATTAGGTGAATCAGACTCTTGTTTTTAAGGAATTAAACTTTTGTTTAATTTTTTTTTAAGGCCATTGATTGTCATTGGAGGCTCCTCTGACAGAAATCAAGAGACAATGGGAGCTTTTCAAGAATTTCCACAGGTGCTCATCTCTGTTATTTTTTCATAAAAGAATACCTGGATACTTTAGAAAGCTGTTTTTCAACTTGGTGTTTCTCGACTATTTTAAAATCAGTGGACTTCAACTTCCAGGGAATTCTAGAGTTGGAGTCCACACATCTTAAAATTGCCAAGGTTGAGAAATATCACTGTAGCTGATGCCCTTTAGATTGTTCTCATACCACATAGTCCCCATAGAGATTTTCATATCTCAGTCAGTATTATTGATAGGCATAAAAACTAAAAAAGTCCAGACTGAATTGGATAATCTTCCTGTCCCCTATTTTTATCAAAAGAATGTACTCTCTGAGCCTCTGTAATAAATATTTTACATAAAAATCAGTAAGTTTGCCATCATCAACAAATCTTTGTCATCAACTGCTTGGCTCTTTTAAAACTTTGCTTTTAGACTAATTATTCTGTTTCTATTTTAACGTAAATATAAAGGACAGCTCTTTTGCCTGTTTTCTGGTAGATTATAGTGCTTTCTGATCTATCATACTAAGAGCCAGTTGTAATAGTGATTAAAGGCACTGGGCTAGAAATTGGGATACTGAGTTCTAGTTCTGCAATAATACAAGGTAGCTGAGTATTTTGTGCCAGGGAAAACTGTAGGGATTTATTCCTGTGATCACCAGCAGTTGATAATCAACCCACCTTCCCTTCCAAAAAATAAACATTAAGTAGATATACTCCTAACTTTTCATTAGTCTCCTCCCTAGCTGCTCTCATGCATACCTTAAGTTTCTCCTGGAACAGTTTTGGAATATTGGTGCATTAGTGATATTAAGACTTTGTTTCATTAGTAAACAATTATATAATTAAATATAATCCAGTGTCATTTGCCCCACATATGGCCAGGTGCTATTAACTTTATTTATTTATTCAGCTTACATGGATGCTTGTTCATTTTTTTTGGACTGTTTGAGTTTTTAACTATAAAATAACTTCACTTTCTAATTTTTCAAATGATCAAAACTTTTGAAATGGTAATGCTGTACGTTTTACAAATCATAACCTTTTGTGTTAAGAACAGATTTATGCAAATGTAGTTGGAAGTCTTTATAAAGAAGCTTTTCTACAGATGATTATGATACAGCAATTGGGAGTAATCCTAGCATTATTTGGAAGTACCTAATAGTTGTGGTATTTATAAATAGAACCTCTATGTTCATTGCTAGAGTACCTCTGCAAAGCATTGCAATAGCCCCCTGATTTTCCTTATTATTTTTTTGTAGAAATATGATGTGATTGGATGGATTGTTCAGCTGATCAGATCCTGTTGTAAAATCATATTGTTAATTTAAATAATAATAATGTATGCTTTCGTTTCCAGGTTGAAGCATGTAGGCTTTATAGCAAATTTTCTGTCAGACCAAGCAGTCTAGAAGCTATTCCTGCAGTTATTGAGAAGGTAAAAGATAAAAATTAGCAATATTTAACTCTTTCTCATATAGCTCTTTAAGACACAAATAGCATTGGAAAATTGTCATATGGCTGGTGGTGCTTGAATAAATCAATGGGTTCAGTTATTTATATTTCAGAATAATACATCATCAGATCCAACTTTAAAAATGGCCAGTACCTTTTAAAATGTTAATGTTGTATGTTAATATTATTTCACAAATAAGTTAGCTATGTAATTTTATACAATATAATGATTATAATAATTTATACACACACATATTCTCTTACCTTATAGTATACTAGTATATACTAATGTGATAATTGTTTCGTCAATCAGTAATTGATTGACAAAATCATCTGTCAATTGCTAAAGGCAGCTTTACTGGAACAGCTTACATTCTGCAATAATGCCTTTAACATCATCAGACATCAACATCTGCCTGTCTCAGATCCTTGAGAAGGACTCAATAGGTAGATAAAAATGTAAAATCCAGTCTAAACATCTGGTTGAAACCAACCATGATAATAATGTCATAAACCAGCAGTGCTGGTCTCAGAGGTTATCAGCAATTTAGAAAATCTGTACAAAATCTGTTCAGATGGAAACTAATTCATTAGAGAAGCCTGGGGATCATGCTTATCTAGTTATCTGGGAGCAGTTTGAACCTGGTGCCCCCTAAGGAAATAGACAAAGTCCTTGAAGCGGTTAAGATTGAAGATTAAAAGTGCAAATAATGATACACAAACATTTCTGAAGCATACAAGCTAGCTTCTGTTAAAGTTACATTTTGCATAGAAATGATGTATAAGGATCCTTACGCTACTATAGAGCCTTTGCTCCAGGAATCTTTAAATGAGCCTCTAATTCCATTTACATTTTGAGGAGGAAGTCCTTGTAATAGCATGGCTATACTACTATGCACAATCTCAAGATAAAAAAAGAGAGGTTTGTTACAGAAAAACAAGCCCATTTTGAAGAGCTATCTATCTAGGAGTCAACGTTTGTTGTAGAATTCAGCCAGGGATTTTGATTTGATGACTCCAAGTCTATCTGTTCATAGAACTAAATAGACCAGGGATATGCCCACTTAACAGATTGAATCCAACAGTTATTCATTCTTCAGTAGACAGATGTTCATTTTCTCCATTGTTTACTTAAAGCATTTTTATCAATAAAGGGCTGGTGTAATTAAAAATAAAATAGAATTCTTAATTATGATTACTGCCATGTATTTTATCTTGTGACTTCTCTAACCAATCTAGGCTGTCAGAATCAGTATTTATGGACGCCCAGGTGCCTGCTATATTGACATACCTGGAGACTTTGTAAATCTGACCATAAAGAAAAGCTCTGTCAAGTGAGTTGTTACCATTATGAATAGCAAATCATTTCTACTGATAATGTTGCAATATTTTTACTATATTTGTGGTTTCTCGTGAGTTGTACCCTTAATAAAGGTAAATATTGACTCTACAAATTACCATAACACAAAATATTTTCTGATGTGAGAAACTTTAAAAAAATAGAAGGCAGATGCATCAAAAGATTGTAACCAACTGGTCCCATCCAACGAATTCTAACTTTTAAAATTTATTCTTTGACAAACTTTTATAAAGAAATTATTTAGAATGGAAGATAAAACAATTGATTATTTAAATGAATGTTCAGTTCCATGAGTGATTCAAATGTAGAAATGCATCCTTAAGAACAATTAAATGGGATTTAGTGGTAACCCATTGCTCAAATAAGACATTTCAGATTTTGGAAGGCATGTCAGGATCTCCAAATCCTAGGCCACATCCAGGGTTTTACAAGGAAATTGCCAGGGCATAGGCAGATATCTCAGTCAAAAGTGTGATTTCTTCCCAAGCATGAATCTTGCCCATTTTTTAAATAAGATTTCTTAAGATGAAAACAGGTATGCTACAAAAATGCCAGCACATGAACCATTTTTCCTTTAGAACCAAAATGTATTTCTACATTAGGACAAGTTTCTCATATCTTTAAGATATAATTAAGGAAGGAAAGTTAATCTCCTTTCAGATATGTAGACAATTGTCACATGAATCTTCATCAGTTTGAGAGCCAACACTTATAGTTCATCAGTTGAGAGCCATTTTTGCCTTTCAGTTGCTATGTCTTATATTTCCTTGAAAACTTTACAACAACTTTCCTATTTTTTATTGGTCAATATTATATTAGAGGCAGTAATGTATTTTTTGCTTTTGATCTTGTTCCTTGAGAATAAATATGAGAGAACCCATGTAAAGAAGCATTTGGGCACCTTGATCCACAAAAAATGTCTCGTATGTATCCTGACTTACAGCCTAAATGTTGGAGATGTGGTTGTTTGGATGCTACTTACTATCATATTTGGTGGTCGTGTAAAAATATAAAAGCCTTTTGGATTAAGATATGGTGGAATATTCAAAGAATTTTTAGAAGGAGGGTAAAATTTACCCCACAATTGTTTTTGTTAGGTATTGTTACTGATTGTGATACTAAAGAGACCACATTGATGTTAAATTTAATTACAGCCGCAAGGCTGTTGGTAGGGCAATGTTGGAAGAAGGAATCTTTGCCTACTTTGCAAGAATGGTTTCTTAAAGTTTCTTATCTGGCGGAAATGGCAAAGATTTCGGCTTTTTTGAAGGATCAATCGCAGGAGAAGTATTTTGCGGTATGGAAAAAATGGATAGATTTTATACAATATAAGTTGGATATTAAAAAATACCATTTAGTTTTTCAATAACTTATATTTAAAATTTAAAATATCTTATAGATTTTATTTCCTTTTTTTATTTTTATTTTTTATTCTTATTATATTTTCTTTTATCTTTTTTTGTCTTTTCTTTATTCTTTTTTCTTTTAAGTATTATTTTTTTGGTATTTATGTTTTTATATATATATATATTATTGTTAATTATCTTATAGTTTGTTTAATTAATGTATTTAATATTTAGATTTATTCATGGTTTATATTTCTTTTTTTTTTAAGATTATTTGAAGAAATTTTAATTAAGCCTATGTTCAGCTCTGGGAAGGTCGGGGGAGGGAATGGGAGAGTTGGGGAGGTTTGGGGGTGGGTTGTTTTGTTTTTTGTAAAATTTTAAAAAATTCAATAAAAAAAAAAGAAGCATTTGAAAAAAACTAGCCAGAAATTAACGGAATATAATTTTTAACTGGTTAAAATGAACAAAAAAGTGAAATCATCACATTCTAATCATATAAAAGAAATTTATTTTTATAGAAATTATTGTCCACAGGATCTTTTCTGTCTATGCCAGGGAAATTGAAGTCCACGAGTCATAAAAGAGCCATGGTTGACTACCCCTGGTCTATGCCTACCCATATGCTATGAAGCAAAATATATAATTTGCCTCTAAATGCAATTTTTTATAAGATTTCTGCCTATGTATTAAAAAGACCTTATTACAGAGTAAGCATTTATAAATACACAGAATGCTAGCTTTATTTTTGAAGATTGGTGTTATTTTTTTTCCCCACAACTATCTATATACTTTGCTGCAATGGAGAATCACACCCTCTAAATTGGCTTACTTCTTTCACTTGCTCTGGTAAAATTTAAGCCACTTTCAAATTGATCTCAACTCATTTCACTTTTTTTTTCCTTTAATTTCTGGCTAGTTTTTTTTCAAACTAATCTCAACTTGTGATGAGTACAGGCAGATATCCATTTTGTGGGCTTGGTAACAATATAAAAATGGTTTGCCATTGCCACCTTGCTTAGTCTACATTTCATTTCTGCAGCAACACATTTTACATTATCAGAAAGTATTTTCTATTAGTATCTGCCAAGTGACAAGGAGGTGATTGTCACCTTAACAATACAGGTAGTCCTCGACTTACAATTATTTATTTAATGAATGTTTAAAGTTACAGTGGTACTGAAAAAAGTAACCTATGACTGGTTTTTACTGTTGCAGAATTCCCCTTGACACATTATCAGAATTCAGGTGCTTGGCACATGGCATGTATTTATGACAGTTTCACTGTCCCAGGGTCATGTGATCACTATTTGTAACTTTCCCATTTGGCTTCTGATAAGCAAAGTCAATAGGGGAAGCTTAACAACGGCAGGATTCACTTAACACTATAGTGATTTGCTTAACAACAGTGACAAAACAGTCATAAAATGGCAAAACTCATAACAACTGTCTTAACAATAGAAATTTTGGATTCGGTTGTGATCATAAATCAAAAAATGCTTTTATCTAAATGTTGTTTCAAGAAAATTCCAAAATGTGAACATATTGGACCAAAATTCCCCTGGAGTGCCTTAGCTCATGTGTGAAGATATATTTTTTTCGATCATCCACTAACCAAGAATATATCATTCCTCCAATAGTCAATGCATTTCCATAGCTTTTAACAGGACTTTTCATAGATGCTCCTTTTAGTTCTCTTGTCTGTCTATAAACCTGTCAAATTTCCTACATGTTGTTCGTCCATTGATTTTTCGATGAAGTCCTTGACATCTTGTGGGTTATGGGCCATCAACGATGTGTCCGTAGGTAGCTAATAAGACCGATGTTAGCACGGAATGTTCTGCCACATACTGAACAAAGAAATGTAGACACTGTTACTTCAGCATTTGCAGCTCTGGCTTTGCGGAGTGTTCGCTTTTCTTGTGCCAAGATTGTGCCAAAATTTCTTGTGCCCAAATTTCCTACATAGTTTTTGATTAAAGAGCATAAACAGATACTTTAGTATTTTAAGTTCCAAATTGGTTTACATGCTCCATTATTTATCATTTCTTTATTGAAACAACTAGCTACAAAGAAAGATATCCTTTACTGGCCAAGACAGATGATTTTTATGTTCTATTGCGCCTGATTATGTAGATGATATATTTAATTTTATAATTTCTAACATAAATTGTGGTGCAAAATTACTGCTTTCATACCTAAATTGTATTTTCATAGAGTTCAAATATAGTGGTGGTGATGATGATGATGATGTTGGAAGGGACCTTGGAGGTCATCTAGTCCAACCTCCTGCTCAGGCATGAAACCCTATACCATTTCAGACAAATGGTGGTCCAATCTCTTCTTAAAGACTTCTTGTGTTGAAGCATTCATAGCTTCTGGAGACAGTTTATTCCACTGATTAATTGTTCTAAATGTCAGGAAATTTCTCCTTAGTTCTAGATTGCTTCTCTCTTTGATTAGTTTCCATCCGATGCTTCTTGTCCTGCCTTCAGGTGCTTTGGAGAATAGCTTGACTCCCTCTTCTATGTGTACCCTTCCTGAAGCTGATAGTTAAAGTAGTATTATTTCCACAAGGAAAACTATTAATGGTACTTTATGTTTGTTAGTTTTATTTTTAGCTTTAATACTATGATAAAGGTAAAAGTTTATCCTGTCCAGTCATGTCCAGCTCTAGGGGATGGTGCTTTATCTTCGTTTCTTATCTGCAGGAAACTGTGTTGTCCGAAGATCTTCAGTGATCATGTAGCCAACATGACTATAGGCTGAAGTGCACATTATCTTCCCATTGAAGTGGTACCTATTTGTCCACTCGCATTTGCATGCTTTCAAATTGTTAGGCTGGCAAGACCTGAGGCAAGTAACGGGAGCTCACCCTATCCTATGGTGCTTAGACCTTGAACCTGGGCTGTCACCTTGCCAGCTGACAAAGTCAGGTTTGTTAACTGCTGAGCCATTGCACCTTCTCCCTTAACATTTTGATAGGCTCTATAATAATGCCTATTTAACAATTTTTGGAGTTACACTTAAAACATGCCTTTTAGTATTAGTTATTTACAACCTAACTGCAGTACAGGTCTCTTCCTCCCCTCTTTCTCTATTCAGCAGAAAAAAATGTGTGCTTCTATTATTTTCAGAATTCATATGCTTCTTTTTTTTTGTAAAAATTTTTATTTTCAACTTTACAATACATAACAATCTTACAAATACTTCAGATAAAAAATAAAACAAATTGATACACACCACATTCGGTCTTCCCGCCCATTTCCCCCCAAACCACATCCCACCTCAAACCAACTTATTTCTTTCCCTCTTTTTCTTCACTCACCCCCTCTCCTCCTTCACCTCAACCTTCCTACTTACTTCTCACCTTCTTCTCCTCCCTCTTGATGCGGTCCAGGGGAAATGCCCGAGCAGTTCCTCTCTCAAAATTAAAACATTAGTATTATATACAATAAGACTATTTCTACTTTATCTGAACTACTTAAACTTCAACCCATCCCCCCCATCCCCCTCCCCCCCTCTCCACTGACTTCCCAGAGCAAAATACAGGATTATGCAAACATATTAAACATAATCTATTTAAGTTTACTAATTATACAATGAACAAAATCATAAAAAACCCTTAACTCTCTTCAAACTTTAACATCATAAGTTTATAAACAAAATCATTGCTCATAGAATAAGTGAAACTTTGTAGTTCCATATTTCTTCTGAACATATTCTATCCATCTTCTCCAGACGTTAAAATATCTCTCTTGTGAATGGTCCTTCAAATAAGCAGAAATTTTAGTCATTTCTGCTAAATTAGAAACCTTAAATACCCATTCTTCTAGAATTCATATGCTTCTTTAATGTCCTTTAATTTTTAATCTTTAATTGCGTATATGCTTTTATAATTTTGCTTTGTAATAGTTTTTGCTTACACCTAAGCCATTCCAAGCATTGATTGGAAATAAGTCCAGCAGATAAGCTTGTGAGATCCACATTATATCTTTCTTTCTAGTACAAATTATTTCTTCTCAAAAGGTCGTATTGAAATGTAGGGTTTCCCAACTATGTTCTCAAAGCAGATTGAGTCTGGAATTTCTTTTATGAAACAATTTCAGAATACTTTTCTCCACTATAGGAAAATGGATCATTGAACTTGCTGTGATTGTTTCTTTTCTACAGTGGGTGTCTGTTTCTGTCTAGTGAGATAATAATTTTACTGCAGGAAAGGACTTCTATTATATACTGTTTGGTTTTTTCTTGAATTTTTTTTGAGCTGTTATTGATCTTTGATTTTGTAGCTGTAAGGGAGTGTTGCTCTCTGACTCTTAGAAATGATTTTGGACCTGCCTATCAAAATGAGTAGAAGGAACAACCTAATTTTCAGGATACTTCCAATCACTATAAAAAAATGCTTCATAGTAAGCCAGTGTTCATTTTGGGGGAAATAGAGTATGTTCACATCAGTTGCTCATAATAATAGCCTGAAATTATAATATACAAATAAAATATGGTAAGTGAGTAATTGTCCAACCTACACGAGTTCAAATCCCAGGGTCAGATAGATTACACCCCAAGGTTCTCAAGGAACTGGCAGATGTGACCTCAGAACCACTGAACTATATTTTTCAAAGATCCTGGAGCACTGGGGGACTACCGGAGGACTGGAAAAGAGCTGATGTAGTTCCCATCTTCAAAAAAGGAAAAAAAAATGGACCCAGGAAATTACAGACCTATCAGCCTGACCTCAATACCTGGGAAGATCCTGGAAAAGATAATCAAACAACGAATCAACGAACACCTAGAGGCAAACAAAGTCATTACTAAAAGCCAACATGTGTTTGTCAAAAACAGATCATGCCAAACAAATTTTATTGCATTCTTTGACCAAGTGACAAAATTAGTGGATCAGAGGAATGCTGTGGATATAATTTACTTGGACTTCAGTAAGGCATTTGATAAAGTAGATCACAACCTACTACTTGACAAGATAGAAAAATGTGGGGTAGACAGCATCACCACCAGATGGATCCAGATTGTTGGGGGCAATGTAAATATATATATATATATATATATATATATATATATATATATATATATATATATATATATATATATATATACATATACATTGCTTACTGGTGTACACCGCTTAGAGAGTGCTTGCACTTAAAGCGGTATATAAGTCTCATAAATAAATAAATAAATCCGTAGCTGGCTGACCGGCCATACTCAGCATGTGGTCCTCAATGGAACCTCATCAACATGGAAGTGTGTAGGGGGGTGCCCCAGGGTTCTGTTCTGGGCCCAGTGCTCTTCAACATCTTCATCAATGATTTGGATGAGGGGATACTCATCAAATTTGCAGACGACACCAAGCTGGCAAGAATAGCAAACTCCAGAAGACAGGCTTAAGATACAGAAGAATCTGGACAGACTTGAACACTGGGCACTATCAAACAAAATGAAATTTAATAGTGAAAAAAAGCCAGGTTCTACATTTAGGCAAGAAAAACCAAAAGTACAGGTATAGTATAGGGGATACCTTGATCAATAGTAGTAACTGTGAGAGGGACCTCGGAGTCCTAGTGGACAATCACTTAAATATGAGCCAACAGTGTGCTGCAGCTGCCAAAAAGGCTAACACAGTGCTAGGCTGCATTAACTGAGGGATAGAATCAAGATCACGTGAAGTGTTAATACTACTTTACAATGCCTTGGTAAGGCCACACTTGGAATACTGCATCCAGTTTTGGTCACCGCGATGTAAAAAAGATGTTGAGACTCTAGAAATAGAGTGCAGAGAAAAACAACAAAGATGATTAGGGGACTGGAGGCTAAAACATATAAGGAACAATTGCTGGAATTGGGTATGTCTAGTTTAATGAAGAGGAGGGGGGACATGATAGCAGTGTTCCAATATCTCAGGGGCTGCCACAAAGAAGAGGGAGTCAATCTATTTTCCAAAGCGCCTGAAGGCAGGACAAGAAGCAATGGGTGGAAACTAGTCAAGGAGAGAAACAACCTAGAACTAAGGGGAAACTTCCTGACAGTTAGAACAATTAACCAGTGGAACAAACTGCCTCCAGAAGCAGTGAATGCTCCAACACTGGAAGTTTTTAAGAAGAGACTGGACAGTCATTTGTCCGAAATGGTATAGGGTTTCCTCTCTGAGCAGGGGGTTGGACTAGATGACCTCTAAGGTCCCTTCCAACTTTATTGTTGTTATTGTTGTTATAGTTGCTTAATGAGTCTGTTGTTTGTTCCAAATCTTTTTTGAGGATTAGTTTTTTATCCTGTCTTGCAGGTATATTGACTGCTGTCCAGCACCTCCTATCAGTATGGCTGAAGAGATGACCATTTCTAAAGCAGTTTCATTAATTTTACATTCCAAGAAACCACTTTTAATTATTGGCAAAGGTAGTCCTATTTCAGTCTTATCAAAACAAAGATGAAACTGCAAAATATAATAATTGAAGTGTTTCTTTTCTTGTTATATTGTTTAGTCTATTTATAAAATAAGTTAATAAATTCTTTTGTTTTTTGAAATTAAAATCTCCCAGGGATTTATTTTGATTTTGCCTAATGAGCAAAATATAATAATTTTATCTGAAACTGTTTGGTTGCTGTAGCTTTATATAAAGTAAAAGTAAGCATCTTTTTCTAGAAATTGTGTTTTCAACTTCTAAAACTTCTAGTTTTAAAATTAGCTTAACTGTGAATACGATGGTAACGCAGCGATATCACCGGAGTGGATGGGAAATAAAATTATTTTTTTAAAACCAGGATTGCCTCAAAATTTAATTGATAGACTTTCTAGGAAGCAACATATCTATTTTAGAATTTAATTTAGAGGGAGGGAAAACATTATAAATATGATTGTCCCATCTTGGCAGCATAATTTAGGGAGGCTATAAAAAAGGGATCTTGACATTTACTACACCTTTGCAAAGGGAGAGACTATTAGAAACCTGCTTTGCTATAAAAATGATGCCAGGTGATTGTATAATTAAAGATTCTTAATTATTATTTTAACTAAAGGGCTTGTTCAAAATGTATAGATTATTATTTTTAATTCTTGCATGTTATTAGATCAACAATTTTGATTGTAGCAGTTACTTTCTTTTTATAGGACAGTTTTAATTGAAAACACAAAACTAGTCATTATTGGAAAATAAATCATTTTTGCAATCACAATAAAATATTGTAAACTTTTAAAGTTTAATACTTCTGCAAATTAACAGTATTCTATGTTAAAAGATTATCCTTTTGTATGCAAGACTTTATTAAGGCCAAACTGCATATTATTTTTTTTTCTAACATTCAAATGAAGGTATAAGTGGTTCTCAACAAAATCATCAATAAAAAGCGTTACTTGCTCAAGGATTGATAAGAGTGCTGTATTAGTGTCATGGAACCTTTTATGAGAGTGGTGTGTCTCTTAGGTGCTGCTTATTCACGTGCTGAAAATAGCATCAGGAAATTGGTGGACCAGTGTGGGCTTCCATTTTTGCCTACGCCAATGGGGAAGGGAGTTGTTCCTGACAATCATCAGTATTGTGTAGCTGCAGCCAGATCTAGGTAAATACACAAACTGAGTCTTTCCTTCCAACTTTTGAAATTAAAGGTAAAGAGCATAATATCATTATTACAAGAGCCAAAATAACATATTGGTAAAGGTATTAACATCACATTGGGGAGATAACTTATTCAATAAACCACAATTAAACAGTGTACCGCAGTGATGGCGAACCTTTTACAGACCGAGTGCCCAAACTGCAACCCAAAACCCACTTATTTATCACAAAGTGCCAGGGCTGCATCAGCATTGTGATGCCCTGGGGGGGGGGGCAGGGAGGCGTCTCTGAGTGCTGCCTCTGGCACGTAAAAACCGGGGGCACAAAATGGCCCACCGTGCTGCAAGGTGCAAAAATGGCCACCATCACGCTGCGGAGTGCAGATGCAAGGCACTGCACCACGCAAGAACAGGGCATGGCTAGTAAGTATCACGCAGTCACTAGCCCCGCACCATTTGCAGCATATGTGTGCTTCCAGTCCACCAATCGACAATGGTTGGTGACCTCTGCTCTACCACCTCTATTCGAACTTGCTAGTCGGCCCGCTTTGCCACCTTTGTGCTGGGTGGGGCTCTTGCTCCAGGCAATGGTAGCGGCCTAATGGACTTGCTGCTGGTGGCAGTGGTACGCGTGCCAACAGAGAGGGCTCTGAGTGCCGCTTCTGGCATGCGTGCCATAGGTTTGCCATCACTGGTCTACCATATCAATTTAGGGGAGGTAGGAATCATTCCAAACCTCAGAGCTGTTAATATTTTGGAGTGCTAAAGAGCAACATTCAGTTATAATGATTAAAGAACACAAAATTTTAATGGTTAAGATCTATTCTGTACATTTTTAATATATATGAAAATAGTTTAATTGATTTCCTTTCTTTTTAATGACCAGGGCACTACAATATGCTGATGTGATACTATTACTTGGTGCCAGATTGAATTGGATTCTGCATTTTGGACTTCCACCAAGGTTTCAGCCAGATGTAAAAGTTATTCAGGTATTCAGACAAATATCCTTTAGACACATTCCAGAGCTATGGTTTTAAATAAGGTGCTTTTCAAAGGTAGTTAGATTACAATGCCCAGAATGTTCAATACAATTTTCCATGTTTGCTGGGAACTTAGAATTTATAACTTATTTGGAAAGCAGCATTTGGACAAGGAAGTCTGGTATAGCCTGAGTGTATAACCAGTGCAAGATTTACTGGAGACAGGATAAGTGAACAATAATATAACATCAGTTTAAAAACTTTTTAATCCTCCAAGCCAGAGGTCCCCAACCTTTTGGGCATCAGGGACTGGTTTGGTGGAGAAAGATTTTTCCACGGACCACAGAGTGCATGGTTTTGTGTGCTGCCTGCATCCCACGGATGGGGTTTTGTTTGTGCGGATCGGTTGCTGGCATGCCACGGACCGGTATTGGTCCACGGACCGGGTGTTGGGGACCCCTGATCCAAGCACATCTGCAAAAGACAGAGTATTAAACAAAGGAATTTTTTTTTAAAAAAAAGCATAGTTCCTGATGTAAGCAAGAGTCTGTTTAATTGAATTTTTTCTTGAAAAATAGTTTCCTCAGAGTGCTTTAGAGACAAATTTTATTTGCCTTTCTGGCTTTTTCTGCCCCATGGTTGAGTTTCATCTTTTCTTTTTGCTTGCTTTTAGAAGCAATTTGTCTTATCGAACCTGAGGTTTTTATGTGAAATATGTAGTAAATCCTAGACAAAAGGAGAAAGTTAAAACTAAAGGGAAACAAATAGTTCATTTTTTCTTTGTTCTGAAATAAAAACTGAAGCCCTGGTGTTTAAGGAAAACTTTTATTGCTTAAGTCGCCATTTATTTATTTTGCAAACAGATTATTTGTTTACTTCTTTGCCTTATTGGGGTTTTTTCATAGGTAGATATTTGTGCTGAAGAGTTGGGAAACAATGTGAAACCTGCTGCAGCCTTGTTGGGAGACATAAAAGCAGTGACTGAGCAGGTAACATGCTCTCTTATGTAAGCGCCATCTTCTGTTGGTTGGATGTAGGAGCTGGGTTGAAGAATTTGATTGAAAATCATTTTGGTTGACGAATTGTCAGTAATCTGGCCAAATATGCACCAGTACAGTGTAAACTGTAACAGTACCTTTTTAAAACTAAAAATTTTTGTACTACAAGTGAAGAGATGAAATATTATTATATGATATTATTATATATTGTATCATATCTGTATTATATATTATCTGTAAGCATAATGCTACATTCTTAGCTTTTAGATGAAATTAAAAAGAAGCTATGGAAATATCCTTCAGATACAGATTGGTGGAAAGATCTTCGAGCCAAAGTGCAGAGCAATGAGGCAACATCTAAGGTATTATTAATGATACGTGTCAGGAAGGAGTTTGGCTTTTAAAAAAAAAAGTCTTGTGGCATCTCAAATGTTAATAAATGTATTATTGCAAAGCATATTTCAGTATTATCCAGAGCTATAAGCATGAATACATCTATGCTGGAAGAGATGTAAACTAAATGAAGATTGACATGATTTATACATACAAACACACACTTCTTTGAAAAAGCATTTCCCCTTCAGATTTTCTGGATTTTTTTTGTGTATGTTCTCCAAGCCCCTTGTGCATCTTACTAATATATAGGAGTCTGCTTAAATAAATAACACCTTGGGTTTTTTTTAAAATTAACTATAGCAATCTAATATGCAATGTACCAGGATGCAAAAATTATCATACTCACACAGTTTAGTCAGTTCAATTAAAAGAATGTCTAGGGCCAATTGTACAAGTACATCATTAAACAAAATCATTCCAAAGGTATGACCTAAAATCAGCCAGGTTCCCAGCATGAATCCCAGAACAGTATCCTGGGATCTGTGGCCTGCCTTAACTTCACAAAAATCATGATTTCTTAAAGACATTTGTCATGGAGAATGGACCAGCATTCCCACATAGGATGTTAGAAACTAATAACTAATTACAGGAATTGTTTGACTGCAGTTAGTGCAATTGAAATTTGTGGAATCAGTTACTGAATCCAATGGGTTGATCTTACTTCTTCACGTTGGCTTATTGACACTGGTTTACTTCTGTGAACACAATAAAGCCAGCATTAAACTTGGTTTTATTTATTTACTCAGATTCCCTTGGTAGTCAGAGATTCAAATGGGGAAAAATATAAACATTCATAAAACGCAAAATTCTGGTTTTGTATTCTATATTTTCAGGAGCAGTTGAGCCAATAGATCTTTAACATCATTCGTTTTCTCATTCATTTAAGGCACTATCAGCAGAAAAACAGTTTCCAATGAATTACTATACAGTATTTCACCATGTGAGGGAACTTTTGCCAAAGGACTGTATTCTGATCAGTGAGGGAGCAAATACAATGGATATTGGGCGCACCATGCTCCCAAATTATCTTCCTCGGCACAGGTAAATATATATTAGTTTCCTGAGTAAATATTTTGGCAATTTGTACTCAATTTGCTTGAAAAGACAAATTAAGATAATTTATATTTACGTTCTTGATATTAGCACATGTTGATGAACATATTATTTATTTCACTTTGCATTTTTTCCTCCACACTTTACCATCCAGATAAAGTTCTTAGATAAATACAAACATAAAATGAAAATACTATATATATCATTCTTGTTATGGCAATAGGGAATTGGAGAAAAGTACTACTTCTTATGAGGAATAGATTTTTTTTCCCCACCATCAGGTTACACAATTAAAAATTCCCTACAAAATAATATGTTTTATAAAATTAGTTAAATAAATGAAACTAGCCTTCCGCAAATGAAAAGATTTGTTCCATCAGACTTTTAATTCAACAGAGAATTTCTAGAACATAGAAATTTTCTTTCCCACCCATTTTCTTTTCCAAAAACTATAACTTTCAAAATTTTATCTGAAACATTGGAGGATCTTCCAGAACAACCTGAAAGGTGAACCAATTTTGTATGCTCCCACCTTAAGAATTTATATCCAGAATCAATAAAAAATTACTTCAAATCAAATTTATTTACTTATTCTTTGAATTGAAACTTCAGCAAATTCTGCTAAAAGTTGCAGTGTGTTTGATGAGGAAGGTTTTATTTGGATGTCCAAAAAACTAATAGTAACAGTAACGTTTAATTTGATAATTTAATCTTGGTTCAGTTGATCTAGATCCATCTATAGCAGACTTTCATCAATATGTTTTATATGTGTATAAAATGAAGCAGTGCCAATCTTGTTTATAATGAATCTGGTGATAATCTTCAGCAAAACAAATGCTCTAGAACAGGTATATCAGTATGATCTAAACTGAAACAAGTTCTGTTTTTAAAAACCTAAAGAACACAGTCTTTTCATTAGATGAAGAATACATTGTGAGTAATATTTTTATTTGGTAATCAATCAGTACAATTAGTTCTCAGATTATGATGGTAAATGGGATTGGAAATTTCCTTGCTAAGTCACGTGGTTGTAAAGCATAATGTCACATTATTTAGCAATGGCAGTCCTGGTTGCCCTTGTAATCCCAGGATTGTGTAGGAAGAGGGAGTTCCAGACAGGGAGTGTGGGGGTGAATACAAGTACCACAGAGAGGTACTATAGTGCATGAGTGCTGTAGGGGGTGTGTGGGTGCTGTGGGCAGATGCTAGGGAGCACAGGATAGCTGGCAGGGGCTGTGGGGAATGCTGCAGCAGACATATGTTAGGGAGAGTAGGTGGGAGGTGCTACAGAGTGCAAGATCTCTGGGATTTCATACTCCATAGAAGAGTCTTTGAGAGTAAAAGTTGTGGAGCAACTTGCAGTCTTCCCTATCAGCTTCTTTATTGACTTTGCTTATGCACAGCTGGCAGGGAAAGTCGTAAATGGCGATCATATAACTGTAGCTACATCATACCAAAGACCTACATATATATATATATTGAGCAGCACGAAGAATATATATATTCATATATATTATATATATTATAATATATATATTATATATATTATATATATATATATTCTGAGGTTTTCGCGGGTGTTTGTATGTAGGTCTTTGGTTATTCGGGTTTTCTCCCGCGTAAAATTGGAAGTGTCTTGGCGACACTTCCAATTTTGGTGTGTCTTGGAAGTGTTGGTGTGTCTGATTGGAAGTTTCTTGGCGACACTTCCAATCAGAGCACAGCCAACCACCCATCCAATCAGAGCACAGCCAAACCCCTAACCAATCAGAACACACCTCCACCCAATCAGAACACAGCCAAGCTCCCACCCAATCAGTTCATACCTCTACTGGCAGTTAAAAGGAAGAAACAGCTAAGACCACACATTGCTCCTCGAAGCACGAAGCTGAAAACACCAGCCTGAAGATGACAAATGGGACTTCGTCGAAACGTCGCCAAGACACTTCCAATTTTACGCAGGAGAAAACCCTAATAACCAAAGACCTACATACATACATACATACATACATACATATATATATATACATACATACATACATATATGAATGAGAGAACATACATATATATATATATATATATACACATACATACATACATACATATATACATACATACATACATACATATATGAATGAGAGAACAAAAACAAAAAGGGGATCTGAGGGAACTAGATTGATAGCCATGTCCACTAGCTCAGTTTAATCAGCATGAGTTTTAAAATTTCATAATTCAACTTGAAAGCAAGCAGCTAAAAAAATTGTGTTATAATTAACAGACCATGGAAAAACTTTGTACTGCTGTTCTGCGACCATAATAAAAATTATCTATTTATCTATCTAGAAGAGCTTTGTTCATGTCATAAGCCCAGCATTTATTAATTATTTATAAATCAATATTATTCATCAGTATATATATCTGATATTTGTAAAGACATTCTGTATATTCTTAGGAAGTTGCGATAGTGGATATGAATTAAGAAACCTCCAACAGAAATCATGCTATTATGAAAAATATAGTAACTTTTTTCTTCCTTGCAGGCTGGATGCTGGTACCTTTGGGACAATGGGAGTTGGACTTGGTTTTGCAATTGCAGCTGCTACAGTTGCTAAAACCTGTAATCCTGAGCAGCGGGTGATCTGTATAGAAGGCGATAGCGCTTTTGGTTTTTCTGGTATGGAAGTGGAGACTATTTGCAGGTAAAACTTTTGTACTGCCAGATTTTATTTTAAAACAAAAGTGAAAACTTTTTGCTGTACAAAATGAGAGTTTCTACCACATTATAGTGTTAGAAAAATTTCCTCCAAATGGAAATGTTCCTTTTTATTAATCACTATAGGCATAACTTACCAATCATTATAATCATAATCAACAATAATGGAATATACACTGGTTTGGACTCAAAGACTTGGAAGGATATGCTGAAGCTTGGAGAACCTTCTATGTGGTAAGTACTTTGGTGTTGACTTTGATTAGTCTTTAGAATATTTAACTTTGCTCTTACAAATTTAATGTTGTGCTTAAAGCTTTAAAAGCTATATACAATAAAATATAATTGTTTCAATTTCATCAAACTCTAATAAGATAAATGAAATAAGGGTGAGTGCCATGTTATACTACTTCTCACATTAACTGAGATTACCTGTGCTACATATAGCAGTAGTACCCACCCACCCCCCAAAAATCTGATCTGTTGTGGTCGTCCTTCTAGATCAGTGCTTCTTAAATTTTGCAGCTTTATCTGAGAAATTCTGAAAGTTAAAGTCCGCACATCCTAAATTTGCCAGGTTTGAGAAACAGGGACTTAGATGCTTTCAAATAGAAAGTCCACATTTCCTTTCCGTGCTGGCCATACTAGCCTGAGCAGTTGAACTTTCAAAAATTCTGGAGCATCCCAGAACACCTCTATCTTCTGGAAGAAAAGATGGGAGAGTTCCTCTCCTACTGGAAAATTGAAAATAAAATAAAATGATGTTATCATTAAGAAAGGAAAACCCTGGAATGGGGTATACTTTGCATTCCTACCATTTCTAATCATTGTCAGTATTGCAGTGGTGAAATATTACTCTGCAAATACCCTTCATCTAAGGCAGTGGTTCTCAACCTATGGGTCGGGACCCCATTTGGGGTCGAATGACCATTTCACGGGGGTCGCCAAACAATGCAGTCTGTCATTTTTCCCCCCTTTTCCTTAGCTGTGCTACTCCCTTTTATTCTGTTGGCTTTTGAAAGCCAATAGAATAGACTCTCTTGAATAGAGTCTAATTCTATTGGCTTTCAAAAGCCAATAGGAATTGTCCAGGCTGTCTCTGCCCTGCTGGGCCCGCCAAAAGTCCCATTCTGCAAACGGTGCTGCACCAGTTGAGTAGTCCTCGACTTACGACCGGTTGAGTAGTCCTCAACTTACGACCGGTTGGGGGTCGCGGCATTAAAAAGGTTGAGAACCACTGATCTAAGGTCTTGAGCTTTTCCAAACAGCTATTGGGAATTCAGAAATGTGTAGTCCACTCCTTCTGGAGGACACCAAAAAGTTTGCGTAAATGGAAAGTGGAGAAGATGATAGTGCTTATATAAGTTAAAATCTAAGCATGGAAAAGATGCACATCAAATAAGTGCTATAGTTAATGCTTCTGATAAAGAAGAATATTTGTCACTCAAGATTGAAAAGGGGAAGGGGTTCTTCTTAATGCTTCCATTGCAAAAGAACTTCCATTCTGAGAACTTTACTAAAAAATTCCACTGAAACTTAAAAAACTATTAGAGAGCTTTATTGAAATCATCCAGAATGCTTTAAAACTGAACAGAAGAGATCAGAAGGTATTTCTCTCCCATTGGGATTTCTTCTGGAACAATCTGCCTCCAGAAGTGGTGAATGCTCCAACATTGGAAGTGTTTAAGAAGAGACTGGACAGTCATTTGTCTGAAATGGTATAGGCTTTCCTGCCTGAGCAGGGGGTTGGACTCGATGACCTCCAAGGTCCCTTCCAACTTGATGATGATGATGATCATCATCGCACAGTCAGCCAGATGTTCAGACTGGATTTGGCATTTTGTCTACCTATTGAGTCCTTACCCAGGACCTGGGATAGGCAGATGTAGATGTTTGATGGTATTACAGGTATCGTCGCAGGATGGAAGCAGTTCCTAGTAAGGCCGCCTTTTGCAATTGACTAATAGCGAATTTGTCAATGCCAATGGTGTTCAAGTGGTGCTCCAGTTGCTTTGGGATTGCACCCAAGGAGCCTATTACTATTGGTACTACCCTTGCTTGCTTTTGCCACAGTCTTTCTATTTCGATTTGTAGGTCTTTGTATTTTGTTATCTTCTCCAGTTCTTTCTCGTCTATTCTGCTGTCTCCAGGCACTGCCACATCCACTATCCAGACTTTTTTGTCTTTCTTATCGACAATTGTTAAGTCTGGGGTGTTATGTTGCAGGTGCTTGTCTGTTTGAATTCTGAAGTCCCAGAGCAGTTTAATTTTATCATGTTCTATGACTTTCTCTATTTTATGATCCCACCAGTTTTTGCTTACAGGCAAATGATATTTTTTGCAGATCTTCCAATGCACCATTGTTGCTACTTTGTCATGCCGCTGCTTGTAGTCAGTCTGTGCAATCTTCTTGCAACACCTTACCAAGTGGTCCACTGTTTATTCAGCTTCTTCGCATAGGTGGCACTTACTGTCTGTTGCTGTCTTCTCAATTTTGACTTTATATGCATTTGTCCTTAAGGCTTGGTCTTGTGCAGCCAGAATTAGTCCCTCGGTCTCTTTCTTCAATTTTCCTTTGCCAGGTCTTGTTATTATCTGCTTTTCCCAGCTATTTTTTTAACATATTGGCCATGTAGTGCTTTGTCGTCCCATGCCTCTATTCTGTTCTTCATTTGGTCTTTCTTGCAGGCCAGTTTGGTCTACTATTATTATTATTATTATTATAAGATCCTGTTTTAATATGTTCATAGTAATTAATTGGGTCCTGAGCAATTTCCCTTGGGCATTGGGAAAATGAAGTTGTACTTGTTTAGCAAATTAACAATGACTTTTAATGATGTTTGATTTCCTGCTTAAGACTTTTAACCCACTACCCTAAGCCAAATCTTTTACTTAATTTCAGTGCACCTCCAGTGGCTTTGTTGCCAGATGCTCGCTATGAGCAGATTATGTCTGCCTTTGGTGGCAAAGGGTACTTTATACAAACACCAGAAGAATTACAAGCTGCCCTGAAAATAAGCTTAGCAGAAAAGCTTGTGCCTTCTCTTCTTAATGTTATGATCAACCCACTGTCAGACAGAAAGAAACAAGTAAGTATTTGTGGAATTTGTCATTCTTGTCTTAGTAACATTAACATTACTTCTATTACTTGGCCAGTCCTGAAGAATAGATCAAGACATCTCCTTTATTAAACGTTTATAAAATGATTGAGGTCTAGAAGGTTTTTCGGTATATTCTTGAACACCACAGTCTACTGTACCTTGTATCTCTATAACATTTCTTATAGTTTCTTACCTGAAATTTGAGTATTGCTCTTCCTTTGTATTCTCAGGATTTTCATTGGCTGACCCGTTCTAACATGTAAGAGAAGATGAAAAGACTGGAAGCAAAATGCCTATGTAAACTTAGCAGATTCCAAAGGATAATTACAGTTACAAATTGAACAATCATGTTGATTACCATGTGTAAGGAAAGATTGCTAATTACATACAGATCTACATTTTGCCATTTTGGGAGACAAAAGACATCTAGCTGGTAGCTTCTTTACTTTTTCCACTACTTGCATCAATTTATGAATGCATATACTTTAATGCCTACCCCAGATCTTAAAACCAAGAAGTACATAACATATTGATTTACCTTTGCTTTTTGTATATTTTTACAGCATGGGAATGCAACAGAGCCTTCTTTGTGTCTTTCATTAGAGCAACCTTCCCAAACTATATACCATCTAGATCAGGGGTCCCCAACTTATGAGCCGCAGCCCAGTACCGGGCTGTGGCCTATTGGCCATTGGGCCGTAGGAATGGCTGACAAATGCATGCATCGCACCCTACTTGCACTAGTGCTGCAGCATGGGCACTAGCTAGCGGCCCATTTGCACATGCACATAGGTGTCCTTGCTGCCGTGTGTGTGCATGGCTTGCTTATGCATGCGCACGTGCTAGCACTGCTGCTGTGTACATGCCCGTTTGGGTATGCATGCGCAAGTGCATGCACACATTTCCCTACTCCTCCCTTTCTCTCTGGGGCCCCAATCTGGAAAGGTTGGGGAGCTCTGATCTAGATGTATGATTTAACTCCTGTTGAAATCAATAGTTGCTTAAATCAGCATACTGATTCTAATTGTTGCACTTTTAGAACCCTGAATAAATATTTGTTTACAGTTAAATCACCTTGTTCTTGCTGTCACTTGTATTCTTGCATTTTTATCTATATTTATGTTTTAATTTATTTTGCAGTATGCTATAATAACTATTGCGTATCACTGACTTTGTAAGGTGGGCATACATTTAAAAACAAAAAAAATAAGTCTTATTGTTATGAATCTTCTTACAGATACCATACAGAAGGTAGCAAAAACCTGAAACCAAATAAATTATTATATGAAAGTATTTGATTAATTTATACTTTAGTATTAAATATTTTGTGTGTTTTAATCTGGAAAGATGTTGGATATGTTTTAATTCCAAACCTGCAATTTATGATATACCCATTTTGTACAAATCTTTTTGAAATAAATCTTTTTTCAAAGCCAAGGTAAGATCACCAGAGGGCGCCATTTATTCAAGACTCTTTTAAAAGTAAAAAAATGCAATAATCTAGTTGCTGTTTGTAAAGAAAATGTTTATTTGTTTGGGCAAGGGAAAAATAATTGAATCATAATTTGATAGTGCTAATATCTGTTTTGTATTTTGATTATTATTGTAGGCAAAAGGAAAAGGGGACGGCAGAGGATAGGTGGTTAGATAATGTCATTGATGCAATGAACATGAATTTAGGCAAACTCTAGGACACAGTGGAGGACAGGGGGTCTAGGGTGCTATGGGTCATGGAGTGCCAAGAGTCGGGCATGACTTAGCAACTGAACAATAACAAAATTTTGATTATTGATGATTGATTTAAAAGTCATAGCTATTTTTAAATGATAGATATATTATTTGGATGAAATAATTGTTTAACTCTCTATTCAGGCTTATTGAGAATATTATGTAAAGAAGAAAAGAAAACAAATTATTTTTAGAGATATAAATCAATTAATAAAATGCATACTATTTTTAAAATCGTGAAACCTGAAATTTTAAAAATTAATTTCATTAGGTAATGATATTTTAATGGGTTTAACACTAGTTTTATGTATGAAGAATTTTGAAGTGTTCTTAATTTATGACAAATGCTAAAACTCCAGATATGTTCTGGTTTGGCTGCTGATCAATTAAATTAGAAATTGGTGAAGATTCTCATCAGATTTGATATCATTTCTCATAATCAAATTAATCAATTTTTCTTATATATGTTAATCAGTTCAAGCAAGAATTTCCATATCACATGGAACTGTGAATTTTGGCTTTACCAATTGTCTTTTTGGTAATTATATTTTTGTCTTTCATTTTTCATTCCTTTCTTCCTTGATTCATCTCAAGGACAGTTGATTATTATTCTTATTTATTTATTTAATTTTTGCATATGTCTCTGTATGACTAACAGATTAACAGAGATGGAAGGGACCTTGGAGGTCATGTAGTCCAGCCCCCTGCACAAGCAGGAAACCCTATACCAGTTCAGACAAATGGTTGTGCAGTCTCTTCTTAAAAACTTCCAGTATTGGAGCATCTATAACTTCTAGAGACAAGTTGTTCCACAGATTAATTGCAGCCCCTTAGATATTGCAGCACTACCTTCATGTCTCCTCTAGTCATTTTTTCATCAAACTAGTCATACCCAATTCCTGCAACTGTTCTTTATATGTTTTAGCCTCCAGTCCCCTAATCATCTTTGTTGTACTTCTTTGTACTCTTTATAGAGTCTCACTATCTTTTTTGTATTGTGGCAACCAAATCTGGATGCAGTATTCCAAGTGTGGTCTTACTCAGGCATTATAAAGTGGTTCTAACATTTGATGTTAGTACATTCAATTTGTATATTTGTATATATTATACAAATTAGTGCATTTGATGTCCATACATCAGGTCCACACTTCACCTGATGTATAGACTAAATTCCATACATCAAGTGAAATAGTTTGAAATTAAAGTGGGAAATAGGATGCTACTGTGTTAAGTAATCAACCAGGAACATGGGTTTTGGCAATGGGTTGAAAATTGCCTTACGGAGTATAGTGATGCACATGATTCAGACACTTTTAATGCTCTTGGTAGTGATCAGTACATTTTATTCCACTGTGCTTCCCTATCATGGAAATGTTTTTATTGCTTCTATTTTTTATGAGACAGAAAGAAAGGAAGTCCCCAAAGCTTGTTCATGTGTTCTTTTTAAAGAAGAGATTCTTGTATCTCTCCAAATTGTAAAAACATTTTTCTCTAGCACCAAGATGTGTTCCCATTTTCAACTTGTTAAAAAAAAGAGGAGTTAGGAGTCTTCTAAATTGCTTCTAGTATTGTTTTATTATTCTGAGAGTGGACTTTTGTGTGTGTACTCTTACCCCTTGGTGACCTTTGTGGAAAGGCATAATATATTAATTTACAGTAGTTCCAGCTGGCTTTATACTGCCTCTGGGCAATAGGGAGGTACAATATCAGAAGTGATATCATTGCTCTCTCATGTGATCTGATTCAGATCTTTCATCTGTCCTGAATCAGTTCATAATTCCAAGTATAATTATCCACAAGGCAGAAAACACATGTATTGATTTTTCCATACCATTCATAAATTATAAACTTTTGTCATGCTAAGAATAAACAGGTGATGAATAAATGTGGATTGATTACAAACCGGAGTGACACATATGGAATATTCATATTGATCTGATCTTTTTATATTTATGTGAAAGAAGAGTAAATAGATTGAAAGGCAGAGAAATGGACCAAGAACATTATTACTGGTTGAGGTTGATGAAAACTTCTTTTTAGGCAATGTAAAAGAAATTTGAATTTTTTTTAGTCCCAGTATAGAAAGTCACTACTACAGCATTTCTTGACAGCCTCTATTAAAACACCTTCAGGATGAGAAATACATTTCATACAAAAAAGATAAGAATTTTAAAGAATAAAGGGCATTGTAGGAAGCTGTGTATCAACAGGGTAGCAGCAAGGACAGAAGGGAACGAAGAGGTATAGTGAATTGTGTTGGTCTAAGCTGGAATCAGAATTCCTTTCCATTTCTCTTTATCTTGTGTTTCCCATTTATTTTGTCCACTATTTATCTTGCTGCTTCTGTGCTTTGCATAATGTTGATTTTCTTGAAAGGAAATAGCATGATGGGTATGTTGATATGTGAGTGTGTGCCTTTCTATCCAACAAGATAATTAAGATTGTTAGTAGAAGTAAAATAATCAGAACATAATCTACTGATACAAAAGATGCACAAATATTAAAAATGTATGATGAAAATTCAGAAGTCTTGATTGAAGAATTAAGCCTTATTTCTGATTGAGGGTACACAGAAAGAAAAAAAATCAAATGCAGCTCTCAATGTGTGACATAGATTGGCAGGGATACTGAGAAAGGTCTTCTGCTATTCTTTAAAAGCAAACTATTGAAAAATGGGAAGCATTTTTAAGGAACTTCTGTTGACTTTGGTATGTACACAAGTTCATTTAAGCATTTTTTTATTCTATGTTTGTATACTTAACAAAATATTGAGACTTATTGGGACTTATATAAACAACTGGACATGAAGGTTAGCAAACAAGAGCACTATGTATATGTGAAAAAAGATGGGTGGCAATTGCAGGACAAATGCAAAATTCTGGGAAGCTGGCAACAGCACTTCAGTGAAATCTCTAACATTGAATTTCCATACTTGATAATTCCTGATGGCTTGCCCAAAGCTGCTCTAGTCCCTACATCTTGCTAGAAGAGGTTATCAAAGCTACTTGCGGCATGAAGAATTCAAAAGTGCCAGATCCTGATAACTTACCAGCAGACATTTGGAAGCTGGTGGAATTTAGTGGCAAAGCAGCCAATTGGCTAACAAATTTCTCAAATGCCATTGTGGACTCTGGACAAGATACCTGCTGATTGGATCACATATCATAGTTCCCTTCTTCAAGAATAAAGGTGACCCAGCAGATTGCTCTAACTATTGATCAATTCATCTTGTATCCACATAATGAAAATCTTTCAGCAGATCCTCAACCAGCACCTATGTAACATCGTGAAAATTAGTACCAATCAATGTAGCTTTGTCATAGGTTCTAGCCTGATTGATGCCATCTTCATGATCTGCATGCTAATAGAGAAACACTGAGAAAAGGAGAAGCTATTGTACTTGGCTTTCCTTGACTTTGAAAAAGCCTTAATATCAGCTAATCTGGTACATGCTACATGATCGTGGTGTACCCAAGAAACTCATAAAATGGGTCCAGATGCTTTATACAAATACAAGCAGTCATGTTAGATGTGCTGCAGGCCTTTCCGATAGCTTTCCTATGAAAGTTGGTATTCACCAAGACTCAGCATTATCATCATTGCTGTTCATTCTCATCATAGATACTATCATGAAAGAATTGCAATGTGATATCCCCTGAACGTTGCTTTATGCCAATGATGTCATGCTCGCAGCTGCCACCAGAGAAAAACTGCAGCAATATGTGCAGACATGGAACAATCGCCTTAGCCAACTTGGCCTGCACCTCAGCCTCAAGAAGACTGAACACATAGAGACCAGTCCGAGCACTTTTACTATACGAGTCAGTGGTAAAGATTAGTGAAGACCAATATCTTCTGTTACTTAGGATTCCATCTACAAAGTGACAGCAGCATTAATGACAAAGTGCATGCAAGAGTGAACAAAGTATGGCTACAATGGAAGGAGGTCACTAGAGTATTCTGCAATTGATACATACCAATCTAAAATCAAAGGTGTATAAAACAGTGGTAAGCCCAGTAGCTTTTTATGGCACTGAGTGCTGGCCAATCACCAAATTCACTGAGCACTCTTTATGGAGCATATGCATGCTAGGAGATACTTACATACTTTGTTGGTCATTAGGTGTGTTTCTTGACCATGTCAGCAATGACACAGTACAGCAGCAAATGGGCATTGAACCAATACCTAAGAAAATGCAGGAGAAATGCCTACAACAGTATGACCATGCCCAATGAATAACACTCCCACTATTGCCTGCATTGCCTTCCATTTTAACACAGATGGCAAGCGTCCATGTAGAAGGCCAAAGTAAAGATGGCAAGACCCAAAAATGCAGACATGAAAATTGCCCAGTTGAATCCAGATACTGCATTTGATCATGCAAGATATTTGTCAGTCCAAAAAGTAGACCTTGCACCTGCAGGAATAATGCTGGAAAGATGATGATGATGATGATTAAAATATACAAACTTTATAAATAGAATAAAAAATAGAATTACACATTTTATTTGCTAGGCTATTGCCTAGACCAGGGGTTCCCAACCCCCAGTCCGTGGATCAGTACCGGGCTGTGGTATGCCAGCAAACGGTCTGCACAAACAAGCAAAGCCCCATCTGTAGGATGCAGTCAGCACACAAAACCACGCCCCCTCTGGTCCATGGAAAAACCTCTCTCCACGGAACCGGTCCCTGGTGCCCCAAAGGTTGGGGACCTCTGGCCTAGACCACTATTGCCTAGATCACTTTGTCTCCATTTCACATTTAAGTAAATTGAAGTATCAGCCCATTTTAATGTTTGCAGCCCACTTTAAAAATTGTTTGATGAGCTTGCTAATAGATGAAAGTTCTATACTTTCAGAGGGAACTAAGGTTGCCACCCATGCATTATCTTCCCTTCTTAACCACAGATGAAAAAGCTGTCAAGTTAAAACTGAGGAAGCAGGAAATAATCATTTATTGGATCTCTGCCAACTCAAAAAGAAGCCACAATAATACATTAAGCTTAAATACATTTTGAAAAGTGATTGGCAGCATTTCTGCCATATAAAGTTATTTAAATGATGAAACCAGAGGATTACAAAAACTTGTGAGATTTTCATGATTATTTGAGATTTCAATTTTATTTTAGTGGGAACTCCTCAAGTTCAGCGAAACATATTTTATTGAATCCTAATCTATGACCTTTATGGTTTCTGCGTGGTTCCAAAAATTGAAATGACATTGATATAGAATTTAAGGATTCAGATAGTTAGAAAACTAGGGAATCTTTTACAAAAAGGTATAATAAGGTATAACTTGGAAATAACAACAAGGTATCAGAGTCACATGTATCTCTTGATTTACTATTTAGCTGGTTTTATTTTAAAATCTTTTGTAAGACTTTTGCACATCTGTCTCATCCCTTGAAATAAAAGTCAGAAAAAAGGAAATGTCAAAAAGGGGCATTCAATACCATTAACCTTGGTATCTTTCTGGAGCAGTTTGGGAGTGGGGGGCTCTGTGTTGTCCTGGTGCACTTCTTTCCTCTGTGGTCAACTTTCAATGTTGATAGGTAATGAAAGGTCCAGCCCTCATCCCCTGTTTTGAGGGTCCCTCGGGGTTTGATACTTTCGCATTTCTGTTTAACATCTACATGAAGCCACTGGGCAAGAGAAATCAGTATGCTGATAACACCCAACTGTATGTCTCAGCCTGTGGTGAGTTAAGCAATGCTGTGACCTCCCTCTTGCAGCTCTTAGAGGCCATTAAGGGCTGGATTGGGAGCAACAGGTTGAAACAACCCTGACTAAGATTGAATGGCTCAGGGTTTGGGTTCCTTTGTTCCATGGAATTGCCACCTTTGTCTTGGATTGGGTGGCACTTGATCTGGTGCAAACTCTGAGGGTTCTGACTCATGATGCCTGCTCAAGGAGCAGGTAGCAGTCATGGCCAGGAAGGTCTAGATAAAACTGCGGGTTATGCACCAGCTATATCCTTTCCTAGACCAACAGTCACATATGCATTAGTCATCTGTCTTGACTATTACAAAGCACTCTACTGTGGCTGTCTTTGAAAATATTTGAAAGCTTCAATTGGTTCAAAATGTGGTGGTCTAGATGTGCACATGTGTCATATTTTTGTAAGAACTCTACTGATTTGCTTGCAAGTCCAATTCAAGGTGCTGGTTGTTGTCTTCAAAGCCTTATATGGCTTGGAATCAGGTTTTTTGAAGGACCATCTTTTCCCAGTCATTTACCACCAGATAGGGAGTCTGGGAATGCTACTGGTTTATTCCCTAAGGATGTCCATCTAGTGAGACCAAGAAGAAAAGCCTCCTCTGTAGTTGCTCAGTCCCAGTGGAACATCTTCCTTGCGGAGATAAGGTTGCCCTCCACTTTGACACATTTTCATGAGCCCTGAAGACCTAGTTTTGTCAATGGACTTGGGGAGCCCAGAGTGGGATGGAACCCATCAAATGACTCATTTGAGTGTTGTTGCCAGGTGGGGGTAAAGGGCTATTGCTTTTTATAGTTTCTTATATTGGGTTTTTTATTCTTGAAAGCTGTAGTCTAACAGTGAGTAAGGCAGCCATATAAATTTTCCTAAATAAATAAAAAAAGAGGAACCATAAAGAATGGTGCCATTCAGCTATGCCTACAATTTGCATGCAGTTACTGATCCTCTATAGCAGAATGTATTGGTAACCAAGAGGTAGCTTGGATTATAATTTTTTATAATTTTTTATAAGATTTCAATATCTTTGCTTGCACTGTTCCTGCTCTTTGAAGAGAAGATCTGAAAATCTAAGCTAAGTGCTAGAACTGGATTGTGATCAGTTATGAGATCTTTGAAACTCAATAGCACAGAAATATATATAGAGAGATTGGAGTTAAAGTTTTATAGCTTCTGTTTGAACTTGAGAGTTACATGGAACATGCCATCCTAGCTAAGTGAAAATAAAATGCTCACTCTTATCCATATTTCAGGTATAATAGGGATAATCTAGGCTCCAGTATATCTGCATCATTGCAACTTGGCCAAAGAATTAATCCCTTAGAGCAGTACTTTCCAAACTGTTCTATTTAGAGACCCTGACATTCCTTGGAAGTTTACTAGGTCTTCCCCACAACTGCAGAGTGGTTTCCCTGAAAAACATTTTGCCCTTCAATAATAATATAATTTTCCTATCAAAGACTGTTGCAAAAAAGGGTTTGGATGAAACCCAGGGCAAATTCTGGTTCACAATTCATATAAAACATGAAGTGTATTTGTAACATACTATTTTTTTTACAAGATGGAAAGTTTTAAAACAGACTGAAAAGTCTATTTTATTTTATTTTATTTTGAAAATTCAAAATACATTTCTTGACAAATGGTTATTTCTGTGTCATTACAATAAATGTAAGTCAGACCTAACAATATTTGCTAGAAAAGACATTTCCAACTTCTTTGTGTTAATAGATTATTTGAAATTTTAAAAACATAGATTCAGCATTCTTATGCATCAGAGTGCCTAAGTGTAAGACTAAATAGGGAGTGCTGGTGGATAACAACACAATGTGCGAATGTGGAGAGATGCAGGGTCCAGCCCATTTGTTGGTCTGCCACTTGTTATCAGTAGAATACGCAAAACATGATTATTTTCTGCCCAGTGATAAAGTGAGAAAGGTGGCTTCATTTTGGTGATTTAAGGCTTGATCTGGACACAAAATAAATAAAGCATTCTTATGCATTGACAAAGGTTCTGCAGAGAAAACCCATTACAATATAAAGCACCAATTTACCAAAATACTAATTAGCTCTTCCAAGCCCCCACATTGGTCCTCATAGGCTGAAGGCCTTGCATTTGGTATTAAATAACACTCTAGTACTCAATGTGTTAAATCACGTGAAGTTTTGAAATGAATTATAGACATGGAAACACTATGGGGAAAAAACCATGAGGTTACTATCTGCATGTCCCGGATGTTGAAATTATTAATGGAGTTATCTTCATTCATGAATGGATTTAGCTCAGTGATCATCTAGTTATCAATCAGAGATATGGCTTTCCCACTCAGCTTCAGACCACACCCTCCTTTTCTTCATTAGTGCTCTGGCTATGTTTTAATAGCTGGTATTTGTGATGGGGGCATCTGATCCAATGCTTGAGTTAAATATAGCCCTGTCTAGTGTAAGGAGAAGATTTAATGGGAAATGGTTAGCATTCTTTCTCCCTAAAGAACAGAGGGAGGGTGAGAGAGAGAGAGAGAGAGAGAGAGAGAGAGAGAGAGAGAGAGAGAGAGAGAGAGAGAGAGATGCACACATAAACATCTCGAACCAGTGAGAGGCTGAAAGGAGGAAAGGCAAGCAGAAAAGATAGTGGTCAAGAAATCATACAGCTCACAGCCAGAATGGTTATCCTCAGCTGGATTGCTCTGGGATTTTATCTTCAGCTCTTTTTCTGTTGGGCTTTGTCTCAAACCTCTTTTGTCGACAGTATCTTCTCCATTTCAGCAGGTAAATGACAGCCTTGCTTTGCCTCTTGGTGAGTTACATATCTTCTCTTAGGTGATTTTTTGAAAGAAGTTTTTTGTTTCTAATCCCTTCTAATTACAAAATCTTTGAGAAACTTGATTGCAAATGTAATTGAAGCTGTATCGTATATATGTATGTATGTATATGTATACGTATATATGTGTATATACACACATATAACACACACACATACACACATATATATTATATTATATATAATATTTCAGGATTTAAGAGTGAACGTTTCCTATTTAACAGTAAACCAATCACATCCCCAGGAAATACGTTCTCTCCTGTAATATCGCTGCTTTATTTTGATAGTTCATGTTCACTTGAAGATGTTATTTAACTTGGACACCAGAGAAGAGAGATTAATTATATTGTATTATCCATTTTGTTAATATATTCCTGACTTTATCCTGCATAACCGGGATAAGTATCTTATGAAAAATAATACTTAATAATACTATCAAAAATTCAGATAAATTTGATAGCCAACTGCTGTAAAAAACAACAACATTGCAGACCCAGTGTGAATTGTCTGAGTGAAGGGAGTCTTATTTACCACTCTAATCCTAAACTTTCCTTCAGCTGTATGCAATGGAAGTAGACAGGGAATAGGAAATATCTTCCTTTCAATCAATTTCAATAATAAATTTCTTTGTCAGTAGGCATAATGGAAGTCCGCTGGGATGGAAAGCAACAATTTAAAAATTTAAGTCTACTTTTGAACTCATGCTAACTGGATAACCACTTGTTTGAATGACATTAGTTACTACAAGGTGTAGTTCTAAAGGTGAACTTCCCAGCTTTCTCAAAAGGGATGTTAACTTCCTAAAATTATTAAAGGCATCAGAGAGAACCATTCTGAAGAAATTATTTTAAGAATTAGACTGGATACAACTATTGCATAAAACATTTAATATTTCTTTAAAATATTGACTTCAAATTTAGGTTTCTTATAACTGTTAAACTTCAATATAACTTCATGGCTCAGCTACACATCTGTGCCTCTACTGCACTATATATATATTAGACATATTAGTTATGAAGTAGTTATTAAAAATATTAATTTTTTGTTAGAGGACATTTGACATTTTCAGGAATTATATTTAAATAGAAAATACTGTTTAAAACCCTGTCATCCTTCCCTTCTTGCCTTTGCTCATTTATAAATGTTTATTTAAGCAAATAAATAATCTTGTACCCATAAACTGAACTAACACAAATTAATATAATGACTAGAACAGTGCTTACTGAGATACTCTTTTAAAAGTTCACAAATCCATTTTGTGCAGTGATCAAATACTAATTTGCCTAGAAGGGCAATAAAATCTTATTGTCATTTTGTATTTTCTCTCTTTTAAAAGTCTTTTTTTATATATACAAACATAAAAAGGACCTACAGTTTGGATATCCATTGTCTGTTGACCTCTTGCAAAAGTTCCTTCATCTTTTTTGTGTATTTGATGCTTCAAAGCATCTATACTGAATACACATAGCAAATGTCTAATGGAGATGTTGCACAGCAGGAGGGGGAATCCCACTCTCTTATTTCTATCTGGTACAAGCAAAGGCCTTCTCTCAGGAGATGCTAATTTAAAATGAACAAATGAACAAACAAACTAGCTAAAGCATCTAAACAGGGTTATTAAGCAGAGTATTAAACAAATGCAGCTTGGAAGCAAAATAATTGACTTAGCTAGACTATCACCATGAGACCATGTTGCAGTGATAAAGAAACGTGTGGTTTTACCATGGGTTCGTTCCCCCAACCCAACATCTCCAAAACTAGGCACCATCTTGTTTCCAGAAATAGTGATCCTCTTGGTTTTATCTAGCCCTGATTTGTTGATGCTGAAACATCACTTCTAAAGGAAATGCTTCAAGGTTTTAGGTTACATAAGGTAACGTGTGACCATGATTCTTCATTTCCATCTGGCTCTGCTGTAGCAGATGAGTTACTAACAACAAATCTGCAGGGGTGAAAATATTTATGGATGGGTTTTTAAATGCATTTTCTTTGTTTTGGCCAAGTTCTTACTGGCTTTGCAGCAGTTTTAAAGGAAACCCACCAAATCTGCTTTCTCATAGAGTTTGGAGAGTTCCCATTGGTGGCAACTCTTGCATACATTTGGTCTTAGCTCCACAGCTGTTCTCCCACCCTTCAAAGGGTAGGTCTCCATAGCTTGCCTTGTTGGGAGGGAGGGGCCTCAGCACTGTGATGGCTTGTCAGCTCTGCTGTCCCTTCTTCCAATGAAAAAGTTCAGATATGTGAAATGTAAAACAAAACAGAGCGTGGACGTGGCAGTTCTATTCTCCTAGTCAGCTGGAGAGGGCTTTGATTGTATGAAGTCACCTTCTCTGCACTTTGAAATTAATGGTGGTATGGATGGTTGCCTTGAAACTTGAGAACTGTTTCTGGAGAATGGGGGAAGCAATTGGGAGTAGAAGAAACCTGTACTTTATTTTAGTCTTTCATAACATATCCATATTGGGCTTCAACACCTTCCTGTTATGCAAGTTTTTTTGGCTCAGGTCTTGCAAGAACAACCTGAATTCTCTGTTGCTGAGGAATATTCATAAAGTGCAGTGCTCTTTCTGTCAATGTTTCTGGGCCTCACATCCTTTGTAAGCAGGATGATTTGCTAGCTTGTTTTTTTAAATCAGCTGAGTCATCTCTACAGTAAGCCAGAATGAGATACACATCTCTGGGAATAAATTCTGGGTGCCATGGAAGGGTCACACAATGTTACTTATTTAATTTTGTTGTTTTGATATTAAATGTCATGAAAGATTTTTGTGAGATTTGTTCATCTTTTTGGACCCCTGAGTTCTGGATGCCCCCACCCCCACCCCGCTGTTATTCAGAAAGCAGTAAAGATCTGGCGATTCACTCAGGCCTTTTGTGAGGGAGAGGCAGATCCCTCACTTCATCACACTTGCCATCTTTTATATTTTGGTTGATCACTCAGTCAGCCAGCTGTTTAGACTAGATCTGGCATGTTGTTCCCTGCCAAGGATGTGGGATAGGTAGATGCTGTTGTTTAATAAAATTAAACGTATTGTCAAAGGATGTAAGCTATTCCAAGTAAAGCCTTTTGAAATTGACTGATAGGGATTTTGTAAGTGCCATTGGTGTTCACATGGTCTACCAGGCATCTATTACTATTGATTTCTTTTGTCATAGTTGTTCTATTTGCAGATATTTATATTCTGTGATTTTTCTTCAGCTCTTTCACTTCTCTTCTGCTATCTCCAATTGTTATTGTAGTTTCTTTAGAGAAAAATATGCATGTACTTTAATAAAAGGCATCTCACTCTGTTGGGGTAAATTATAACTAAATGACTTATGAGTCCCCTCAGTAGAGTTTTTCGTCATGAAGTTTTCTGATCTAACTTTCATTAAATGATTACAAAACTATGTCAAACTAAGGAAAATCTTCTGTAAAACAGGATGCGTGGTTTCCTTATTTCATCTGCTGATCCATAGAAATCTTGCTTAGCCTGTTACAATTATTAGAAAAAAATGAATTCATTCTCATTCTCATTCTCATTCTTTCTCTCTCTCTCTCTCTCTTTTTAAAAAAACACAAAATTTAGGAAGCATACTATTACCCCATTATGTTGTGCATGGGAGTAGATTTCATTTCATTATGATAGTTGGTAATTATTTTTTATCAAACTTTTAAGTCAGTAAGCAGGACTTTGAAGATCATGTAAAAAGTACAAAGTGTCAACCCGTATTCTGAGCCACAGCGGTAAAATGGTGTAGCTGTAAAAAAAAATGGCAAGTAGGGGCTACTTGTATGTTATATAAACTAATGTACATTCATAGTAGAGTTTGTAATTTTGGATTCTAGGTCATATTTGTTTTATTTGTTTTTAGGATTGTTTGTCTTCCAGTGTTACCCAGTTTGAGATGAGCAGCTATACCAGTGGTTCTCAACCTTTTTAATGCTGCGACCCCCAACCAGTCGTAAGTCAAAGACTACTCAACCGGTCGTAAGTCGAGGACTATTCAACTAGTGCAGCACCGTTTGCACCCTGTCAATATTAGAAAAAGATTCAATCCACAATTATAGCTTATTGAGGACCCTAAGAGGATGTAAATATTCTGTTTACTATTTACGTGTTTTTTTAATTTGTATAGCTCAGTGGTTCTCAACCTTTGGGTCAGGATCCCATTTGGGGTCGAACGACCATTTCACGGGGGTCGCCAAACAATGCAGTCCGCCATTTTTCCCCCTTTTCCTTAGCTGTGCTACTCCTTTTTATTCTATTGGCTTTTGAAAGCCAATAGAATAGACTCTCTTGAATAGAGTCTAATTCTATTGGCTTTCAAAAGCCAATAGGAATTGTCCAGGCTGTCCTGCTGAGTCCGCCAAAAGTCCCATTCTGCAAACGGTGCTGCACTAGTTGAGTAGTCCTCGACTTACGACCAGTTGAGTAGTCTTCGACTTACGACTGGTTGGGGGTTGCGGCATTAAAAAGGTTGAGAACCACTGGTATAGCTGCTCATCTCAAACTGGGTAACACTGGAGGACAAACAATCCTAAAAACAAATAAAACAGTCAAAACACAATACAAGAAGAAATTCAATACAAATAGTAGCCAATAGAGATTACAATCTGTCAGTGTCAAAGCAGCCAGAAAACAGGGCCCTCTTCGAACCTCAATACCAGTAACCAGGTCTTTCAGGCCTTCCAAAAAACCCTCAGGGTCAGAGATATCCCAATCCCAGGAGAGACAACACTTCAGAGAGTAGATGGTATAGCAGAAAGGGTACATTTCCTGGTCCCTGCCGCAACCTTCCTTGTTAAAATTATAAATTTTATTACAGTATTCCAAAACCTGGTAAGTCAACTTGGCTGTGTTTCAGATCTTGCTTCTCCAGATCCTGCTCTGAGATCACTTTGAGAATGGGGGACAATTTCTAAATGGTTATGACAGTCTAATTGAAGAATTGTTTACTCCATGGTCAGTTTTGAAATAAGGGATTCTACAAAAGGAAAGCAATGAAACCAATGATTAAAGTGCTACTTAGCCGCAGAGTTCACAAGATATTTTGGGCTTTCTCTCCTTCTCCCTCTCGCTTTCTCTAATCTCATTATTCTCTTCCACACTATTTTCTTCTCTACTATTGCATTTCTATTTAAATCCATCCTTCCTTCCTTCCTTCCTTCCTTCCTTCCTTCCTTCCTTCCTTCCTTCCTTCCTTCCTTCCTTCCTGTATGTATCCAGGCAATGTATAGAATTTAAAATATTTCTGGAAACACTAGACTATGGTGATATATAAAAAAATGACACATACAATAAAATAAATTCAGTTTGGTCTTGCCACCATTGGCTCCCAAGTACAATTTTTCTCCATTCACTTAAATTGTATATAGTTTCATTAATGATTTAAGGCACCAGGATAAAAACCAGGAGAGTGTGAATTTTAGTCCTGAAAGATTGATAGGTGCATGAATGGATAGAGATGATAGATAGATAGATAGATAGATAGATAGATAGATAGATAGATAGATAGATTAGATAAGATAGATAGATAGATAGAATAATTGTAAAATCAAACTCTTCCCACAAACTTAACTCCCGACGGTTTTTCTGGTGATAATACAGAAGTGATTTGAATCCTTTCTTTTTACAAGAAGGTAACTGTAGAAAATGAACAGAAGAGAGCAAGCCTTCTTCCTAACTGATGCCAAATGAAATCTTTGCTTATCTGTCTAGCTTCAGAAGTAGAAACTGTTCATTCAAAGGCAATTTGTCGAACACAAAATATTGAAGATGTAAAAGCTACAATAGAGAGCATGACTTGCAGTATAACAGCTGGTAAAACAATGCTGGGGAACATTCCAAGGGAGAGACTTCTTTCAGTCAGGGAACTTCGGGTTTGATACTGAGCCATAACAAAGCTAGGAAACACAGTGATGATGCCAAAAGAATGAGTAGATCCCATAGAATGAATCATAGGTCTATTATTCAATGGCCTTTTAATAGAAACCCTCTTGCTTGTCTTGTGATCCACTGAAGTACAATGTGCTTGTTCACTTACATTCTCCTGTGAGAATCCAGAATCTCCTAAGCAATGTACTGACTGCATGCGTGTTTCAGATGGAATGACTGAGTAGGATTTTTCATGGCTATATTATTTACCATGTGCTTAGAGGAGGTACAATCCTTATAGGAAAGCAGACACCAGGACTTAATTTCTGAAAACTAAAAGAAGGATGGGCAGATTGCAAGATTGTATGACAACTGTACAACTTTTCCAAAAGTGGATGTCCTGCAGACATGTGATCATAAATTCCCAAAATCCCAAGTCAGCCTACTATGACCATAAGTGGAAATAATGGGGTCCACGCACCTGGAAAACATCCAGACTGGACAAAATAGCTCTGTGCTTATATGATCTTATATGATCTGTGCTTATATTGATAAATATTAAGTGTGATGGAGGTGCACTAAATACATTCACTCCAAAGGCCACAATCTACAACTCTAGAAGGGCAGACTATCTTCAGAATTTTAATAAATTTCCACCATTATATTAAAAATAATAGTTACAAATGGCTATAGCTAGGCTTAAATCAAAAAATGGATTAATGGAACTGGAGCAGAGAACTGTTTCAAAGCTATTGGCAGTATTTACTATGAAAGGAAATTGAGTTAATGGGACTCCTTTGGAAGGCATAAAAATATAGCGGTAAAGGAGAAATTAGCCAAATCAGAGAAATATGTGTGACTTGTATTTTACTTTTCTAAAAAATAACTATTAGTTTTAAATTAGCACAAGGACCTGTATCATAGGTTTCTGCTAAATGTGTATAGATACATTGCCTTATTTTATCGGTTTTCCCTAATTATAATAATACACAATACCTAGAAAGAGCTGGGAGATCCCTTCCAGGTTAGGCTCTGTTATACTGATCTCTTTCTTACAATATTGTGGAAGGTTCTTCCAAACAGGGCTTCAGCACAACTCCCAGATTGACAGACTGTGTTCCCTGTGCTTTCACACCACACCTTGTGAAGCAGAGGAACTGATCAATTTTGAAATCCAAGTGCCTCAGGAACAATCACTAAAAACCAGTTTAAATTGAAGTGTTCTCTCTGGGCATGTGAACATTCCTAAGGATGTGAATCTAGCCAGACTGATGATTAGTGAAATGAGTTTTATAATTATGGTGGAAAAAAGCCTATATGTTTACAGGAAATATATAACTGGGACAGGTAAAGCCAATTACATCTTAAGTCCAACAACATGTATTCCATGTATGTGTGCCTGGAAAGACAAGTAGAAGAAAGTGATCTCAGATTAGTAATCTCTTAGATAAAGAGCAAACAAAAGGAACTCAGAGTAAATTCTAAACACTCTGTCCACATACTTCTGCTTCTTGGGTCAGTAACTCATGAGGTTCTGAAAAATCAGTGCCATTAGAATCGGACCACCAACATTTTGAAATGATAAAATAGAGTTAATGGTTATTTATTTCTCTCACTCTGCTTCTGGCTATTTGTTCCTCTCCTTAAAGCTGATTAGCTGCCAAAGCATCACACTATTCGCATACTAATCTTATTAAATTGAGTAAGGGTTGACTTTGTCAGTCATTCTCACAATAATTGGCTTTGCTTTTTTGAAATCAGTAATGGAAAGGAATCAAACGCATAAGACAGAGAATTGGGGGGAGATGGAGCAAAATAGCAAGAAGCTGGTTACTTGTGGTGATTTTTGCCCTCCCATATTAATCAGTAGTTAGTTGGGTCATCCAGAACAACTCTGCATCTTGTGGGTAGCTCTGAGGAAAACAGCTGTGATCTGTTTTTGATTGATCCCAAGGTTTTGAAGACCAAAAATTATAGCTGAGCAGTCCAGATGTAAAGGGAGATCTGAATGGTAGAGCAAAAATATTTTAAGTGGTGATCTTGGTGGGTGAGGGGAATGACAAACTGGATTTTACTTAAAGCCACAAAGGTATTGGAACTATTACTGCTTCCTTCTTATATCTCTATTCTGTCATCTCAATCCCTATATAATTTCTACACAGCTTTAATAATGTGTGCAAGTGTATCTTTCTCCAAATACAGTGAATTATATTACATTTGTGTTTCACAGTACAGTTTTTTGAGAGTATAAATAAAGCTGATCGAAGTCCACAATCTCTCCAACAGCCTTGCCTTGCCTGGACCAGAAGAAACGGATCAATACTAACGGAGGATGCTCTTTTGTCGCTCTTGCACTTCCTCCCCCTCCTCCTCCTCCACCACCACCATTATTTCCTCCACCACACTTCACACATGGGTGGGATTCTGTAAGTATAGATTTAAGCATATATATTTTCTTACCTTTTGTTAGAAACCACCAGATCATATAAAGAGTATACAATGTAGGGCACTATGCAATTCTAATAACTAAACTAGATTAAGACCATAATCTGATAGCTACTGTACTCATTTGAGAGAAGATTGATGGAATTTAACTAGATTTATTTCTGAGCAAGCATGCAAGAAGATTACATTATGATTCTTTTTCAAAAGCATTATATATTTTAAGTACATTTCAGAGCATTAATATAATACAATTGAAATTAATAATTTTGATGTTAAAAGATTTAATTGTAGAACTGTGAATAAAACACTTACAGATTTTAAAATGAAGTGATGACTTGGCAAAGGTTTCTTTAACAAAGTTGTAATTGATAAAGTTATATCAGCTGTCAAGTGTAAGCATTTCCAAGAGTTGCAATGGATCCTGTCTCTCATCTCTACCTCTGATCCTATATGAAAATTCATGCTATCTTGGCTTATGTTTCCCCTTGATTTCATTTTTATTTTGGAGATTAATCATTATGGCTCCAGCCTCTGCATCTTGGGGTTTCAAGCCAAGGAGGTATTTATTTTTGCAACCTGCCTACTTATCCATTGCTCCATATTTAGGATAACCTGCATGTCTTATGGAAAGTGATATATGGCTTCCAATATTAAAGAACATGAGAAGACAAGACATTCATAATGAGAGACATTATGCTCTTTCCCTTAATTTGCAAAGTGTCTGAACAATTTTTTATCAATCAACTGATTCCATCTCATTGCAAGCCAGATCGGCTGTGCAACAGATTTTCACCTGTCTTCAGGTCCTATAAACCAGGGGTCCCCAACCCCTGGGCTGCAGCCATAGAACTATGTTGTGTAAGTGGTGGGTGAGCATGTGTGCACATGCAGCTTCACTCACGCAAGTGACAGCAGTTGCGCTCACATGTGCAGCTCCACTCACATGAGCGATGTACATGCACCTGCCATTCACACAGAACTCTCCCTTCCCCCCAAGCTGGAAAGGTTGGGGACTGCTGCTATAAAGTTCCAAACAGATCCCACATAACACTGCAGGTGTGTTATAATTGCCTACAAAATTAAGTGGAGCATAATCCTATGTCAAAAATGATGGGATTGAGTGCTCACTTGAGAAGCACATATACTAAAAATGATGAGATTGAAAGAAATGAGGAAATGAAAGGTACTATCTCTTCTAATGGGCATCAACTTACATCTGCTGTTTTGCTTGTAAAGATAGTGAGATTGGCAGGACTGAGTTGTCAATCGCCATAGGATTGCACAGTGCTTTTTTTGTAAAAAAAAAAAAAAAAAAAAAAGGTGCCGGAACTCACACACATCATACAACCCACTTTGCCTACCCTACAAGGTTCCATCCAAAAAAGGTTCTGGAACTCCATTCTGGGCGTTCTATGACAAAAAAAAAAAAAAGCCCTGAGATTGCAGATATTTTCTGTCTTTTCCACACCATGTTCCATTCCACACTGTTTTATTCATTATTAATAAAAGCTTCTGAGTGTTTTATTATTCTTTTGATAATGGGCTTTTCCTTTTAATGTTGCATCAGGGATGTACAAGGAATGGAGGTGAGGGTTAAAAAACAGTCAAGGTGATGGACACAATCATTTCATCAAAGTTCCACCCTTTTTATGTGTATTGCCATCTTCATATTTTATTTCCTTCTTGTGGATACTCATGTTACACTTTTCTCTAGGAAACTTGACTTAAGAAAATAGTCTAACTATTTTACTATAATGCCTGGATAGCTCATTATCACAGTTTCTCCCTTTTCCTTATTTCCTTGTACTTCTGTTCTTTGTCCTTTGGTAGGGAATTTTAGGAAGAATCTGGAGGGCTATCAAGACAGGTTTTCCCCCTTATAATTGTGAATGGAGGATGGGGTCTGTTATAATCCTTGAGAAGCTCTGTTGCAAACAAATGAATGGGTGGGTGGGTCGATAGATGTACTTTTATGTAATATATTTTTGTAACTGGCTTGTATATGAAAAATATTGGTTGATATAGAAATAGTATAGAATAATAAAATGAATTTCTAAATAGTATATCTTATGTTAGAAAAAAATACTTGTAGATCAGGATTGAATTTAGTCCATTAGTAATCTCTCCAACAGCTCTCCCTTGACTGGGACCCTTGGTGCTCTTTGAGCTTGGTTATTTTCTTACAGACATTTCATTACCAAACTAGGTAACATCATCAGTGCTGCAAGAAAACAACCATGCTCAGAGAGTACCTAAAGACGCCCACAAACCTTATTTTACAGGCATTTCATATGGATTAATTCAATACTAATGGTTTTTATCCTTTTGTTTTGTATTACAATATAGCTTCTGGCAGATAAATATATACGCATATGCACGTAGATGTATACATACATACATACAATCAGTGCTTTTTTTGTTAAAAAAAAGGTGCCGGAACTCAACCCATGTCACACAACCTGTCATGCCTACCCTACAAAGTTCCATTCAAAAAAGGTGCTGGAACGCCATTCTGGGCGTTCTATGATTAAAAAAAAGCCCTGCATACAGTAATAATGAGTTATACAGAAACATTTATTATGTAGAAAAAGGGTTTTATTTAGCTGAATTGGCAAGGTTTGATTAACAGATAGAGAAGCTGGGATTTGTACAGGGTTTCTATCTGTCTGTCTGTCTATGTCTATATCTATCTATCTATCTATCTATCTATCTCTCTCTATCTTTCTCTATTTTTCTCTATCTCTTTATCCATCCATCCATCCATCCATCTCATCTTACTTTGGGGGAGGTAATGTCACCTTAAAAACAGGATCATCTTCATTTTAAATAGAGTAAGTTGATTAGGTTCAATTTGCCATCTATAAAAATGCAGTTTAACATCAACATCTATGTTTCAAAACACTTAGGCATAAGGCTTCCAGATGTAAAAATAAATAAATAAATCACAAATCAGAAGTAAATAAGAATCCCTTAACATTTAATTGGAGTATGTATCTTTACTGAAATATCAAGATGTTCCTTGATATTGGATAAAATGTGCCACAGTCCTGTCCAACCCCTAATAGTTGTAGAAATCCATTATATCTTCCCAACCTTTGTATGATATTAGTTATAATAAATCTTTACCCACAACATCTTTTCTAATTATTTCATTGCAAATGAAGGGACATAACTGAGACTTAAAATAGATTTAATCTACTCTCTTCCTTGAATTCTTCCTAAAAGTTCCACAAACCGTACTAAAACAATGGGTCAACATGTAGAACACATGGTAGTATAGGAAGAATTTTAGCAATAAAACCAAGAATATAATGGGACTGCCATAAAAATCAGCATGAAGAGGTCAAAAATTCCAGTGAGGCAGCACCAAAAAAACCCTGCTAGGAGAACATGACACAAGGTGTTTTCATGCAACTGAGCTTGCACTGAAGAATGGTAATAGTGTATCTTTTCCCTTTTTTCAGTACATGTTCTAGATTGATCCATTATGTTTCAGTATCTCCCTCAACAATAAGATGAGTGGCATATACATTTAATAAATAAAAAATAAATAAAGCTTGTATGGAAATGTGGTACTGAGTAAAATACATAGAGGTAACTTCCGGCCTATTGGTCCCTGGATGGTCCCCATAGAACAATAGCATTTACACTTAAATACTGCCTCATAATGCTTTACAGAACTCTCTGTAAAAGTATTATTTTCATATTGTTCCCAACAATCTGAATCTTTCTTTTACAATCTTGGAGGGATGGAAGAGTGAGTCTACCTTGAGCCTTGTCAGGATTGAACTTCAGACTTGGGCAGAGTTGCCTACAATGCTGCATTCTAAAACGACTCCACTGCTATGGCTCCATTCTTCTTTGAAAATCTCATTATCAATCTGTTTTAAAGTGTTGGATTTTTCCCTTCAGTTTCCACTGTTCAAAAGGAAAAGGATGAGCTCATTTCCAGCCAGAATCTGAAATAAAAGAAACCCATTCCACAGCCCCTAAAAATCTTCAAAACACTTGACATAGAAAAGGTGCAAAGCCTTATGCTACACTCAAGTACCTAATACAATTTTATGCTTTCTTAAGATGAAAAATGCCAGGAGGATAAGACTTTTCATTATTCTGTATCTTTATTTGCTTGCAAATTTACTGGCTGAATTCAATATTCCAGAAAGGGACAGTCTAAGTCTCTTGCCCGATCTGTACTATATAACTCCTGGTGAAAGAACATCATGTATGCCCTCTGACTGTTACTTCATTATTCTTTTCTGATTGCTTTGCAAGGAGCAGAACTTTATTTCTCGCACTCAGTAGAAACTTCATAATCCATACAGACAGTCTTCGATTTATGACCAGTTTCTTAGTGACCATTCTAAGTTACAATGGACCTTCCCAGGCAGCTTATGACTTGGCTTGCTTATGACTTAGATGCAAATTCTGACAGCTAGGCATCCACTACCCTATGGTCACATGGTTGCATTTTAGGTGCTCAGCAACTGGTCCACATTTATGGCAGTTTGTAGCATGCCATAGTCACAGGATTTTGATTTATGATTTTTTTTTCAGGAAACTAATTTTTACTTCTGGTTTCCTATAAAAAACCCCTGTTATGGGCAATGGATTTGGTTAATGACTATGGTGATTCACTTAACAAGTGCCACAAAAAAGCTTGTAAAATCAAAAGTAGTCACGTGGCGACCCGTTTAAAATTCGACACAATTTATGACTCTAATCCCAGGCTCAATTACAGTCGTAAATAGAGAACTACCTGTATTAGCATCATATGGCAGCTGTTTTACTGGGAGATTCTATTTCTGGGATCATCTGCTACTTGCAATTTGTGCTACCAGCAGGAAGGTCTATTTTGGTTGAGGAAGTTGTGTTGTAGAAAGAAAGTGAGAAGAACCAGATCAAAATCCAGGGTAGTCTAGTATTCTATTTCCACAGAGGCCAAACAGGAGCTACACATATGTGAGCTTAGGAGCAAGCCCTCTGCTCATGTGCCCAGAAACCTCTATTCTATTAGTAACAGCAATTGCTCCTAACCATTGGCAGCCTTATTCCCACAAAGAATAACCTTTGCTATGGCTTAGCATGTTGACTTTTATGGCTTGTAAATCATGATGTAGAGTTTAGTGTCATAGGTTAACCCAGCTACCTCTAGATTATGCATCAAACCATCACTTACGGAATCCAGTTATTGAGCTATAACTCTTTTCCAAAAACATTGGATAGAACTTGGGAAATCAGAAATTGGAAAATATCTAAATGACCCATGAATTGATGAAAGAGGCATGTGGATGCTGAATATACAAATTTTATTATCCTGCTCTGTCATTGGCCTATTGCTCATGTATATTGGGCATTTGGGCCAGGAAGCTAAACAGGATTGTGCCTGGTTAGTTCTTGGATGTAAGATCTCCAGGAAATTATGGGAAGAATCAGGAAGCTGAAAAGACATTCCAGGAGCAGAGCATACATATGATTTTGTATTATTGCTAAGAAAAAAATACTTGGATATATCAGAAAGTTCCTAGACATCAAGCTCATATTCTAGTGGAACTTTATTCAACAGATAACTGTACCTCATCAACCTTATTGGCTCTCAGAAGCTAAGTTGATACTTGGATGGGAAGCCAAAATAGAATTACCAAAGCTTTAGCTAAGCATCTAGAAAAAGTCAATGGCAAATCCCTTCCATGCTCTTACCCAAAAAATTGCATGGATATATCCATAAAATTATCAAGAATCAAATTCAACTCAAAGCAGATTTTACTTTTTTATGTCCTTTTGTGCCTCCCCTCCCCTTTTTAATTTCTTAGATGTTGTTTTCTCTGGATCTGAAAAACTTGTGTCAAGAGCTTCAGATAACACAATCTCCCTGTGCAGAATCTGTATGCCCCCCAGGATCTCCTGGCCCCCAGGTTAGTATTTTATTTTGGAAGGACAAAATTGGGTCACTGAGGACAGGTTTTCTAATAAGTTACTTTGTCAGATGGCATGGAAGAATAAAAGGGGCACAATGAGAGGAAGACGGGGAATGATGCAAAAGAAAGCAACTTCCTTACTTTAATTACAGTATATTTATAGGACCTTCATTTGGTTAATATACTTGTTGAGACATCAAGGCAAAAGTTTCTTTTAGTGCTTTTTAAATAGACTGGTGAAATAATTGTATAACTATGTAAGTAATTAAATATTAAATAAATGATATAAATAAGCAAGGAATCCAATGTTTCTATAGGTCCATGAATAATTAAAATTCTATGATTCTGAAATCTTAGCTCTTATTTGATAGGACCAGATTGTTTTAAACAAAGAAGAAACATTAAAAGCTTCAGAAACATTTACTTTAAACTATAATTATTTGCTACTCTTTGAACATGCCACCTCTATTTGATTTTGAGACTTAGGTAAGCTTTTATTTTCTACTGAAATACCTAATTTTGAAAAGGGCTCAGTGGAGGCAGTGGCATACTTAGGACTTAACCGGTGCCCATATATCCCTTCTCAACAAGTCCAGGTGTCTGGAAAGCTAACATGGCTGTTGCCGCCACATTCTTTCTTTTTAAGTTTCCCCATTGTTGTAGCATAAGGTTCAGGCAGATGTGCTTGCCAGCTTCATTTCCATCTAGGCCAGTTCTGGGAACCTAATCTAACCGTAGCCAAAATGGTTTTTCTACTTTTTTCATTGGCTTTGCTAAAACAGAATTACTCCCCCCCCCTGCAAATTCTAGAAGTTAAGCTTCCATCCTATCTCTCCACAATATTTTACGTAGTGTGTCTATATGAAAGGCTCTGAATTCTACCAAATTAAAGCACCATCTAATTGTTCCTTAAGGAGTATTTCTAGAAATAAATATGCAGGAAGATGTGAAGGCAAAGGATAGAGTTACAAGTGTAAGAAAATGTCATTTGGAGTCACTAACAAAATTCCAGAGTTTATCAGGAGGTTGGACAATAAAAGCCTTGTTGGAAGCATCTTTCATCTGTCATTAGGAGTAAAGACTTAAAAACTGAACATTAAATGAGGCCAAAATAGTAGAGAGTGCTCTAAACAAACACGAACCATGTTGCATGTGAAGTTTTCTGTCCAAATTGAAGACAAATTAAAGTGAATAAACTTGGTATAGATTCTTTCAAGAAGGAATAAGAAAAGCTCTGCTAAGTCACAACTTATCACTGACAAGTCAGTGAACAAATTGTATGATAAAGATATTTAAACATCGTACTTCTATTTTTAGGGCCCACAAGGTATTCCTGGTGTGAAAGGACCAAAGGGAGTAAAAGTAAGCTCCAAAGTTGTTTTGTTAATGTAAAAAAGAAAGCCTTGGGGAAATTTGCGCATACAATATGCAAATATGGAATGCAAGCAGATTATGCTGATTGTTGTAGAAATGCAAATTACCTGTAAAGAAGGTTACCATATCTAGCTTTTAATACCAAATGGCAGCAAAGGGTTGTTTTTTTAAAAATTTCATTTGATAGCAGTCTGGATTTTTGCAGCAAAAATGCTACTTTAAGCCATGCGTATCAAAATCTAAAAAACTGTGGGATAAAAATATTAAACTTACTAAAGCAGTAACATACAAAGAAAACTTATATAAAATGTTTTATAGATGGCATATGACACCAGTTCGCTTAGCGAAAATGTTTAAAAATTTATCGGATACATGTTGGAAATGTAATTAAAAACCGGGTACTTATTATCATGCCTGGTGGACATGTTCTACTGCAAAAAAATATTGGTCTAAGATTCATAGATGGTTAGAAAAGATGATGAAAATCCAGATAGAATTTAAACCGGAACTGTTCCTGTTAGGTATATTAAGACCTAACTATGGCAAAGAAAATGATTATTTAATATTACATGTATTAACAGCCGCAAGAATAGTATTTGCCCAATTTTGGAAAAGTGAAAACCTACCATCAGACCAGATTATAATTTTGAAAATCCTAGATTGTGCAGAAATGGACAAATTAATGTTAGAGATGAAGGAGAAAGAAGATTCTTACAAAACAAATCCCCTCCCCAAACCCCCCCACCCTCCCATACCCTCCCCCACCTCCCCAAACCTCCCAAACCCTCCCCCAACCTTCCCAGAGTTGAGTACAGGCTTAATTAAAATTTTTCAGAAAAAGAAAAGAAAAACTTAAAACACATATAAATCCTAAACAAATCTAAATACATTAAATTAAATAGGTTATCTTCTCTAAAAAATAATAATTGCAATCATTAAACACATTATAATATACTCTAAACATTTTCTAGTATCATACTTATATTATTATCCATCATTCTGTATAAACTCCCTCCAAAACACAAATTTAAACATTACTTTCTTTGAATATCTATACCTACAATATAAAATCTAATCTCTCCCTCTTTCTTTATCCTAGAACACAAAAATAAACATATAAACCTTCATTATACCATTAAAACTAAATACTCTTTGAATACTTAAACTAAATACTTAAACTTAAACTTCTTATCTAATATTTTCATTCAATCTCCATAATCTCTCTCCTATTAAAAAAAACGTAAAAGACATATAAATCCTAAACAAATCTAGGTACATTTAATTAAACAAGTTATCTTCTCTTAAAAATAATAATAATAATAATAATAAAAACCCAATCATTAAACACATTATAATATACTCTGAACCTTTTCATATCATACTTATGTTATTATCCATCATTCTTTATAAACTCCCTCCAAAACACAAATTTGAACATTACTTAAAACATTAGAATTCCCTTATACACATTTAAATCTTTACCAATAACAAATTCCATCCACAATAAACACATTCCTTATCAGTCTCTCTTGTCCATAAACCATTAAAATTCCCTTATACACATTTAAATCTTTACCAATAACAAATTCCATCCACAATAAACACATTCCTTATCAGTCTCTCTTGTCCATAAACCTCAAAAGAAGTGCTTTGAAAACTACCCTTAAAACTAACTCCAAAAAGTTTGTAAATCTTGCTTCTCCCACAGACTCAGTACTCTTTTGAATACTTAAACTAAGTACTTAAACTTAAACTTCTTATCTAGAATTTTCATTCGATCTCCATCCTTGTCAGTCTCTCTTATCCATAAATCTCGAAAGAAGTGCTTTGAAATCTGCCCTTAAAGGTAGCTCCAAAAAGTTTATAAATCCTGCTTCTCCCACAGACTCAGGAGCCAATACTTGTGAGGCTTCCTTAAGCGCCTTCTTCTGTTGCTCTTTTTCTTTACAATTATATGTTGCACGGGTTGTCCTCTGCTCCTTCATCTCGACTTGTTGAGGCCCCTCAAACTGAGATTTCCCATTTTTCATTAATATAGGCTCTTCAGACTGCAATTCTACCCTTAAAGGTTGCTCCAAAAAATTTATAAATCCTACTTCTCCCGCAGATTCAGAAACCAATAGTTGTGAGGCTTCCTTAAGCGCCTTCTTCTGTTGCTCCTTTTCTTTACAGTTATATGTTGCACAGGTTATCCTCTGCTCCTCCATCTCAACTTGTTGAGGCCCCTCAAACTGAGGTTTCCCAATTTTCATAAGTATAGGCTCTTCAGACTGCAATTCTACCTTCTTTTCTTCCAAAACTTTAAACTTAATAGATGGCGATGAACATACCCCCAGGACCGAAGTATAAAAGTCTTTTGCTTGAGAAACAGTATTAAGTCTATAACATATCCCCAGGTAATTCACCACCATTCCAATCGGAACATCCCATCTGAACAAGATTCGTCTCTTTTTAAGTTCATCTGCTAAAAAAGCAAACTCCTTTCTTCTTCTTAAAATTTTAGATGGGATCTCCTTTAGAATTATAACATCTTGTGAAGCAATTTGAAATCTCTTCTTATAAAAAGCTTGTATAATTTCGTTGCGCAGAGATCTTTTCCCAAAGTAAATTACCACATCTCTTGGCAAATTCTTTTGCACTGCCACCACAGAGTTAACTCTAAATAATTTTTCAATTTCACTAAGTATTTCCTCTTTTTCTTTATTCAAAATCACAGCAAAGTCCTTTGCAACCCTCTCTCTCAGATCTCCTTGCACAGACTCTCCCAAACCTCTAATTCTTAAGGCATATTCCATTTGTCTATATTGAAGCATAAGAATCTCATTTTCCATTTCTTTTTCCATGCTTTCAAATTTTCCCTCCATCAATTCCACTTTTTTAACTACCTCTTCTACACGAGAGTTCAGCTTTTCAAGAACAGAGGCAACTCCTTTTAGAGCCAAAACTATCTTTTTTGCTCAAAATCTTATTAAAATCCTCTAAAATTTCTTTCATTTCTGCCCTAATTTGAGATATAACATTTCCCATCATATCTTGCAAATCCTTCACAATTATTGGCTGTACCAAGGAAGAGGGTGAAGCTATTGATTTAGGTTGTTGCACTGATGATAACACCGAAGAAGAAACCACCTTAGGAGCTGTAGGAATTACTGGACGCTTTGGAGCCATCTTAAAAAAAATCTTTACTCCTTCTTAAAAATTACAAAAATTAAGCAAAAGAAAAAGAGAGATTAAGTCCCAAAAAATTCAAAAAATCCTTCAAAAGGAGATCATTATAACAAAAAAATACTGAACGCTTTGGAGCCATCTTGGAAAAATCTTTACTCCTTCTTAAAAGTTACAAAAATTAAACAAAAGAAAAAGAGAGATTAACTCCAAAAAATAAAAAAAATCCTTCAAAAGGAGATCATTATAATAAAAAGAAAGGAGTTAAAAAAAGAAAAGGGAAGAAGAAAAAAATAATTAAATAGAAAAAATCCATTCCATTTTTTTAAAAGTACAAAAAGCAAAACAAAGAAGTTAAACAAAAATAATAATGCTTCTAAAATCCAAACCCAACATCAAAATCAAATCCACATTCCGTTCCAATCATTAAAAAAAAAGGAAAAGGATAAAAAAAACACCAAAAAGCCTGCCGATCGCCATTCTACCTTCCCCCCCCAAAAAAACCGAAAGGCTTGCCGATCACCATTTTACTTTCCCTTTCAACAAAAGGAAAAAAAATAAAAAGAGGGAATATAAAAGTAAAAGTAAATCTTTAAACTTAAAATCCAAATAAAATCAAAGAAAGCAAAAGCTAGATCCTCTACTCAGCTCTGTCCGCCTCTAAAAAAAACTCACCAGATCACTTTAATCGCGGAGGTGGTTGCAGCGGCTTGTTTTGTCCCTAGGGACAAAAGCAGCTGGGAAGCGGAGACAGTCTGAACTCCGTGGGAACACTCCTCTCACCCCCCCCAAAAAAGCCTTGGGGGTGCATGAGAGTGGCTCTACCACTATTCAGACAACCCTCTTCCCCCCCCTTTGCCCGGGAGGGGGATTTTGAACCGCTGAACAGCTGATGGCCGCTGTTCATAGCGATTCAAACACTTACCCAGGAGGACGGCTACAAAGTAGCCGCCATCGCGCGCGCAGATCCACCGGAAGTCCCAAGGAGAAAGAAGATTCAATCTTTTATAAAACCTGGGGAAAATTTTATCAGTGGATTGAAACACGTTAGAATAAGAAGAGATTTTAGAGTTTTATTATATTAAGTATTAAGGTTGATGATTGGAAATAGTTGTTATGCTATCAACTATGTTAATTATTTAAAGGAATATTAGTGTTTTACCAAATGTCAGTTGTAACTATACCGATTTATTCTTATAAATGTCTAGTATTATATAAACAATAATACTTAATATGAAGACCCGGACGACAGCTTGTTTGCTGAATTACGTATTTACTGTAGTTATCCATACCCTGTCCTTTTTATCCCAATTTTCCTGTACCGCACAGACCGTACCTTTTCCCTACCCATATAAAATCTAATAAAATATATTTTTTTAAAAAAAGAATACAAGATTGCATTTTAAGGCTAGCAGATCTGGGCTTTAAAAAATCCATATAGATGGTAGCAAAGAGATTCATAAATTAAAACTTTGCTGCCATCTAGATTTTTGTAACCCAGATTTGATTGTCTTCATACCTCAGTAGTCGAAGTTTGGAATGCAACTTCTGGTTCTGGACTTTTCTCTTGACCATTTTAGGTTAAATTGGAAAGGTTGAAGAGAAGCTACAATTTTGACTTATTGGAGATGCTTTCTGTCCTCTGGATGGTCAGAATCTTGATTGTGTAAGATTCCTGCTCAGACAAAGAACAATCTAACTAGGTCATCTAAAAACACATTTACAGATTTTTTTTTCCCCAGCCAATTTAGGGAAGTCATCTGATCTTCCCCCAGACTTGTCTCCTCAAAAACCTGGAAGAGCCTCAGTGTTTGAGGTCAACACTGTGTTTCCCTCAGTATTCAGTTTATGAGTTTTTATCTTGCTCTAAAGTGTGATCTGTCTGATTAACAGAAGTCCTGATTATAAAAAAAGAATATAGAGATCTGTCACATGCTGTTTTCCTCTGTTCTTGATAATCAACCAAATTAAAAATGTCCAGCTACATTCAGATTGTTTGTGCTTGCTACTGATGTATTATTTTCTCTGGCAGGGTGAGATTGGAAGACCAGGAAGAAAGGTATAAGACAAAATGCATAAGATATCTTATATTATAAAGTTTGCGGCAATCATCTTAAACCTAGTACCCTTGTGGTATGTTAGACTGCAACCCCTGACTTCCACTCAGCAAGGTTACGCTAGATGTGGGTGATGGAAGTTGTAGTCCAACATATTTGGAAAGGCTGATTTCTAGAAATTTTGTCCAATTTAATTTCATTTCAGGTGTGGACTTCAGTGGCCAGAATCCTCCAACCAATATTGGCATTGCTGAGAATGCTGAAAATTGAAGTCCATACATTTAAAGTGGATTCAGATTGGGGGAGGCTGCTTTTGTGCATATGCTAAGGCATGTTATAAAAGTTCTACGTGTCATTAAACACTGATAAACATGCATTAATCTGAGATATATAGATATCACATATCTATTCTCTAGAGTTGAAATAGAAGTTCTTCCTGTCCCAATAAATCTCTTAGACTCCCCTTCTCTTTCACTTCCTGGCCAAGACCTTCCTATTCCAAAAGCCATTTACTTGCCAGATCCAATTCTCTCTTTCCTGAAATCTGGTGGAATGGCTTCGTTGAAGTGACAGATGAGAAAAGGATGAGCACATTGGATTTCTGGATGCTCCATGGTCACGACTAATTGCTAGTTGAAGTTACTCTATTATACATTACAATCATTTTGAATCTTTAAATTATGTGATCACCCATGCTAATACACCTGATTTTTCTTTTTCTTTTCTTTTTCAATTTGATTTACTCCATTCTGTTTTTTTTGAAGGGCAGTCGAGGTCCTCCAGGTGTCCCTGGAATGCCAGGATCTATTGGATGGCCTGGTCCAATGGGACTAAAGGTAAGATTAAGCTATTGATGAATGATTTGTCAAGCAGCCTATTTATAATGTAAATTATAATGCTATTGAAACCCAGGAAAGGGAAGTTTGCTAATACAGTAAATGATGAGTTTCAAAAATCTGTTGTTTACTTTGGGCAGATGATGTCCAAACCCCAGATTTCATATAAAAACAAAGTTTAACTGATATTAATTATTCACATTGAGTTAATAGGTATATGTTTCTGGAATTGTCTGGAATTGATAGCACTCCCACACCTACAACCCAAAATATGGATCAGATGTTTAAACCTTTACCATAATAAAAAAGGACCAATTAACAAACATCCACAAAACTATCAGCAACATCTTCAAAGGAATCCAATTCACAAGGGAAGAAAAAAATAACAACACACTACCTTTCATAGATATCCTTATCAACAGAGAATGAGATGGCAAACTAGAAACAAAGGTGTACTGAAAAACCATCCATACCAACCAAGTGCTCCACTACAGAGTAATAATAATACAATGCAATGCAATGCAATACAATACAATACAAGTGCCACAGTTGGAAGGGACCTTGGAGGTCTTCTAGTCCAACCCTCTGCTCAAGCAGGAAACCCTATACTATTTCACACAAATGGTTGTCCAATCTCTTCTTTAAAACTTTCCGTATTGGAACATTCACAACTTCTGGAGGCAAGTTGTTCCACTGGTTAATTATTCTGCTAAGAAATTTCTTCTTAATTCTAGGTTGCTTCTCTTCTTGATTAGTTTCCATCCATTACTTTTTGTCCTGACTTCAGGTATTTTGGAGAATAGCTTGACTCCCTCTTCTCTGTGGCAACCACTGCTTTATTGGAACACTGCTATCATATCATCCCTAGTCCTCCGTCTCTTCATTAAACTAGACATACCCAATTCCAGCAACCAATCTTTATAAGTTTTAGCCTCCAGTCCCCTAATCATTTTTGTTACTCCTCTCTGTACTCTTTATAGAGTCTCAACATCTTTTTTACATCGTGGTGACCAAAACTGGATGCAGTATTCCAAGGTGTTATAAAGTGGTATTAACACTTCATGTGATCTTGATTCTCTCCTTCTGTTAATGCAGCCTAGCACTGTGTTGGCTTTTTTTGGCAGCTTCAGTAAACTGCTAGCTCATATTTAAGTGATTGTCCACTAGGACTCCGAGATCCCTCTCATAGTTCTACTATTGAATGAGGTACCACCTATACTATACCTGCGCATTTGGTTTTTCTTACCTAAATGTGGAACTTTATTTTTTTTCACCATTAAATTTCATTTTGTTGAATAGCACCCAATGTTCAAGTCTGTCAAGATCCTTCTGTATCTTAAGTCTATCTTCTGGAATGTTGGCTATTCCTGCCAGCTTGGTGTCATCTGCAAATCTGATGAGTTCCCCATCTATTCCCTCATCCAAATAATTGATAAAGATGTTGAAGAGTACTGGGCCTAAAACAGAACATTGGAATACCCCACTGCACATTTCCCTCCATGTAGCTGCTGTTCCCTTGAGGACTACACGTTGAGTGGGGTTGGTCAGCCAGTTATGAATCCATCTGTAGTAGTAGTAGGTTGTGGTCTACTTTATATACTTTATCAAATGCCTTACTGAAATCCAAGTAAATTATATCCACAGCATTCTTTTGGTCTACTAATTTTGTCATCTTGTCAAAGAACGCAATAAGATTTGTCTGGCATGATCTGTCTTTGGCAAACTCATGTTGGCTTTTGGTAATGACTTTGTTTGCCTCTAGATGTTCGTTGATTTATTGTTCGATTATTTTTTCCAGAATCTTCCCATGTATTGAAGTCTGTATTTACTGGATTCATTTTTTCCCCCTTTTTTGAAGATGTAAACTACATCAGCTCTTTTTCAGTCCCCTGGTAATGTAATAGTAATAAGTTGGAAGGGACCTTGGAGGTCATCTAGTTTAACCCCTTACTCAGGAAGAAAAAAACTATACCATTTTAGACAAATGGCTATTCAGTCTCTTCTTAAAAACTTCCAGTGTTGGAACATTTACAGCTTCGGGAGGCAGGTTGTTCCACTGATTAATTGTTCTAACTGTCTGGAAATTTCTCCTTAGTTATAGGTTGCTTTTCTCTTTGATTAGTTTCCATCCATTGCTTCTTGCCCTGCCTTTGGGTGCTTTGGAGAATCGCTTGACTCCCTCTTCTCTGTGGCAACCCCTGAGATACTGGAACACTGCTATCATGTCACCCCTTGTCCTTCTCTTCATTAAATTAGACATACCCAGTTCCAGCATCCGTTCTTTATATGTTTTAGCCTCCATTCCCTTAATCATCTTTGTTGCTCTTCTATGTACTCTTTCTAGAGTCTCAACATCTTTTTTACATCATGGTGACTAAAACTGGATGCAGTATTCCAAGTGTGACCTTATCAAGGCATTGTAAAGTGGTATTAACACTTCACATGATCTTGATTCTATCCCTCTGTTAATGCAGTCTAGCACTGTGTTGGCTTTTTTGGCAACTGCAGCACACTGCTGGCTCATATTTAAGTGATTATCAAATAGGACTCCAAGATCCCTCTCAAAGTTATTACTTTTGAGCAAGGTACCACCTCTACTATACACTCCAGGATCTTTGAAAGATATAGTTCAGTGGTTCTGAGATGACGTCTGCCAGTTCCTTCAGAACCTTGGGTATAATCCATCTGGTCCTGGTGGTTTGAACTCATTTAGTTTGGACAGGTGCTCCTTTACCATTTTCTTGCATATTTTAACTTGTGTTTCTAATCTGTTTTTTATGGCACTGTTTTTCATAGGTAGGACTGTTTTTTCCCTTTGTGTAAATATAGATGCAAAAAATGAGTTGAGTAGTTCTGCTTTCTCCCTGTTGCTTGTCACCTTCTTACACTTTCTCCCACTAATAGACCAATCATTTCCTTCACTTTTTTCTTCTTTTTTTACATGTTGAAAGAAGTTTTTTGTTGTTGTTATTTTTGACTTTTGTCACAAATCTTAGTTCATTTTGAGCCTTAGCTTTCCTCACTTCCTCTTTGCAGGCTCGGGTATCTGCTAATATTCTGCCTTAGATATATACTCCTCTTTCCACTTTTTATACTTGTTCATTTTGTCTTCCAATTTATCAGAGAGTTCTTTACGCAGCCATGCTGGTTTTTTTTTAGAGCTGTTACTTTTCTTCTTCGTTGGTATTGTGCTAGACTGGGCTTTTATAATCTCACTTTTCAAAATTTCCCGAGCTTCTTGAATTGTTTTCCCATTGAAGATTTTCATCCATGGAATCTTTCTCAAGCTCTTTTTGAGTTTATTGAAATTAGCTCTCTTAAAGTCCGAGACTCTAATTTGACTATGTTTTACTGCTTTTGCTTGCACAATATTGAATTCCAATATTGCATTATCACTCCCCATCCCAAGGTTCTTGTAGCTTCAATACCTTATCTATCATTTCATCTCTATTAGTGAAAATTAAGTCCAATATGGCTGATCCCCTAGTTCCCTTTTCTACTTTTTGGGAAACAAAGTTGTTTGCTAGGTTTGTCAGGAACCTGTTTGATCTTCTACTTGATGCAGAGTTTGTCTCCCATTATTATTGTGATCTTCTTCCTATATGCCTTAGCTAACTGACTAGCAAAAAGTTCATCCATTTCCTCTGTTTGGTTGGGTGGCCTATACCATACACCTATCGTAATATCATTCCACCCCTTTTATATTGACCCAAATGCATTCAAGACTATTTTCATCATTGTTGTGCTCTATTTCTGTAGAAATGTAGTTATTTCTTATATATATAGTACAACTCTACCTCCTCTTTTATTTGGTTTGTTTCTTTTAAATAATTTAAATCCCTCTAGCTGTATGTTCTATTTGTGGGTTTCATTCCATCAAGTTTCCATAATGGCAACAATATTATATCTGCCCTCATTTACTTGGATTTCTAACTCACCCTGTTTATTGCTCATACTCTGTGCATTGGTATATAAACATTTGAGTCCTTTATGTTACACACACTGATAACCCTACTAGTTTTAAATTGCTGGGGACACAAATGTTCTATATCAATTAACTATATCAATTAATCCAATCTCTCACAAGAGAAGCTATGTAAGAACACTATTTAGATGAACAGAAAAACACTGCAACAATCTTGAACAGCACAAAAAAGAAGCAGATCATCTATATAACATCTTCCAACAAAATGGATATCTAGCAACTTCCTCGATAAGTGCCTGACCGCTCAGTCCAATATAGCATAACCAACCCAAACAAGGAAAACACTGTCACACATCAAAAACACCTCAGAAACCATGGGTTGACATAATTGTATCTATCAGAACATGTTTTCTTTTCAGAGCATCTGTGAAAAGGCAGTGGGAGAGTTTGCTGCAGTTGGTTAGTTGGAAGCTAATCACATAATCAATGTGTCTGGTTAATACTTGAATGGTAGATGACCAGAGAACATTAGGACTATAAACTTAACCAATCCACTGAAAAACTTGAAAGTACAAGAAGAGGCTCTCTTTGTTGCAATCTCTTCCACCCTTCTCAATGAAATTTGGTGATGTGATTGCTGACAATTGGTGGGATAGTTTCCTAATATCAGAAATGCAGAAATTTGGGAGCATAAATTAGTTCAACACCCTTTAAAAAATGGGTAAGAAAATCTTCCTAAATGTTTCATGGCCACTGAATCCTATTGTCTCCCTTTTCAAAAATAAATGTGACCGTAACTTCAGACCATCAGAATCTGCCCGCCCCTGCTTTACACTGTGATACAAATCAGCAGATTGGCTCAGTGCCATCCAGGTTAACTATATCCAATGGTAAGAAAGGCAAGGGAGCAATCTGAGCAGCCTATGCTCATTTGCTTACTGTTCGTACAAAGAACTTACGTTGAACTCAGTTTATGCAGTGTAATTTTTCATGATATGGATGCATTAAGAAATGTAGAAATTTCTCTTCTCTGATTATGAACTACAGCTGTCAGCCAGTGCAACCAGTGCAATAAGATCTGGCCATTAAGAATAATTTTCTCTATTGTTTCTTTTAGGGTGAAAAGGGAGATGTAGGTTTGATGGGATTGCCAGGCACAAGAGGACCAATGGGCTTCAAGGTTTGTTACTCCAAGCACTGTGTTCTCTTTTTGGGGGGCTAACAACTACTGTGTTAGAAGATAATTGGTGTACGTTGTAGACAGGTAACATTTATGATTTTGGGGATGAAGAAGAATAATGAAAAGATACAGACTTTTTCCCACAGATACAATGAAAATATTATAATAGAGTGTGGAAATATTTGTTTTTCCTCTCTTCTTTATCAGATATCTTGCAGCAATGTAATAGTATACATGAGTTGAACAGAAGCATTTACAAGGAAAATCCAAAAATTAAAGATGATGGTTGCAATCACATGATTAAAGCACATGGAAAAGGTGTGAGGCTTTGATAAATGTGATCATGGCATCTTGACTTTTTTACATTCACTCCTGCAGAAACCCCTAAGGCTGAGCTACACAATATATTAAATGTATTTTAAGTACAGAAATGGCTGAATAAATGAAGTACTCTTGGTATTATCACATTCATTCATTCAATGTATTTAACGTGCAATTGTTTTGTTTTGTTTTGTTTTGTTAGAACAATTATCTGGGTTTGACCTTGAACCTGGTCAGTGGGCACTGTGGGTAGGAGTCTTAAACCTTCTCAGCTTCTTTATTTACAAAAATTCTTCCTCACAAAAAACACAGATGCACTTTTTGTTACATTTTAAAAGTCCTCTAAGGTCACTTGATATTTTACAAAGCAAGGAGCTGGATCTCTAACATCTGTGATGTAAGGCTATTGCCTCCAGAAACAGTATAGTGTAAAGGAGAATTGCTTGCTACATATTTACCTCTAAACAGCTAAACCCAGCTGTTATTTAGGATCTAATATTCTCAGAATTATATCCTTTACACTTTTTAGGGCAGGGGGAAGTTTTCCCTAAGCTGATGTACTTTTTTTTTTTTTTTTGCATTGTTAGATGTAACCATTTGTCTTTTCCTGACCCAATGGGCTATTGACTTACTTATATATACTGCTCAAAAAAATAAAGGGAAAACAAATGTATAGGATCCTATACGTTTGTGTTCCCTTTATTTTTTTGAGCAGTATATTTATTTAACATCTGTTAGAGACTAACCTGCCCCAACACGCAATTGACTGACTACTTTTAAGTCCATTTACATACAGATAAGCTGGAAATGGATAACATGTAGAAATCCTGACCTGCTTTTGAACTGATATATAGAGAAACTAGAACAGAAAGTAGCATGCCACATTCATATGTGAGAGATAACTTTTATAGTTCCTTAATTTTTAATTAATTTTTAAAATAATCTTAATGGCCTTTAGAGCAAAAGATTGCATGTACATTTTAAAAATAATAATTCTGAAAACAAGAATATTTATTATATAATGATTGTTTGATCTAAATGGCAAAATACCATGCTTCAAAATGATATTTAATATTCATTTGCATTTTTATGACACAGGTACATATTGACTTCACTTTTTTAATATTTAACACTCAAAATTTTACAGTATGTGAATTCAGTAAAAGTTTTAAGATTAACTATTAAAATGCTTGTACTGTAGATATTGCTACAAACGATTATTATTTAACTGGAAGCCCAGTAAAAGACAATGTCAGAAATGTATCTATACTAGATAAGGGAAAAAGGTGAAGATAATGATTATGACAGAGATTTCTGTAATTATAATTATGTTAGTTCTTGCACTGATTGTTGTTTCTTATTAAACATCCAAACCAATGTCACGTATGTCTACTATGCATGATTTCTTGTCATCTTGGTTTCTAGGTTGAGATGTGATACTGTCACTTCTTATGTTTTTGTCTTTCAAAATTTTATTCTAGGGTAATACAGGTGGTGTTGGAGAAAAGGTGAGTGATAAAATTACTTACAAGCACTTGGCAATAGTCTGTATGAATAAGTATATTGCATCCAGTTAGTGTAAAAAAATGGCCACTTGTATTTGATTCAGGAGTAAAAGAGATTAAAGCAATTAAAGAATACATAATCATCTTGGTCTATAATTTCTTAGGTTGATCTTGCTAAGTAGCTCCAAGATCTAATTCTCCAGACAAAAGATTTCATACTCTTACTCTTACTCTTATCTAAATAGGAAAAAAAATTGTACCAATACAACACAGCAGAGAATAAATGGGTCCATCATCCTGGGCTGATAGAAACTACTCCTATTCCACATCTTTATATACTTAGTGCTGAAATAAAAGCAAGATTGAAACAGTGAGTTGTTTCTGAGTGGCCCTACCATTCCTGCTTTCCATATGTATTCACTCCTTACAACTTACTCTCTAACAATAACTTTTTTTCTTTTCTTATAAAGTGAAAACACATGGCACAAATGCTGTTCAAGCAAGGCCATTAACTGAAGTAATATTGAATGCCTTCTACTGTGAAAGTATTAAATTCAGGAAGAAAACATTTTATTGATTTGAATTATTTCAATGACGGTCCACTACTGCTCTGATCTGGGTAGAAAGGGGTTTTTGTGCAGGGACTGCATATACACAAAGAGTTTTTTTTGGTAGAGTAGAAAGAGATGTTTGCTCCAGTCTGGCACTTCAAAGGGAAGCACGGCTTGGATGCAGCATTTAATTTAAAAAGGATTCTTCATATTGCTGAGTCCTGCTTCTCCTGAGAAATTCCACAGCCCAGTGACCAACCAGGTGTCCAGAGGAAATCAGCAAGGGTATCAAGGAATGAGTTTCCTCCACTGTTTTTCAGCAAGAGTTATTCATGTGAATATTATACACCAGGCCACTTATGCTTATGGAAGCCATGCCTCAGACCCCTGTGTGGACCCAATCCCACCACATCTCTACTATTCATTAAAGCAGAAATCTTTCATTTTTCAGGTTTCTGTGTGAATCTTCAGAAAAGTAGAATTGCTTTAAGGACTCAGCTTGTTTAAAGTTAATGACACTTTTAAAAGTACAGTTGTACTTTTTTTCATCGATCCAATGTGAAAGCTTGAAAAAAAAGATATGTGTTAACTAGTAGCAGAGAGATTGTTCAAACCTAATGCTCTTAGCCCAAATCATTTCCAAAGCTGGAAGAGGAGAAACATAATAACAGCATTTTTTACTACTGGCAACTTCAAGATGTGTGAACTTCAACTCCCAGAATTCCCCAGTCCTAATAAATAGCCACTGCCATTGTATGGAAAGCCAAAAGTCTACCTAACATATCTTCGTGACTGTGGAGATTTTGTATTTAATTTAACACTGGATATTGGAAGAAACAGAATTATACTTTTAACTGCTATGTTATATAGTTCTGATATGGTTTTCCACAGGGAGCTCAAGGACAGAAAGGAGTCAAAGGCAGCAAAGGTGATAAGGTAATATTTTCTTACTATAATATCAAGCAATCTAAAGAGACATGAGGTATTTTTTTTTCTTGTTTGTTCTTCAGACCAGTTTGGCATCTAGTATCAGGCTAGAAACTAGGAGACTTGAGTTCTAGTCCCGCTTTAGACATGAAAGCCAATTGGGTGACTTTGGACCAGTCACTTTTTGTCAGCCCAATTCATCTCACAGGACCACGTTGTGAAGAGGGAGGGAGAATTAGATATGTTTTCTGCCTTTAATTATTTATAAATATAATAAAGGTGAGATTAAAAAATTATAGATTAGTGGGCATAGTTTTACATTTTGGCATGTAAAATAGTGGGCATAGTTTTACATAGTTTTACATATTTATAGAAGAATTCTGTTTCTTAGGATGTTGTATAAGGAAACCTCTGTACAAGGAACTTTATAAAGTCCTAGATTTATAAGATTGGTTTCTAGCTGCATGTTGCCTCCCTTCATTTCAAGCCTTTAAAGAAGAAAATGAGTGGTTTAACTTCCTCAATACTAGTTTTTTTCAAACTTGACAACTTGAAGATCTGTGCACTTCAACTGTCATTCAATCCCTAGCCCGCATTTGCCAAGTTTGAAAAATACTGATTTATAACATTCCTGATCAGTCAGGCTATATCTGAAAAATCTCTTCTGGCTCTATATGACTAACTCTTAAAACCCCAGGATTTCTTTTCAAGAATGGAAATAATGTTATAACTATGTAGGGCCGAAGTGTAAGTTCAACACAGCAGGATGTCGGATTTTCCATCAAGAATTGACAGATGTGGTATAGCCTGCTGAAGAAATGCATTATTCCAGATGTTCATTTTAGGTTGTCAGCATTTGAAATTGCACTAGTCTTTTCTATAACAAAATTATGATTATTCTCAAGTACTTGTGCAGAGCAACATATGTTAAACAGTATAAGAGATGCAAGATCTCTTTTCTTCTTTGATGATGGAGATTTCATTTATGTGAACTTTAAAAAAAACCACATATTCACAGTCTTTATATTAAGATCAATATTGTCAAAGTAATTTTTGCACCAATGTATTAAAGATGTAATTCTAAGATGTCATTCTAGGACAAGGCCAGGGACCGAGGTAAGAATAGGGAAGATAAATGGGTGATAGATAATTGAAGAAATGCTCATTTAAAGGGAAGTCTCAGAGTGTAAAGACAAAATCACAAAGAGAAAAAATTAGCATAATATCTATAGAGATTCTCAGTCATCCAGGTCATAATTATCCCAATGGTGCTTTTTCATGAGACAAGTGTACTTTCTTGTTTTTCTTTGAAGATGTTTCACTTCTCATCCAAGAACCTTCTTCAGCTCTGACTCTTCTGCTCTTTTGAAGACAGCAATGTCCACATTTTGGTCAGAGAGGAGCACTGGTTTGAAAGAGGGGTCAAAACTGAATAGCCATCTATGTCAAAACTGAACAGCCCTCTCTCAACAGAGGGGGAGGGATACAATATCATCTACCTCCAGTCTACAACACAGTCCTTTCAGCAGTTCCAAGAGGCTCCACACCCATTTGCACTACTCAGGTGACCCTGACAACACAAATAAACCTCCAGGTGGCCTCAATGACTCTCTAAAAGAATGCAAATGATCAGCTGTCTGCAAAGAGTATAAATCGTTCCATTCCCCACCATCCAGTTAGAGCTGAAGAACTTTTCTTGGATGAGGTGTGAAATGTCTTCAAAGAAAAACAAGAAAGTCCAGTTGTGAAAAAGCACCTTTGGGATAATTAGTATAATAGGTGAAAAATGGAAATGTTTTAAAAGCAAATACATAAGATATACCTATGTTTAAAAGTTACATTCGTCCTTGTTTATTGTTAAAAAAAGCATGCAAATTATGATTACTTCACTCAGGACTGGTTAAATATAACTATAATTATCTCCGTCCTTATATCATTTGAATAGATTATATGGTATACAGTGTTGTATATTAACAGTATACAAACATTAGAAAAACAGATTTTCAACATGCTAAATCAAATGTTGATTCATTCGTTTGTGTCTCATTGCCAATTTATTATTTTAATAAGTTTTAATATAATATACCATCTTGTTTTAGTTGGTTATTAGTATATTTTCTTTTCCTTTTGTGTTGTGCCATAGTCACATGATCTGATTTGGGCAACCTGTAAATGATCTATAAAGAAATAAACACATGCAAGATCAGTATCTATGGAGATTCTTAGTCATCCAGGTTATGATTGTCCCAAAGGTGCTTTTTCAAAAGACAACTGGACTTTCTTGTTTTTCCATGAAGATGTTTCACTTCTCATCCAAGAAGCTTCAGTCAGAATTGAAGAAGCTTCTTGGATGAGAAGCAAATTGCCTTTTGAAAAAGCACCTTTGGGAAAAATCCAAGATCAACTCCCCAAAACTTTTAATTAAAGGATAGCTCATTTTTATTCACCTTTTTCTTTGCAGGGATACATGGGTTTCCCTGGAATGTTGGGGCAAAAGGTAAGGTACATCAGGGATGCTCAATCTGTGCACAGCATGGACACATGTTGGAGTTAATATTGCATAGGGATTTTGAGAGACAATTTAGTCCTAACTATCTACTCCTAACTATTAAGTATTCAGTGGGACTTAATATTAAATAAATACGGATAAGATTGCCCTGTTCATTCCCAACTCTTGTCATAGTCTTGCCACTATGGAAACTCAAATGGCATAGATTCCCTTCACTCTTTGCAGCCCCCAAGCAAGGTGAGTAAACTGTAGACAATGTAGAATACCTATTGGCCTCTACTTTGTACCTATTTTGTATATATATTGAACCAAGTTAAGGAAGTTTCAGAAGCAAGATCTGTAGAATACATTAAGCTGCTTCTGATTAGGTCAATGCAGTGTTTTGGCAATTTTAGGATGAATCAACTTCTTGATTTCTCCAGAGATTCTGGAAATTGTATCCACACATCTTAAAGTTAATAAAACTGAGAAACATTGCGTTAATGATTCAAGATAATGGGATCAATACAGGTATCAGCTATTCAGTTCCAGATAAAAATGTGAAGTTGGAATGATTGTTTAAAAATCTGAGAATATAAAGTACTGGAAAATTCACAATTTGTGCAATTAAATAACGTGAACTGTCATGCAGCTCTTGTTAATTTAATTTGGACTAGTGGATTTTTGCCATGACTATTACACCTGAGTTTTTAGAATTGTATACATATCTGGTTAAAATAACCATCTGATCATAACTGTAAGGACCACATTTTCTTTTACCTAGAAAATCCATTAATATTCTTCAAGCTAATTTCACACTAGTTAATCATTTGAGGGAGAAAAAGTAGATTGATTTGAGTAGTTGTAGAAAAAAGTATTTGGTGCTGCTGATGTCATTGCTCATTGTTTCATTTCTAATTTTGATGTTCCAGTAATGTTCAGAGGAAATGGCTTTCTCTGTCCTAAAAGAAAAGTTGTAACTCCCCTTGGAGTCCATATGCTGCTAATAAGCAGGACTGAAGCGATTAGGGAATGGGACACAAGGAGCTTTCATACATTTCATGCATCTTCTCTTTCTCCTTTCTCATATCCATAAATCTGACCTTGTGTTTAAAGATGTTTGAAAGATGGAAAGGCTTTCTATGCTTAAGATTTTGAGCTTGTCCGTTTCTACTTAATTATCAGAACCCTTTCTATAACAGGATAGAGCAGTGATGGTGAACGTTTTAGAGATCGAGTGCCCAAACTGTAACCCCAAACCCACTTATGTATTATCGGGTGTCGGGTGGGCATGGCCCATTGGGCGTGGCTGTGGTGGTAACAGCAGACTGGATGGGACTAAAAAGTTCACTCAATCAATTCCAACTTTGTGAGATCTTTTTTTCCCCGTGAGAAGTTGCAATTGATTGATTGATTAATTTTTTTTTTTTGCACATGGTGGTGGAGGCCTAAAGTGAAAAGGTTTTATAAAACCCAGCTGAAGCCCTAGAACTGGGGCGACAGCGCGCATGCCCACATAGAGGGCTCTGCGTGCCACCTGTGGCACTTGTGCCTTAGGTTCGCCACCACAGGGATAGAGAGTTTCTTGAGTTCATATTTATTTGGGCTGATGGTTAACAATCAGGTGGGACTGTCTATGGAGATTCTCAATCATCCAGTTCACACCTGGGTCCAAAGATAATTTTTCATGAAGCAACTTAACTTTTTGTTATTCTTTGAAGACATTTTGTTTCTTATCCAAGAAGGGTCTTCAGGTCTGACTGGATGGTGGGGAATAGAAGGATTTATATTTATCAAATCCCAAAAAAGACCCAGCAAGAGCTCCTCCAAAATAGACAAGGAAGAAAACAATAAATGAAGCAATATAGTCATTCCATATATTGCAGGAATATTGGAAGTGCTCAGGAGGATCTTCAGCCAACACAACATATGTGTACACTTGAAACACAAGAATACACTAAGGCAGAAGCTTGTCCACCTCAAGGATAAAACATCCAGACACAAACTGAGCAATGTAGTATATGCAGTACAATGCAGTGAGCCATCTGCATATCTGTACATTGGGGAAACAAAACAACCACTTCATAAATGCATGGCACAACATAGGAGAACAAACCCATCAGGACAAGATTTGGCAGTCCATCTGCATTTAAAAGACAAAGGCCACTCTTTCGAAGACAATGAAGTCCACATTTTGGACAGAGTGGACTTCTGGTTTGAAAGAAGTGTCAAAGAGGCCATCTATGTCAAAACTGAACAGCCCTCTCTCAATAGAAATGTCTTGGATGAGAAGTGAAATGTCTTCAAAAAATAATGAGAATTGAAATGTCTTCAAAAAATAATAAGAAAGTCCAATTGCCTTATGAAAAAGCATCTTTGGGACTCAGGTGTGACCAATTTTCTATTCCTGATAGAGAGTGAAGCGAGAAAAATATCTAGAGTTTCAGAACAGGATGCAAGCACTGGATTGTTGCTTCATTGACCAAGGAAAAAAGAAAGTGAATGAAGCTTTTTATTATTTAGTGTACTAACAGTATAATCATTAAGAATTTTTTCCAAGTTGATGGAGCTATAGTCCAGTATTTCAATGTCCAATGTACTTTAGTTAATATTATTTACACAAGCTTTTAGAAGGATCTCCTTTTGGCATGCATATGAGTATCTGCTGAGTTTTGAGTAAGACAGTTTCATAACCAAGTGTATATTTTTGCACTGAAGATTTGGGTTTTATCCTTTCCATCCCCATAAAGGGAGAAATGGGTCCAAAGGGGGAACCTGGTGCATCAGGACACAGAGGACCAACTGGACGGCCAGGGAAACGAGGCAAACAAGTAGGAATCCTGTACTATATTTTGTTTATTTTGTTTTAATCCTAACTTCCTTAATATATATTTAATTTTTTATATAAATCTAGATAAAATATTTTTGTTTCTCTAAAGGCCTTGTTTATGATAACTTAAAGAGCCTTGAAGATCTTTGGATTGCAGAAATCAATTTTATTTTCAGGTGCAGGGTGAAAACAATTTAATCTAAATCTCATTTGATTGATTGATTGATTGATTGATTGATTGATTGATGCCTCCTCATACTTCTTGTCTGAATCACAGTGCTGTTGTTGTTGTATATGGTTTCTAGCATGCTACTTAAATATTTTCCTTAAAGACTTTGTTAAATTGATGTATTCTCCATTCACTGTTGTCATCAAAAAGCTACGCTGGCATTAAATTTGTTGTGCACAAGACTGACCATTGGTCTATATTTCTTATCAATTTCTCCAAAGTCTAACAAAATTTAAATATGTCAAGGCTATTACTATTCCTACTGGTCTTATTTATGTTATTAGGCAAATCTCATCATAGATCTAACCCTTCTTTATGTTAAATGTTGTTTTGAAACTTCACAGGGAAGAAGCTAGATGGGTACTTAATTATTTGTTAAATAAGAAAGACACTTCTCACCCACTGAGTCATTTCCTGCCTCCAAAGCCAGCTGACGTCCTCATATTAAATGCCTGTGGTGGCAGCTAAATTAAGAAGCTGTTACTTCCACTTCCATTCTGAGATGCATCTTGCTCATCTCATTGACTCCTTTAAGTTCGTGCCTGGAGTCTTCTCAGGTTAGATGCACTAAGGATATATATAGGCCTAGTCTTATAAGTGCCAGATTAATCAACATCATCACAAGCATGACACACACTCTATTCCAGTTGCCAGTTTTAGGAATTCTATTATTGCTGGTAGAAAATGTCTTGAGAATATATAATATTTGTGGGGAATGCCCCTGTTTTCAGACCTGTAGTCATCAACCTTTTTCTGCTTCTTTCTCTTCACTTTTCCAATTTCTTCTCTCCCTTACTCTCTGTTTATTAATTGTTTTTGAATCTTGCTATTCTCTGTTTGTAGTGGTTTTAAGTCTCCTTCATCAAAGATAACAGACAATTCACTATAAATGTTTTAAACAAATTAGTTCATCTATAAACTCCTACATGATTGTTTTGTATTACTCACACTTTCCTTTTCCTTAAAAAAGAGCAAAGCAAAAACATTGGCAAGAAAAACCAAATGCACAGGTATAGAAAATGTGATACCTGGCTCAACAGTAGCAACTGTAAGAGGGATCTAGGTGTCCTAATAGGCCATCACTTAAGTATGAGCCAGCAGTGGGTTGCAGCTGCAAAAAAAGCTAATGCAGTTCTAGGTTGCATCAACAGAAGGATGGTTTCAAGATCATGTACAGTGGTAGTACTGCTTTATACCGCACTGGTAAGCCCACACTTAGAATAGTTTTGATCACCATGATACAAAAAAGATGTTGAGACCCTAGAAAGAGTGCAGAGAAGAGCAACAAAGATGATTAGGGGTCTAGAGATTAAACCATTACAATGAACAATTGAGGAAACTAGGAATGTCTAATCTAATGAAGAGAAGGACTAGGGATGATAGCAATCTTCTAGTACTTGAATGGCTGCCACAGAGATGAAGGAGTTAACCTATTCTCCAAAGCACCTGAAAGCTAGGCAAGAAGTAATAGGTGGAAGATCATTAAAGTGAGATCCAACCTAGAGTTAAGGAGAAATTTCTTGACATTGAGAACAATTAATCAGTGGAACAGCTTACTTCTAGAAGTCATGGATGCACTCTCATTGGCCAAGAAGAAACTGGACAGCTATTTATCCAAAGTGATATAGGATCTTCTGCTTGAGTGTAGTAATCAGTGCTCAGTCATTGCAGGGTGCAAATATGGCTGACCGCCTTTGCAGCGTTTATTCTTTTTATACAGTTTTCCAAGCAGCAAAAGTTTAACATGGCAATAGCGTAGCAATAGCATTTCATTGGTTAAACTCCTTACCAATCCTTAAGGATAGAAAGCCAGAGGCCCAAAACATCCTGTTGATGTAAACTAGCTGATATCAGGCAGGTGAGGTCATTGTACCAGCCTGGGGTAGTTTCCCACATTGCCATGGTGATGTATAGGGATGAGATCATGTAGAGAGAAGAGGCATGCAAGCTTTGGAGGGGCAGTTTGCTGCTCACGACCTCTACCTGGTCCCAATCTCTACACTTGAGCAGAGCAGCCTAGGTTATTGACAGGAGTCAAAATTGACTCAAACACACACACACACACACACACACACACACACACACACACAAATCAAAACATAATTAGTAGAAACAAGTGCTTATCTTAATGCTGTTCTGGGCCATTGCTGTGGAAGTACATATGAAATAAAGCAAGAAATGCCAAGCGCTATAACTCTTAGCCACTGGTTGGAACTAATGGCATTAAGCAATGTATTCCCTCAGCATTTCTTCCATTAAAAGATTGCATGCCAGAAACATAATCATTTATCTCCAAGTGGTCTTTCAAAAAGCTGCCTAGGTCTTTTGTTACTGCAGATCTTGTGATGGTATAATTATATCTATCCACAATAATAAATTGTTACAAGTAAAAAGTAAACACTTCTTCGAGTCAAATCTGACTCCTGATGGCTTCATGGTTTTTATTGTCACCTGTCTGGTTTTTTGTCCTCCCGGTCTTACTTATAACCCTGGAAGTTTCAGATAGCAAACTGTCCAAGAAGTAGCCCCTGTTTAGCTTCTCAAAATCTGCCAAATTCAGCTCGGCAGCAGTAAAATACGTCTTTGTAAATTAATTTTTCCTGGAAATGATCTGGTTTGAGAAAAAGGATTCTCTTATACCTAAGCAAACATTATTTTTGTCTTGGAGAAATTACCCATTCATGGAAAATGCAGAATAGGAAAATAAAGAAAATATTTTTGACACTATATAAATGCATGTTTTGCTCAGATAGGTACATGGACACATATAGGAGCCCTGAGGAGCTGTGGGTTGACTTTATTTAAAATAAATTCTTACTTTGGATTACCAAACTATATCTGAAGAGTTTTATTGTTTGGATTAACAGGCGTGTTAGATTTATAGTTTAAGACAGTGTTTTTCAAGCTTGACAACTGTAGAAGTGTGGGGCATGTTTTCCTGGGGAACTCTGGGAGATCAAGTTAAATTGCCAGGTTTGAAAAATACTGACCAACGACATTCTAATTTCCTTTATATTACAGCTTATAGTGTATATGTAAGGAAATAGTTATGCGGTTCTTTTTTTAGGGACAAAAAGGAGACATAGGACCCCCTGGAAGTATAGGCCCACCAGGTAGGCCTGGTCTTCCTGGAGTATCAGGTCCACCAGGACAGTTAGTAGCAGGTAAGACTGGGCTTTCTTAATAGCTGCTCTTATGCTTTAATTTTAATAATATAATAATGCTAAACAGAATATACCTTTCATGTTTGTTCAATCATTAGATGAAGGAATTTCATTGAGATAGCATTTTAGGGGTCAATAGGCTTTGGGGAGGGTATAGGTGGAATTCAGTAAGCAAACTGCCGTGGCACATCTCCACACACACCCCTCCTTGATAATTACACTATATGCTGGAGGGCATTCAGTGGTAGGAAAAACAGAATAGTATTATCCTTTGACTCCTTGAAGTTGTGATAAGCGTGGAATTGATAGTTGATGTGATACATATCGTATAAGAGATAAGGCAAACAAGGAACAGATTGTTTCCCTCCCTATCTGAATTAGATAAGAGAGATGTGCAGAGATATCAGTCACTGTGCAGTCGTCTTAAATTGAAGATTATTGATACGTTCATCCATTTTATGGTACAACATTAATGTAAATGCAGCATTGTGTAGAATTCTAAAGCTTATGATACCAGCATTTTAACATGATGTCCATGCGTCCTTTTGAAGTTTGGGAAACCGTGGTTTTCTTTGAGCTAAAACCATTTCTTCTGATGTATCAAAACTAGGCTTTTTAGGGACAGCAATGAGAACAAGCTACAAGCATTAAGAGAAAAACAAATGGGGTAGGAAAGGAGATGCAACATATTCTTATCTAAGTTGTTTGTCTTTTGTCATGTCTAAAGAAAGCAAACAAAAGCATTATAGCACATAAATTACCTTTGTTTTTTCATATGTTGCTTTCTGATATACCTATCATATAATAAAAGTATGTACTGTAGCCTATGTAAAAACTTGACCCGTCTTAATAAACTTTTTTTTTTTTTTTTGCTTTGCCTGAAGTACTTGTAGTAGTATCAGGAAATGAAAAAGTCACTTTGCAAAGGTATTGGGTGCTTTTCTCTATTCCGAAACTCCATGTCAAGTCAAGTGCCCAGATTTTGGGGGCAAAGCTGCAGCCCATGAAAAATATAGGCTGAATCAAACAATGGTTAAAAACAGTTCAGTTGTAGCTTAGAACTTGAAGACAGGTAGTCTATGCAAGAGAGCATTGTTTGTTTATTTATTCAATTTACATAGCTGTCCATCTTATGTTTACATGACTCTAGGTGGTTTACAATAAAATACATAAAATACACACTATAACAAAATAGAAAATAAAAATAAAACACATAGCAGTCAAACATTGTATACCAATCATCCACACAGTCAGGAAAAAGGCTCTGTCCCATACCCGGGGCTTCAGGCTCAGGTACCAGGTCAAGTTTTCAAGGCTTACAAAACACCAATAGGGATGGGACCAATCTATTTTCAAGGGGAATGATGTTCCAAAGAGTGAGTGCCACAGAAGAAAAGATTCTTCTTCTGGCTCCATCAGACAATATTCCCTAGATGACGGTACCTTCCTGCCAAACCTGGTAAAGAAGAGATGATCCCATACGCATCCCAATCTTAACCAATGAAGGACTTTAAAGATGACAATCAGGACCTTAAATTGCACCCGAAAGCACACTGAAACCAATGAAGATCACAGAGTAAAGGTTTCACCTCTGTTGAGTAACTGGCACTAGTAACTTCCCATGCTCTTGCATTCTGTGCCAGTTGGAGCTTCCAAATACTCTTAAAAGATAGCCCACTGTAAAACATATTGCAATATTTCAGTCTGAAGATCACAAGTATATGAGTGACTGTGAGCAAGCCCCCCCCCCAGCCTAGGTATGGGTACATATGATACACAACCCAAAGCTGCACAAAGGCCCTCCTAGCTATGGGTGCCACCTGTTCTTCAAGCAGGGGTTGCAAGTCCAAGAGGATCCTTTAACTGGGTACCAGCAATGCCATCCCTGACCAAAACCAAGGATGGAAGGTTTATACATGTATTCTCCAGTTTATTAGAGTTAAAACAAAATATATTTACAGCACCTGTGCATTGTAAATATTAATGGTTTAGATGGTAATTAAGGCCCAGTTTGCTTTTTCTAGTATGTTTGTGTCTATTTCAGAACTTCCTAATTTGGCAATCTGATATTTTTTAGGGCAACTAATGGGGCCAAAAGGGGAAAAAGGACTTGCAGGACCTCCAGGGAAATGTCTCTGCAACTCTCAGTCAAATGTGAATGGCCCACCATATGAGGAGCCACTGTTTGGAGATGCCTATTCCAAAGTACCTGCAGTAAGTGAGTTTTGACAAGAATTAAGATGGGCATATTATGTAATTGAAGCATGACAGGATTGCTTTGTTGATGAACTGAGGTAACTGTAATAACTAAGCTAAATGCTTTTAAAGTTTCATTCTTCAAACACACAGGTAGTCCTGACTTACTGACTGCCTCATTTAGCAATTACTTAAAGTTATGATGGTGTAAAAAAACAGCTTTGCAACTAATTCTCGAATATACAATCATTGCAACTTTATGCAGTCATGTGTTCACCATTTGTGTGCTTCCCAACTATCTTACAATAAGCAGAGTTAATGAAGAACACGGGAGAAAAATAGTAAGTTGCGGTCACATGATGTCTTACTTAATGATTGCAGTGACTTGCTTATTTTTTTTTTTTTATTATTAAAAGTTTTATAAATTTTACAAAAAAAACAAGAACAATACAGAACAAAAAACAACATATACAAAAGAGAAAAAAAAAATTAAACAATACATATAAAAAAAAAAACCCCACCCCACACCCCTCCCAAAAACCCTCCCTTCCCCCCCCCTGAGCTTCCCAGAGCAGAATATAGGCTTAAGAAATAATAATAAAAAAAAAATAAAAATTAAATTAAAAACTTTATATTTATATATATAAAAAAGATATCTATAATATATATAAAAATAAAACTTATGAAAAAGCTATATAATATTTTTGTATACCCAATCTAAATTGTATAAATTTTATCCATTTGTCCCAGATAGCAAAAAACTTCTCTTGCGTTTGTTGCTTTAAGAAAGCCGAAATCTTTGCCATTTCCGCCAGATAAGCTACTTTAAAAAACCATTCCTGCAATGTAGGCAAAGATTCCTTCTTCCAATATTGTCCAACTAACAGCCTCGCGGCTGTGATCAAATTTAACATCAATACAACCTCCTTTGTATCACAATCTGTAACAATACCTAACAAAAATAATTGCGGAGTAAATTTTACCCTCCTTCTAAAAATTCTCTGGATATTCCACCATATTTTGATCCAAAATGCTTTTATCTCTCTGCATGACCACCAAATATGATAATAGGAAGCCTCCTTGTAACCACATCTCCAGCATTTAGGTTGCACGTCAGGGTACATGTAAGACATTTTTTGTGGATCAAGGTGCCATCTATAAAACATTTTATAAAAATTCTCCCTTAAATTCTGTGCTTGAGTAAATTTGACATTTCTCACCCAAATAGTTTCCCAGGTGTCCAATGAAACTGGCTCACCAAAGTTCTGCGCCCATCTAATCATACAATCTTTAATTAGTTCCGTTTCTGAGTCCAATTCAACTAAAACCCCATAAATTCTCTTAATGTGGGTTTGTCTTTGATCCTTCAGTTGCTTAATAAGATTTTCATCTTCTCTAAGAAAACCCACCTTACAATCCATCTTCCATCTATCTAGTAGTTGCCTATATTGGAACCAAGAATAAGTAAAATTTTCTTGTGCTAATTCTTCCCGTGATTTTAATTGCCAGTTTTGTCCATCCCATTTAAGTAACTGTCTATAAGACACCATATCCATTTTAACCCCTCTTTTTATTCCTTCTATCGCATGCCAAGGTATAGCCCATAATGGTACTTTAAAATCACTTTTATAATATTTTCTCCAAATCCTAAGTAAAGAAATTCTTAAAATATGAGATTTAAAAGCCCAATCTATTTTTTTATTAAATATTAAATAGGCATGCCACCCATAAAGTAAATCCCATCCCTCTAGATAAAGTATCTCAGAATTTGTCAAATTTACCCAGTCACTAATTAATGTTAAAACCACCGCATCATAATATAATTTCAAATTTGGTACCTTGAGTCCACCCCTCTCACGGAAGTCTTGCATAATTTTGAACTTAACCCTTGGTTTTTTCCCTGCCCAAATAAATTTATTGAGACCCTTCTGCCACTCATTTAAATTAATCTCATTTTTCAAAATTGGTAACATTTGAAACAAAAAAAGAAACTTGGGTAGAATATTCATTTTTATCACTGCAATTCTTCCCATGAGGGATAATTGCAGCTTTTCCCAGTTCTTCAAGTCTTTCTGTACCCCGACCCACAACCTTTCATAATTGTTTTTAAATAATTTTGCATTAGAAACAGACAGCATCACCCCCAAATATTTTACCTTATTAACAATCTCAAAACCCGTCGAGTTAACCAAAATCTGCTTCTCCTGACTCGACATATTTTTAGGTAAAATTTTAGTCTTATTTACATTAATCTTAAAACCCGAGACCAAACCATAATGGTGAATCAACTGTAATAAGTTTACTACAGAATAATCAGGTTGCGACAAAGTAACAACCAAGTCATCCGCAAAAGCTCTCAACTTATATTCTTTTTTATTAACATATATTCCTTTAATTTCCTGAGACTCTCGAATTTTAATCAATAATATTTCCAATGTTAAAACAAACAACAATGGCGATAAAGGACACCCCTGTCTAGTACCTTTCTCTATTGTGAAAACCTCCGACAAACCTCCATTAACAATAAGTTGTGCTGTTTGTTTTTGATATATTACCTTAAGGGCTTGTAATATGTTTTCACCAAAATTCATTTCTTCCATTACTCTTAGCATAAAATGCCAATTCAGTTGGTCAAATGCTTTTTCAGCATCTAAAAATATGAGCCCTGCAGGAACTTGGTTGTTCTTATCTAAGTATTCTAATAAGTTAATAATTTGTCTAACATTGTTTTTCATATACCTTCCTGTTATAAACCCTGATTGATCTTTATGCACAAGATGATGCACCACCCTCATAAGCCTATTTACCAAAATTTTTACAAATATCTTATAATCCACGTTTAAAAGAGATATAGGCCTATAGTTTTTTGGTAAAGTAAGATCTTGATCCTCCTTTGGAATCAATGATATAAAAGCACTACGCCATGAAGGAGGAATCTCTAAACCCTGTAAGATACCATTAAAAAGATCATTTAATGGTTGAATCATCTCCTCCATTAAAGCTTTATAATAAACAGCTGTTAACCCATCCGTACCCGGTGCTTTCCCTAATTTCAATTGTTGAATTGCTGAGGCGATTTCCTCCTTAGTGATTAAACCATTAATTTCATATTTCTGATCCTCAGTCAGTTTAGGAAAACTTGCCTCAGCTAAATATTTATTTATATCTAACAGTTGTACATTAGTAGATTTGTATAGGTTTTGATAATAATCCAAAAAAGATTTTTTAATTAATTCCTTCTGAGAAACTAGTTTACCCTTATAATTTATTTTCTCTATTATTCTCTGTCTCTGTTTCTTTCTTAATTGATAAGCCAACCATCTCCCCGGCTTATTAGCATTACAAAATGTATTTTGTTTCATAAATAATAAATTGGTTGCAGCTTGATCTGCTATCAACATATTAAATTGTGACCTTAATAACTTTACAGATTCTTTAGTACTTTCATCAGAAGGATTTAGAATCAAAGCCCTTTCTTTTAGTTTAATTTCATCTTCAAGTTCTCTACGTTTCTGAATCTGATTTCGCTTATAAAAATTATTCATTTTTATCAAAACACCGCGCATAAATGCTTTACCTGCATCCCATACCATTGACATTGAAGTCCCCTTGTACATATTCAAAGCAAAATAGTCCTTTAAACACTCCTTTAGTTTTTGAACATTCTTCTCTTGTCTAAACAAATTTTCATTAACTCTCCAGGATCTTCTTTCCTCTTTCTCTTGAATCAACTCCATCCAAACTGGACTATGATCCGTCAGTGATCTAGGAAAAATCTTTACATTCTTTACTTTATTATACAAATCCGTGGTAATCAAGAAAAAGTCAATTCTTGAAAAAGATTGGTGTCTGTCAGAAAAAAAAGTAAAGTCTCTCTCCTCTTGATTACGTTCCCGCCAATAGTCCCTTAATTCCCAGTCTTCTTTCATATCAAAAAAGGCTTTAGGTAGCCTTGCTTGTTTAAGAAAAGGAGAGGAACCTTTCTTATCCCTTTGTGTATCTAAGACACCATTCCAATCACCCATTAATACCACTGATCTATAATCAAGCAAAGTTATTTTTTGGTGTAACTGTTTATAAAATTGTTCCTGTTGTTGATTTGGAGCATAAAGTCCAACTATAAGTACTTTCTTACCATAAATACCAAGTTCAATCATCACATATCTCCCCTGGGGATCTGATTCTACCAGACAAGCTGGCAGGTTTTGTTTGACATATATAACAACTCCCCCTTTCTTCCCAGGTGCAGGAGATATAAAATGAGATCCCAAACGAGCATTAACTAAATATTTCTGATCTTTAAGTAGAATATGAGTTTCCTGTAAACAAATAACATCATTGGTATGTTGCTTCAAATAATAAAAGATTTTTTTCCGTTTCTGAGGAGAATTCAATCCATTAACATTCCAGGTCAAAAACTTTGCCATCTCCCTTGGCACGCAGCCTGGAGAAGACACCATCAAACTCTGACAGAGCTGCGTGTGTTGCATAACTCTTGGGTCTTGCTCCTCCCACCGGCGGTGATGCACTTCCAGGAGAATTCTCTTTGGGCTCTTTTTTACGTTGCTCTTTCTCTTTACGCTTATAAGCTGCACGAGTCATCCTCTGCTCTTTAGCCTCCGTTTGGCGTTGCTTTGCCACTTCTATCATCCCTGCGGAAACCAAATCTAGTGCCTCAGATTGCTGCTCAGGTTCCTTAGCACTCAAAGATTTCCGACCAGATGAAGTTGAGCCTGCACTCAGGACCGAAGTATAGAAATCTCTAGCTTTGTCAACTGTGTTCAATCTGTAACGTGTCCCAGCATGGCTCAAAACGATACCCATCGGAATTTCCCATCTGAATGGCATCGATCTAGCTTTAAGCTCATTGGTTAAAAAAGCAAAGTCTTTCCTACTTCTTAAAATTTTAGATGGGATTTCCTTTAGAATGATGACATCTTGGGCGGCAATCTGAAATCTTTTGTTGTAAAAAGCTTGTATAATCTCATTCCGCAGGGACTTCTTTGTAAAGTAAATCACCACATCTCTGGGCAAATTCTTCTGCTTAGCAATCCAGGAGTTGAGTCTATAAATTTTTTCTACTTCTCTCTGTAATTCTCCTTTATCCATATCCAAAGCCAGCGCCAGATCACTAAGAACCACCTCCATCAAATCTTGATTCATATCTTCCTTGAGGCCTCTAATCCTCAGAGCATACTCCATCTGTCTGTACTGAAACATCAAAATATCTTCTTGTGAGGAGTCCACCTTCCTTTCCACGTCTTGAATTTTGTCATCTAAAGAGTCAACTTTGTCTTCCACTTCCTCAAGCCTTGCATCGAGCTTAACCACCACAGTAGCCAAACCTGAAACAGCTGCCAGTATATCTTGTCGTAATTCATTATTATTTTCTTGCAATTTAGACTTTATCCCCGTTATCTCTTCTTTGAGATCAGATTTAATTTCTGATTTAATCTGTGAAACAAATTGAGTCATTTCCTCTCTCATTTGAACTACAATCTCTCCCATTATGCCTCTAACCTCTTGCACTGAAAGTCCAGGTAGAGGAGGGGAGGGTGGTGGCTGAGCCGGTGGTGCATGTTTAGATTGTTGTTGTAGCTGTGCAGTGGAAGTTATAGGAGAAGAAATAACCTTGGGTATTGAGGAAGGCTGCTGCCTCTTTGAAGCCATTTTAAAAAGCACAATTGTCACTTCCCTTTCCCCTCCAGCCAAAAAGGGAGGAGGAAAAAAAGAAAAAAAGAATTTTTAAAAAGAGACAAACTATAATCATTAAAAGTCCAGAATAAATCCCAAGAATAAGTAGTAAAAGAGCAAACAATTCAAAAGAAAAAATTCTAAGCCAAAAGCAAAAGCAAAAGCAAAAAACAATCCTTAAAAAGGGAAAGTAAAACAAAAGAGAAAGGAAAAAAAAACTCCGACACTTTCAAAACGCCATCTTAAGTCCTTTCACTAGTATAACAAAGAAAAGGAGGAAAAATAGTAAAAATCAAAAGATAAAAAAAATAAACACCTAAAATATAACAAAAAATCCTTTAAACTGCTCCGTCCGTTTAAAAATTACTCACCAAAATGCTGTAAACACGGAGATAGAAGCGGCGGTTTCTTTTGCTTCCAAGGAAGCAAAAACAGCTGGGAGGCGGAGATCAGCAAGAGCTCCGAGGGAACACTCCTTTCACCCCCTCTAGAAATAAATCCAGAGGGGGTTCAGGGGTTCTACCTCTACTCTTGCGTTCTCTATCCCTTCCCTTTGCCCGGGAAGGGATTTCCGAGCCGCGGGCCAGCTGATGCGCGCTGCGCTCCGCGGCTCTGACACTTCCCCAGCTGGACGGCTAAAAGCTAGCCGCCATCGCCGTCGCCTCCCACCGGAAGCCTCCGCAGTGACTTGCTTATTGACCAAATAAGAAGTGATGTTGTAAATTAGAGATGGAGTTGCTGATACTAATTTTGATTGCTAAGCAAAGGCTACTTGTACTTAGTTCCTGCAGTTATTGGGTTAGTAATTTGCTTCTGAATGAGAATACAATTTAATGATACATTTCAAGTACCATTAAATTACATGCTTGCTCTAAATTCCTTGTATCTTTGTCTATGGCAGAATAGCACAGGAGGAGTATAATCCTATGTTGTTTTTACCTATATTTTTCTCTTTATAGGGAATAAGCAAAATATCCATTTGCACATTTTTACATATTCTCTTCCAATCCAAATATCCATTTGCACATTTTTACATTTCTCTTTCAATCCATTTTTCTTAAAAAAAATATTACATGCATAGCAAGTTTACTTTTTCTGCCTCTAATTACACAGGGGCAAGCATTTGAGATATTGCTTAATGATTTCAAATCCATAACATTTTTTTCTGAATTTGAGGATCAGCTGGAAAGGTCCATAATATTTATTCCAAGCTATTCAATTTTTGGAATCATCTCATATAACTGTACTACAACCTACTGCCCTGCATAGATATTATGGTGATGTAGTCTCCCTCCTTTTTCTATTTGTAACTTCCAGATTTTTGTAGTGAATAATCAGGAAGACCTGGAAAGATTAAATACAGAATATGCCCTAGCATTTCGAAGAGATCAGCGGTCTTTATATTTTAAAGATACTTCTGGATGGTTCCCAATCCAGGTAAAAAGAAGAAGAAAGTGTAACTTTGAAAGCATTTGATTTCTTGATTAGTAAAAGGCATACAATTATGTTTTTTTTGTACCTGATGTCTTCTTTTTAAAAAGTGATAAACCAATTATTTTTTGTTAATTTTGGGAAATTCTGGTCTGGAAATTCTTCATGGGGAAAAACAGCTGGCCCTTATTCTGTCTTTTAAAAGGGTCACAATTTAGGCATTTGAAAGATGGGGATCAAATTGTCTTTTAGATTATTTGTAATTTTTTTTAATTAATCTTGCTTTTGTATTTGTTATTTTGGGTGTGCTAGTTTATTTATTTTGTTTTATTCTTTTGTAAGTGATTCTGGGCTATTCCGAGAGAAGATTAGCATAGTGATAAAATATACATAAATAATATCAATATCTAGGGCACACTGGAATTTAGACTGTAGTCTTACTTTGAAATTAATACCACTGTATTTGGTTCTGATTTTATTCCAATCTACAGGGAAAAAAAATGTTGCAATCAGTACATATATGTTCTCTTTTGAGGTAAACAATTAGATGCAAAATGCAGACCAGAGTAAGAAATAGTAAGCAAAAGACATTGGAGGGTCAATGAAAAAAAGAGACGGAGAAGTAAGAAAAGAGAAGGAATAATAGCTGCATCTAATTTATACCTACTGCATTCTCTATATCTCCATGTACTGTGTATCCCTGCAAATCATCCTTGCTTTCATCATATTGTTGCCTAAATTCACACATTGCCTTTTGTTCTTAAAGAAAAATTGATGGACTTTAATTATTCATAACTAAAACATTGAATGGAATTCTATTAGTCTGATTGATTAAGTTTGGATCCAATAACATAATATTGCATGACAAGCATCTCTATTTTGTATATATTAATGTATTTTTAGTCTTGCTGTATGTTGTCCAAAGTCACTTGTTTGTAAAATGGGCAGCTATATAAATTAGCATATAACTAATAACATCATGTCTGTATTTGTTCTTAGTTATCATGCTTTAGGTAATTGGATTCATGAAAAAAAAGTTTTGAAATCATACTCCTTCATATGTACATTATGGCTTCTACTTTGGCTATACATTTTTATCACAATTCCCCCCCCAAAAAAATAACTGATATAGTATTCCCAAGAATACACTTAGTCAAATACTTCCAGAATACTGGTTAAAAAAAGAATTCTTTCTACAATGAACCCAAATTATATAACTCTTCTTCTTTATCAGCAGCTAAAACCTTCCTATCCACTGGATCATCTGATAAGAGATAGTAATGTTTGTGGAGATGGCATCATCCAAGATGGAGAAGAATGTGATGATGGCAATACAATAGTGACTGATGATTGTATAAGTATGTTTACGCCATTCATTTCTCAGTTCCTTATTCTAGCTTATATACAAACTATGGTTAAACAAAGCATAATTCATACACACAGTTGCATTTGGATATAAGTGCGGTGCAGTTTTTTTAACATGATGCTTGCTAACCAGTAATAGGATTTGTCTTAAAGCAGTTGCTGGTGGAAACATAAAGTTTTATGTGGATTGGGCAAGGCTAGTTATTGGAATTATCAGTTTAAAAACTTCCTATTAAATCTGGGGAAAATGTTTTCTTTGAATAAGTTTCAGACTAATTCTAATTTCTGATTAGCAGCATCAGTATTTGTATAATAATTTGAGTACTAAAAAAAGAACATATTATCATCAATTCTGTATATAATATGACACACCTTGGATTATGTTAGGCCAGTTTTTATTTCTGCCTTTCATTCTTTTTCTATTTTTTTAGTAAATAGTGTAGGAAAGGGCAATCTGATACCTTCCAGATTTATTAGACTATGATTCTTACAATTGGACTGAACTTTTAATAAAAATAGGCCCCAAAAGGATGACCATTGGTTGAGAATTATAATCTAAACTATTTTGTTGGTTTAGAAGTCTCTGTTGAGATTATGAAAAAAAAAAAACCTTTTCAGTCAATTGTACATTGGTTTGTTTTTATTTATTTTATATCATCAAATATTAGCTAATTCTGTTTTCTACTAAAATTATTTTAGTGTATTATTTTACATTGCTTTTGTATATGCTTTTTTTTAAAAAAAAGTGAATATGACATATGTCTTTTTGTATGATTTCTGAATTATTACTTTGAATTTATCTTGAGATATCTCTGAAGAGAATGAACTGGAAGGCTTGTCTGAAACAAAAATATATAATTCAAATATAAAATAGTTTTTATATAAATATTTATATTTTAGTATAAAAAGTTTGGAAATAGTTCTTGTAGATTTGCAGGTTATCTTAAAACAAACACTTCTTTTTCCACAGAATTAACTGCTTAAAAGAAGATTGAAAGCAGATTATGTGGAATAATTAGCTGGTATTCATGTGCTCCAGAGTAACAGACTCAAAAAGAATTATTCTTTATATCTCTTTCACCATATTTTAACAAATTGACATTACATTTTTGAATAAATTTAGTTCTGTGAAAACCAGCCAGTGCCAGATGGATTATTTATGGCAGGGATATAAAGACATGCTTCTTATTTTTAACTGAACCACAGCTAATTCAAATTAATTTTCTGGAACAGTACAACTTATGGAACCACAGATAAATGGCCTTGCTGAGGTCATAAATATGTATAGAGGAAAATGTGGTTAGCTAGTTTGTGATCATCTGCTGATTGCTGAGTGCATTCATGCAAAATGTTTAATCTGGTTACTCATTAACTTGTTTTCTGATTTCATACAACATCCTGATCCATATACTATTCATCCCAGGAGTGGATTGGGTCCACACAATATGAGAAGCTACACAAAATCACATTAAAACTAGCCAAGCAGTTTGTTTGCAAGGACAAGATCTTCAACTAGCATACTAAAGTATCTTGTTTAAATATAGTGAGTAAATGACATGGAGAAAAACACTATGATTTCTTTCAAGTTGCCAATAGCTAAGCAGGGCAATTCAACCCTCTTATGATAATTTTCTGACTAGTGACCAAACAGCTTCTTTTAGGACGAGCCAATCATTCTTGTACCACTGTAACCTTATCAAGGTCAGGCTTTTAAATCTTTTTGTCTCAAGATAGCTAAGCTATGCTAAAGGAAATTGTCTTAAATCTCTGCTGTTACACAGCAAATCTGGGCATGCAGGAATATTGCTCTGAGTGAGAAAGGCCATGTGCCACTGAACATTCAGCCAGTTGAAAGGAAGACTTTAAAGTTTTACATACTGTATGTTTGGGTCAGAGTTCCTTTCTTTTATGGATAGTGGTTGTGTATTATTATAATAATTTCTAAGCCTGTATTAATATCATATTGATGTAAAGATAACTTGAACTGATAATTATCAATTGATAACTTAAATTGGTATAAAGATAATTGATATAATCTAAGCCAGTGGTGGCAGACCTATGGCACGCGTGCTAGAGGCGGCACTCAGAGCCCTCTCTGTGGATACGCGCACCGTCATCCCAGCCCCACTTCCCCTTCTGGCCCTCCTCCTCACCAGCAGCCCCCCCAGAATAGAGATATCCACGGGCTCAACCTATGTGGAACAGTGCAGCCAAGGACATGGCAGCCAGGCAGTGGGGACAAGACTCCACCTCACGCCCATCATGCGCAGTTGATGCTGCGGGGTGGGGGTGGAGGGTGTAGTCACCATGGCACTGCTGGGCCACCTGGGCGATCTACAATGGGCTCTGGAGGCGGTGAGTGGCCCAGCGGGTGGGCTGGGCAGGGGGTGGGGGGTGGACCGGGATGGGAGGGGTGGTGAGAGGAGGGGCGGAGCAGGTGGGATGAAGAGGGGCTGGTTTTTGGGCACTCAGTCTCCAAAAGGTTCGCCATCACTGCTCTAAGCTATATTGATATAAAGATAACTATGGCTCCACAAAACAATATATTTTTTGTTTTCTATTTTGTAATCAATAGGATGCCACCATGCTTATTGTGGGGATGGCTATCGATATGAAGGTGCAGAAGAATGTGATGGAAATGATTTTGGATACTTAACTTGCAAAACATATCTCCCTGGGTATGATCATTTATAACTGAATTATAGGAGAAGTGTTTTTGATTAAACAAGTGTAAACTCAAAGGAAGAAGGAAGAGGAAAGGAGTATAATTATTTCCAGGGAAGGGAGGAGTAATTAAAAAGGGAGAGATAGTTGATTTATAGAAAAGATTCCTGAAGCCTAAAGAACAAATCTTCTATATTTGCTTAGAGGTGATAAGAAGGATTAATTTCATCCTAAATCAATAGTTGCAGAGAAATAGTGAAATGAGTCTGCAAAATTATTCATTCACCTCTGATTACTTGGAAAATAAAGAGGAATGAAATTCTGAAGTGAAAAGATTGGAGGAGTAACTGCATTCTAGAGATAGTTGCATATCCTCAGGAATATTTGCTCTCAATTATATAGACACACAAAAAGACACGTGCTTAGGCACAGATCACTTTCCTTAGTTCTCAGACAACTGTGGAAAAGGGCATGTAAAATCAAGGGGTGACTCCAAAGGACAAAACATAATGGAGAAAGGTGGCAGTCTCCTCAAGTTTGCCACACTCTGGAACTGGAGAGAACTAATCAGAAAAAAAGCTATCTTAGGTTTAAATGTACTTTTGTTTGAACTGAAATTGTATTGTTTGTTCAACAGACCTCCACCTTTTTAGTTTTCCACAAGGCTTTAAATGTTTTTACCCCAAGCATTGGGAGAAGATTAGATGCACCTTAAAATTAAATGGTGCCAGATTTTTATTGTTTCTTTATTGTTTTAATTAGTTGAATGTTATGGTTTTAAGTGATTTTATGCTTTAAATTTTTATTGGTTGTTTTCAAAGTTGATTGAAAGATGGGCAACTACATAATTCTTTATAATAATAAATAAATACTGTAAAAGGCTGAAGGCCAAACTGTGAATGTATATTCAAAATATGGATGAGTCCAATTCCAAAATTAAAAGTGACATTTGACTATGTTTAGTTAATTAAATCCAGTTTAAACAAACATTAAATATTTAGTTAACTATATCCAGTTAATCATTTCCCTTTGCATTTCAGTTCTTTTATTGTATGGTAGCATCTGAGTGGGTTCCAAGGAATGGACTACAGTTTTGGAGTGGAAACGGGCATGTGGTTACAGATTTACTTTTCTGTGGCCTCCTAAACATGAATAGATATAAAGGCGATGAGGATTTTTATAAACCATCTTCTCATTCCCCAACTGCTGTTGAATGTTGGTTCCATGCTGCTTGGAACATTTCTAAGAGAAAAAAAAGAACCATATACAAGTAATTTTTGGCTAATATTACAATAGTACTGAACAGGTTTTACTTACAACAGATCCTCAACATTGTGCCTGTTGTAGCACATCCACCATCACAGAATCGTGATTTGGGCACTTGGCAACTGGCTTGCATTTACAATGGTTGCTGTGTCCTATGGTCACATGATTGCCATTTTGGGCCTTTCATGCCAGCTTTCCACAAGCAAAGTCAATGGGGAAAACAGCAAGGGAGGCAGCAAGTTGTTTCTGCTCCCCTTGCTTTTTCTCTTGAGGAACTCCACTATGGAGTATGAGATCCCTGCCTGCACTTGTGTAGTGACATCCCACCTCCACCTGTGCTTGCGCCAGGCCACAACATCCAGCCCCTGTGTATTTTCACTCCATAGCACTTACCCATCCACCATCCTACTTGCAAGTTGTCTAAGATGATTGTGATTTGCATCTTCCTGTTGGTTTCCCCATTGACTTTGCTAGCAAGAAGTCTTGAGTGATGGTTATATGACATCCTCCCTTAACTACCTGTGATCCTTACTTAATGATGGCAGAGAGGAGTGCCAAGATCACATGAGATCCCATTTTAGGATTGCATCACTCAGCAACATAAATTCTTGTCCCAATTACTGAAATTGTGAGAACTACTCATAATTACAACCTTTGAGTGGGGAACACAATTTTGCCCCCTTTTTCTCTCCAAATGGAAAACATGTTTACTATTGAATCCTCTGTTCACTTCATCTGGGCACCCACGGCATCTACATTCAAAGATCCATGTTACTACTAAGATATAGAAATGTGTTTTGAAGGCTTTCTTTGCAATTGTCAGCCCTTCGAGGCAGACCAAACATGAACACAAAGTCACAAATACTTAAATTTAATAAAAATTATTTTTATTATAGGGTACAATACCAGAATCTGCAAGTTTGAATGTGTCTCCCACCCCTGCCCTTTATCTACATGAAAATTAGGGAGGATAAAATCTGAATAAAATTCTCCTCCTCCTTTTCCACAAGGTTATTCTCATTTCTTCAGTTCTTCATCATTCATATACTGGAACTTTCTCCAAAAACATTGCTGTGGTTCTTCCCAGCAGGATACTTAACTTGGATTTTTGCAATCCGACTTTTATGTATTGGAACAAATAGCTTTCTTTGATCAGCAACCTTTTTATCTATTGTGGCCGTTGTTCTGCATGCTGTCAGATGCTCTCGCTATTTTACTGGAAGCATTTAATTTGTAAATGAAATTATCTGCAGAGCCCTCATGGGATATTTTAATTGGCAGGAATAAGAAAGATAGTTCTGCCAAAACTCTGCTGTGTCAATGGCCTGTATCTAATTGTAACTTGCCTTAGCACCATGTCTTGCTGTAGATCTATTTTGAAAGGCAAATGATTGTACATACATAATTGATACAAACCCTGAAAAAAAATACCAATAGTGAAAATTAAAAACAGGGCTTCAATTCCAGAGACCCTCTTGGGCAGTTTCCAGGTGAGTTTTTCATCTGCAGGGTGCCCAGTTTATTATAAGAGCTCACAGAACATCTAGATGATTTTGTAATACTTCAGCCCACATTTTGTAATCCTTAGCAACCTACATTTTATCTGCCATTGGTTGTTTCCTTGCTTCTTTTTATGGAATCCACATAGGCAGAAAAACCTGGAAGAGAAATGAAAGTATGACAGGCGTAATACCTCCACAAAATTTCACTCCTTTGTACTTTCTTTTTTCTTTTTAAACCCACCTTTATTATCTTGCAAGTAACTCATGGTAGCAAAATACCTAAAATCATCTACTTATTTTTCTCACAACAATCCTATGAGATGGATTGGGTTGAGAAGGAGTTATTGACCCAAAGTAGCTACAACTCACAGTCTAGAGCAGCACCTTAACTCCTGCACCACACTGACTGTTTAGTAGTATGTATCAACAAAGCTTGATTAGGAACATCTCCAAAATAGTGGAATAATGGATATAAGTATTGCCCTTATGCTAGAAAAGGGAGTTACTTTACATTATCTTCATATGACAATTTTATGTTTCTTTCCTCAGAGAACAGAATTCAAAACCAATCCTTAATGACTTTAAATTTAATTTAATTTAATCTGATTAAAACTATCTATTTAATTGAGTACCATTTTCTTCAAGTTTGGATATATATATAAGATATATGTAATATATATATATATATATATATATATATATATATATATATATATATATATATACACACACATATATATATATACATATATATATATGTATATATATGTATATATATATATATATATATATATATATATATATATATATATATGATAACTTTCAGTTTTTTTAAGTGTTCATTTTAAAAAAAATAAGCCTTAAGTGTGCTACAAGTAAAAAAAAATGGTGCAAATGGAAACAATCAATATATACAATATATCAATTACAAAAGGCAGCTTTACTTGGAACAGATTACATCCCATGACAATATCATTAACACCATCAAACAAGAACTTCTGCCTATTCCAGGTCCTTGAGAAGGACTCGATAAATGGCAAGGCCAGTCTAAATATGTGTCTGACAGTGCAGTGAACTATAATAATAAAAGTATTTAAATTATAATATATAATCTATATGTCACGTCTGCCTTATCTTTTCTCTTAGGTCTTATGGAAAATTACGCTGTACTTCTTATTGTTATATTGACTCAACAGATTGTCGCTATTTTACATGAAAAGGGAGTGGTGAGAGAGGAGTATCTATATATGACATGCATGCATCAGGTGCTACATTAGTATCATCAAACCAAGACTGGACGATAGAGAAACAATCAATGCTAAAACAACCATTGTCATGTTGCCATGATAATTGGAGCTAAGTGTTAATTGCCTGCTCACAGTGGAAAAAAATCGGACCGTTCTTTCCTGTCTTAATAGAAAACATCCAGTGACAGTAACGCTTAAGATTTGCCTTTTCCATGACTGACTAAAGGAATTTTCCTGTGCATCAAGAACAAAAACAAACCAAAAGAACGCTATATTTCACTTCATGCTGTTAGGTTATTAAAATACAATAATACCTCAATTTAGCACTGTTAGTTCTACAAATAAGCTCTTCAGGTTTTCTTAACAAGATTTTTCCAGGATAAAAACAAATCATCTTCTGTTGGCAATGTGTATAAGAAGTCTTTCATTTTTGTTTTTGTTTTTTAATTATTATTATTACAATGTGAACTTTGTACATGCTTTAGTTGCATGAATTATGTGGAAACACTTTGTTTGTTGATTTGGGTAATTTGAGCTGCAGCCCAAGATCCTCTAATATCACTGAACTCATTCTGATTTAACTTCTGTGCAGATGTGCCCAAGTAAGAGCCAAAGGGAAATATTATTTTTAGGTTTTTTTTTAATAAACCCCATGTTAAAATGAGAGAGATGCAATGAGATTAAATTATACTTGCTGGCAGCTTTAAGTGGGACAATTAGGAAGGAACCACATTTGCTGGCTAACAATACCAATGAAATACATAGACATAGTTCAGAATCCTAGGAATAGGATCGGCTATTCAGCTTATGCTGAAATAACACCTTAGATCATATTCTACTCAGCTAGAGCCACCATGTCCAGCAGATGAGTAATGATGGAAAGTACAGTTCAGCGACTTCTGGAAGACTGCAGCACATTGTATTTAAAAACTAAGGACTCCTATGCAAGTTTATAAAGATGCCAGTTTCATGTCCAGTAGATCTAAACATTCAAGAAACTGGTTAGGGTTGTAGTTAGATTTTCTGCAACTTCAGGACAGTGGCTCACATGGAACAAGCTACTGAATCTACTTTTCCATGCATTGCATTCATGAAAAGATTTGGAAATAATAAGATCCTAAATGAATTCATCTAACATATACATTGTTACATTTACCATTGCATTTGAAAAGCTGAGTTGCATTAATGATAATTACTGAGAAGCTTTCAATTCCAAACTTTAATTCTGGCTTATTTGCCAGGAAGCGTTAGCTAGTCACTCACTTTTATTGATTTCCAGTCTGATAACTGCTTTCTAGTCTCAGCTTTGTATAACATTCAGTATATATGTGTATATATTCCTAATTGTACAGCTTAGTCTAAATGCTGTATAGGTTTTATATGTATATAAATGGCTTTTCTTTTCCTGTTTTCTAGAAAAAAATTATCAGCATTCAGAATATTATTTATTTTATAGCAGAAATTAAAAAGGAAATTTTACATTGGAAATATGCTAAGATACAAACAGAAACTTTAAATGTAGGTAGATTAATTTTTCATTTAGTGAAATATCAGTTCAAATTAAAAAAAACTAAGATAGGCCACTCTTTTCCTGCTATTATTGATCCAAAATATATGTTTAAAATGCATGAAACTTGTTAAACATTGGTTACTATTATATTCTGTTTTTTCTGTAGATATTAAATACAGAGGACAGCACAGAATTATAATAACATTTAACAATTATTCATCCTTTTTACCATAGATATGTAGATTATTTTAAGTCTACATGTGTATAGTATTGAGAAAATATTTTTTTTAAAATAAAAACCATTCCATTATTTAGATTGGTCCTCCTTTTTCTGAATTTCTTTTATTGATTTCTCCCATTCTGGAATGTTACCAGATGTGCTCAATTACAGCCTTAGTCATGCGGAGTAACCTTCTAACTATATAGAGTGTCCTTCAACACTTCTGAAGGATTCTACATGGCAGAAGACTTGTTTACATTAAAATAAAACTTCTGGGCCCAATCCCATGAATGTAAGATGTGCCAAGGTCACGTAAGCTCTGTGGTACAACTTTTAGGATGCTTTTAAATTGTGTTTGAGGGTGTCAAATTTACAGCCCAACAGCTACAATATTCCATGGTTTTGGATTGTGGGCTGTGCTCAGGGTAGGGTGCTCAGAAGACTATATTTATACTACATATAACTTCTCCTTTCTTCAGGGTTTTAATTGCACATCCATGACTGTATTTCAAGTCCATGACTGCTTTCTCTGAAATTGTTCCAATTTGTCTGAATCCTTTTTAAGAATGTATTGCCCAGAATTGAGCTATTCACTATTCAAGAAGAGGACCGATTAGTGCAGAATAGCAAGAAACTCTTTCTTCTCCTGATTTGGAAATTATCACTGGAAACAATCTCCATTTGAGTAGGACTGATTTATCTTCACTCAGAGATCAGCTCTCATTCAAGGCCATGTATTCTTGTTAAGATGATGTAAATTTGGGGGGAAGTATTGTTAACCATTGGCAAGAATATGTTAAAGAATTTCAAGCTGTCTTGAAACCTCGTACTGCAATATAAGGACATTCTAGGGAGGCTATAAAAGTTTATACAATCGTCATTATATGATGCTGCTGGCCAGAAGATGAAATGGAAAAAGTAACTTTCAGTGTAAAATCTCTCTCTATTCATCAGTTGTGAATTGTGAATATCTAGCTAAAATCTATTAAGAAATCCCATTATTTATTTAGCATAGAAAAAAATCACTCTGGAAAAAAGATTACAGGTTTAAAATTATAAACTGGGTTTCTCCCCCTCTAGCCTTTACTTTTCATTAGAAAGTTTCATTTTTTACTTTCTTCATTATTATCATTAGTGAACACCAGCAGTCTTCTTCCCCCATTTCTCATTTCTCTATCGCTTTTTGGCAAAATGTCAAGTTCTAAGAGGCTGCAGCAAAAAGTCTTGTGGTATGTTTTGATTGCATTTGTGATCTCTGAGCCAGTTAAGATTGATGCCAATTTGATCAGCAAACTATCTCTGATAGGGTCAGCTAACTAGGTTGTATTAAGGAAATGCATTCCTACTGGAAATTACATCATGGATTTTTAAAATTTGTGGGGGGGGGGGGTTGCTTGTTTTTTTGGAAAAGAACCAAGGTTTTTTTTTAAAAAAGGATTATATTTATGTACAAACACCCTACTGTTTTGCTGGTATTTTTATGTTTTTAAGTGTTTATCCCCATGGGTAGGTTTTATTTTGGTTTGTTTTCCGGGAGGTGTAAGTAGAATAGGAATTAACAAAATGTATAAAACCATCAATGCTTACTATCTCTATTCCCTTATTTTATTTTTCCTGTGACAACTAGGGTCAGAAAGGATGACTTTTTGTCTATTTCACCAAATCAGCTCAAGATTGAATAAGTCAAATTGTCCTCAAAGTTATGACTGCTGCACTCATTTTCCATCCCCCTCCCCCGTCACATTTCGGGCATTGACAATCAGATCTGTTTACAATCAACTGCAGTCATGTGACTGAAATTTTTGACATCTTTGCTGGTTTGAGACTTTCCACAGGCAAAAGCATGCAATTTGTTCTCTATTATTTCAAGAAACTTAAGAAATATGTATTTACAACTCTAATACTGTTGAAAAGAAACAGATCAAGAATAATAAATGTAAACAATAAACCATGGTGAACTTTCTAGGTCCTGTAAAAGTTTTTGACAGTGAGTTTATATGCTTTTTTTTATGGAGTCCTAAAATTACAGAATATACATAAGAGCACCATCACCCAAGCATCTATTCACACACATGGCTCTCATGCTACTTTTTAGTATAATGCTGCATTTTTGAAGGAATGGTGAGATGCTTTCTGGCCCTCCAGATTCTACTTGCAGTGAGTGTTTTTAGATGGCTACTCCAAATAGCTGTCAACTACATTTGATCTGTGCATCTGTCTCATGCTATTTGCTCTGTTAAAGAAATATGGCTTTTTCCTTTTGGAATCCTCAAAGTTGGATAAAGCAACTGCAGATAAAACAATTGCTACAAACCTGCCTTCCACTGAGGACTTGTATACTGCACAAGCCAAAAAAAGGGGGATAAATTGTTTCAACTTCTACCCACAAATGACACTATAGGGCATTGCATGCCAAAACAACTATACACAAGGACAGTTTCCCCTCCCCTCCCTTGACATAATTCTGCTAAACAACTAGCTCCCACAATACTGTCAAACTATTTAATAAGACTGTATTACTATTATTCTCACCTTTCCTAGTAGCTTTCTCCTTGTCTTCTTATGACTATAACTTTGTTGCTTGTATCTTATGATTTATATTGCTTTATTTAGTATCCTAGTATGATTTATGTTGATTGCTCATTTTAGTATCCTATGACTAAGTATTGTATCTTATGATTTATAATGAATGTATCTTTATGATGACTATGATCATAATTTACTACTTATTGCTTGTATGTACACTTAGAGCTCACACACCAGAGACAAATTCCTTGTATGTCCAATCACACTTGGCCAATAAAAAATTCTATTCTATTATCAGTACTGTTTGATTGCTGGACAGTCTATCATTATTCAGCAACTCAAGGAAGCAATCTGTTTTCTATGGGCATCAACTGTAGCACGAGGTAAATTTATTATTTTATTACTTTTATTTAAATAATTTATATGGCCACCCATTCACATAGTGACCTGAGATAGCTTGAATAGTTTGGCATGCTCAGCAGCCTATAGACCTCAGCTTAGAACTACAAAATTATAAAATATAGAGATTCTGTGAGAGTAGAGCTTTGAATGTCGGCATACATTGAATTGATAGAAGAAAATAATTGATCCAAATGTATTTAAACTTGCAGTGTAAAAGCTTGGGAAACAGAAGGTCTGGTGATCTGGAAATCCTCAACTGGTAAAATATTTGTATTCAGCTTTCCTTGTCATGGGGAGACACAATCACTGTGATGGAAGATTTATTTTCATTTGCTGTCTGCCTGCTCTTAGCAGGAACAAGACGTTAAATTAGAAATGCCATTCAGCTGAATCAAATATAAACTGGACAATATCCCATTAGTGTATGGCATAACAAAAACACAGCTGGAAGATGTTGAATTAATCTTTATGTACTAAAAGACATCCACAAAAGCTTTAAAAGCAACAGTTTCACCCCAAACCATCCCATTTTGAGTCTTCTAAAAAGGCTAACTGCAACTGCAGTTTATATAGCACCAATTCACTGTGAGAAAACAAATGGAATAAAATCCTATAGGGTTGAAAGAGGGGACAGTGGGAAAATCCAAAATCTTGAATACTCCAAAATTCCCCGGAAAACAATTTTGTTCATCCAGAAAAGCTAGAGCTACAATGAAGAAAAATGCTGATAGCAGTCACAAAAGAGAGCTGAAATTCGTCAGATCCTACTTGGGAGATTTTTATGAGGTAACTACTTCATTTTTCCCATTAACTGTAAAATGGCTGTGATCAACTGAAACATTAATGGAATAGATGAAGTAAACTATGGGCCAAAATGGAATCAACCAAAATCCTTGCATGTTATCAAGGACCGTCTCTTCTGATACCAGCCTGCCATAGCTTTAAACACATCAGGGATGTCTCCTGTATCCTATTGATAATCGCATCATCGCTTAAGCACAAAGGTGGCTACGTTAACTTTGCTTGTTATGAAACTCCAGTCTGTTTGTTTAGTTTGTAGTTCAATGGGTTGTGTAATAATATGGGGTTGAATAAAATATAGTTAGTTAACCAGAAGGAAATGCACCATGCCAATTCAGCCTATGTAACAAAGCCACATGTGTGACTGTGGGCCAGTCACTTTCTCTCTCAATCCTAGAAAGCAGCCAATGGCAAATCACTGCCCAAAAAAACTTGCCAAGGAAACTGCAAGGACTTGAATGTATTATCATCCCACAAAAAAAAGAAGAAGGGAGGGAGGAAGGAAGAGCTTCCCATCTGGAAAACACAATTCCCTTTCCCTTTTAATACTAATTTTATTGATGATTACAATTATAACAGTAAAAACTAATACAAACTAAAAGAAAAAAAGAATATTCAGATAAGAAAAAAGGGAAAAATATAGAAATATAAAAAAAATTAAAACAGCCAGAATTGAGAAGGCAGCAACAGCTAGCAAGCACTGCCTCTGCAAAGAAGCTGAAAAAACAGTGGAAAAAACAGTGGTCTGCAGCCTCAAAAAGATTGCACAGACTGACTACAAATAACTGTACAACAAAATAGCAGCAGTAGTGCACTGGAAGATCTGCAAAAAATACCAAGCAAGAACTGGTGGCACCATAAAATGAGAATGTAATGGAAAATAAAGAAGCTAAAGTCTTCTGGGAGTTTAAAATTCAAACCAACAGGCACCTGCCACATAACATTCCAGACTTAACAATTGTCGATAAGAAAGATTAAAAAGTTTGGATAGTAGAGCGGTACAGAACAGAATAGAAAAAAGTGGAGACGATAACAAAATACAGCTACCTGCAAATAGAAATAAAACAGCTGTTGCAAAAGAAAGCAAAGACAGTAGCAATAGCGATAAGTGCCTTGCGTGCAATCTCAAAACAGCTGGAGCACAGCTTGAACACCATGGCATTGACAAAATCACCACCTGTCAATTGTAAAAGGCAGTTTTACTCAGAGCAGTTTACTTTCTGTGACAATACCTTTAACACTATCAACAATCCATACCTGCCTATCCCATGTCCTAGGGAAGTACTTGATAGGAGGATCCAAATCTAATCTGAACATCTGGCTATGTGACAAGCCATAATAATAAAGAAAAATAAAAGAAATATATAACAAGTGATTATTTCCTTTATCATAACAAGTGTAAACAATTTTACTAATTTATCATTT